GACAAACAGACAGACAGACAGACAGACGGACGGACGGACAGACAGACAGACAGACAGACAGACAGACAGACAGAGAAGCAGGCGGACGGATGCATGGACGGACGGAAGCAAGAACAAGCGGACGAACTGGTGGACGCTTCGCTCCACTGATCATAATTCAGTCCGTAGATATGCTGAGATTTTCTCTACAGCACCGCGAGGAACGCAGAGCCTACCGTGACCTACACAAAGCGCCTAACAGGCTGCGGAATAGGGTCTGGCGACGTATTCTAGCAGTTTAAATTGTTGCACGTAATAAACAACCCAGATTTCTGGATGTGTGTCTATGGTGCCCACACGCACACACGTTCATGTCACGTCGGGCAGTCGGAAATGTCTCCAGATTGGCGTCCTGGTAGGCCTCCAGAAAGTTGTTATTGTAGTTGTGTCTGACAAATAAAACAAGCATTTACATTCCCTTTCTCTTGTTCATTCATAGCAAGAGCCTCATTTCTGGCAGACCATTACGCTTTCTGGGAGTATAGGATGCATTGTTGGTTCTTGGCCAGTTCGCAAAAATATAAAATGTTATGTGTCGTGAGCAGAATTCCGCGTGGCGTCAGCAGCAAAAAAAGTGATGTACAGTTTCCATCATGGTTAAAAGCGTCGCTGACCGAGACTCTCCGGTTTAAACAGACTGAATAAAGTGAATGGCATGATGACCCCTCACCGTAGACCTGTATCGACAGACCCCGGACGCTTTAATCAAAAGAAGAAGTTGTGCTCCCTGCCAGTGGAAAGTTTTTTAGGAGGCGAAGCTACTTATTCCGTGGCTTGTGCGTCCCCCATTGTCGTAGTACATAACCTGTGGCACATACCCACATACCTGTAACAGATACCCGCCCTCGGGCACATATCCACGTGTCCACATGTTATGAAAAACGTAGCATGGCGTCGTTATTGCGCTCTCAGTGTTAACAAAGCGCTTACAGCAAAAATGGGGTAAATACTCTCGTTTAGTCTTTGGATTGTCCGCTGAATGGTGGTACTTGTATGTGATGAATATATATGAAGAAGCGAGATGGCGGTACTTGAAGTGTTCACTAGATGGACGCAGGGACGCATGGACGGACAGACAGACAAGCAGACAGACAGACAGACAGACAGACAGACAGGAGACAGACAGACAGAATGGGCGCACGACAGACAGACGCATGGACGGACAGACGAATGGACGCACGGACGAGCGCACGAACGGACACACGAACAGGCACACGTACGGTTGGACGGACGTACGAGCGGATTGACGAACGCTTCACCCCACTCATCATCAGTCATTCCGTGTATATGCTGTGAATTTTTTCCCACTCCTATTTCCGCACATTTATGCCAAAAGTGCTAAAAACAACGTCCCCTATACTTCCCTTGAATTGATTATCTTTTAGCTTTAATATGTTGCGTCCCCTGGTTAACAGATGAGCCCAGCCTTCCAAGACACGTACCCCAGAAAAGACAGATGACCACATACGCTGGGATCCAGCGTGTGTCATCGTGAACTACTTCTCTTGGGTGCGTTTCTTCGAAGGCCGAGTTCGTTGATTTCTCCAATCTATGTATACGAACAGGCCGAACACCGGACTCTCCTGCGATATGTTCCTTCTGGTGTTGCATTTCAAGAACTGCATACTTCCCACCCCCTTATTCCGATAGCCAGTGACAAGAGGCAGGTGATAATTGTGAGAAACAGTTTCCTAAAATTAACTAGAGGGCACTCTGACTGTGGGGTCATTCATCCACCTTGGGAATGATGGGTAGTACATGAATTTACCTAGTATTTGTGCTTGCGGGCTTAAATGCTAAGTGTGAATTCAAATAATTAGAATTTACGTCTGCTGTGTGCAACCTTTCGTCTCGAGTGTCCTTGCACGCAGAGGAAATGCACAAGCAGCTTGTAAACGTTCTTGCAAAGTGGCCACGATAATAAAGACAAGTATAACAACTACACAATAGCTTCCCTGGATAAGTCGCATACACGACTTCCTTGGGAAGGCCAGTGGGGACAGCAAAGGCCATTTACGCTGGCTGGGAGTCAATCCCAATTCTTTCTCGTTTTATGCAAAAGTCTTGTCGTTGCCACCTTGCAAGAACTTCCATAAGCAAATGGACAGCTTCATCCTTTTCCCAAAGCCAGTAAAACAAAGCTATTTCTCCACTTTGAACACAAATTTAGTGCGTTCAAATAGTGCTATCGACTTGGGATGTAGTACCATACTAGCTGCATTGCTTACTCTTAGCCTGTGAGACTGGCAATATACGAATGTTCCATCCGTTTTTACGCTGGCCGAGGGCAGTAACAAATGTGATGTACAGGTTAGCAATATTCTACATAGTGGAGAGGAAAGAAAACAGGCACAAAGACTAAAAAGGAGAAGTTTTTTCCAGAGAAAAAAGACTCCGAAGTTCCCAATGCAGCCTTTCTCTCCTCTTCCCGTAGCATGCACCATGGCTGTTCTGTGCACCCGAGTCTGCAACGGGGCCTCCCCACAGCAGGCTAACTGGCGGGCAGATTGTGTCCGAGGCCGAGCACTGCGACAAGGCCGAGAGCCACGGTGACCAACCAAGTTGACAGGCCCGAGCAGCAGGCGGTGCCTTTCGAGTGCGCGTCCTTGCCCGCATCCCCGGCGTCCTTGTGACCATTGCCGCCATTGGAATGTTGCTGCGCGCAGAAACAAATAGTTCGTGCATAAAAAGCTTCGCACTAGCTGTGACAACACAGAAACAGCAGTATATTGTAACCTCTTCGTTTATAACAGTGACCATGTTGCCAATTAGCAGAACAAGTACTCCTGCCTAGCATTGGAATAAACGTTCCTGGTCACACCACGGTCACGCACGCAGTTCCCATCGCTCTTACAAGCAACCTAATAATTCCACCACTCCTCATAAACACTGACCTAGAGCATAATCGAGCGAGACGCGAAGCTAGAGCCAAGGCCCTTCACAAGCGCTTCCCTCCTAATTTTCCCGCGGTACACGTAGACGCGGCCTGCTATGCAGATAATCCAGCTTTCGCAATAGCCGATGTTGAAGGATTTCAAAACTTTTCGCTAGTACGTCCATTCCAAATTTTCCAGACTCGGCAAATGCCTCAGCCATTGTTCACTCCTTATTTTCTCCAATTTTAGGATGCAATTCGCAATTTAGCGATTCTGAAAATCTACTCTCCGGCTGCTAGAACTCTTCAATTATCTCCTCCGCCTGATCTCCTCATCATCCTCTTATGGATCCCTGCGGACTGTGGACCCCCAGACCACACGGCCGCTCACACCCAAGCCCAAAAACTCGTCAACCAGGCTCAAAGCGACGTGCCTTCGCTTCTAGGTGCCAGGAATTAGCTCCTAAGCTACGATGATGCCACGCTCTTTTATCAAAATTCCCGCCTAACGTATCCCCCACCACATAAAGTTTTTTGCATTAGTGGCAAGGATTTGTGGTGAAGACTTCAAACGAACACAGTCGTGACTCCTTTCCTCCTCTTTCTTTTTACGCATGGCAGAACCTCTTCTCATTGCATCTTGTGCCCTAACGCCAGAGGATACTTCAATAACGTATATCTGAGTTGCCCTAACAAACACAAGCCCCCGTGGCAAGGGTCAGAAGGCCAGGAGCGATGGGGGGCTGCTCAGCGCAGCTCGCAGGTGCGATTCCACCTCCGGACACTGAGCTGGGCCAGATGGGTCGCCGAGGCACACAAGTAGTGCCCGGCCACACAGACTGGCCCGAGGGGCCGTCGTCATCCTGCTTACACTTACACTTGCCAACCACCCCCCTCAAATGATTCTTTCATGAATCAATCAAGTTGCTTACGTACCTACCTTCAATGCGACTGTTGCATTAGCTTCCACATTTGCATATTTTCGCTCTTCGTAAGCTTATTTGACGCTTGCTACACTGAATACGACGTCCTTCGTGCCATCATCTCAGCAGGCGGCTGCCTTTACTCGACATTTCGCAGCCTGCCATGGAGAAAATGAGTGACCATATTCCCAGGATTTAGGGACCTCTGCAGGTAGCGCCATCTCTAGGCGGCAGTAACAGTGTCCTGCCAAAACTGAATGGTAAATAGGCCAAAAAATTGTATTTTTCCAAATATGCGGGTTATCAAAAAACGACTCCAATATATATACAGCAGGAACCTGCTTCAACATTTTGGTAAAATTTGAGTGCCGCAGTACAAGTTATGTGGCTTTTAAGGCAAGCGCCGATCACTGGACATACATGGGGCCCCATTGTGAAATACTGAACACTCCGGAAAGCCACATAGTTTGAAGCCCGACACTGTAAAAAAAAAGTGTCCGACTGTTGCTTCGGCTGTTTAACAGAATACTCAAGTCTCTGTTATTTAGAAGCAGGAACCGTTTTTGGCGAATAGCTTTTTTCGTCGGATATTTTTTTCGCCTAGTTCCCACTCAGTTACGATACGCTGCTGCTGTCGCGAAAGAGAGATGGCGCTGCGCGCAAATTTTCTCAAATCCTGGGGATGAGCGCCGGCGAAGTAGCCACAAGACCTTCACCTGGTCGCGCGTTGCAGCAGCGGCGAGGCTTCGAGCGAGTGACGTGGTGCGACGTCACGTGGTGTGACGTCACGACCGCCACACTTTCACTCCGGCAGCTAAACGCCACTGCGACGAGATGAATGACGCAGGGAGACATGACGTAGTAGAGCCATGTATTCCTGTCGCACAATATAATAACTATCATTATTCGCTTGTGTTTTCTCAGTATAGCTGCACTTAGATCTTCTATATAAAGAACCGCTTCGTACTCACAAAGCACGCGCTCTTCGCGACAATTTAGTGTCAAACACTCCACGCTAAAAAAAAAGGCTTGTGAAGTAGACGATGACTACTGTTTAGGGCAAAAGCGACTATCCATGAGTCACGAAGTTCTTTGCCCCCTTAAGTGTAGTGCTGCGAGTGCGAAAAATACGCGCTTCTGCAAAATACATGCCATGTACTCGCCTTGGGGATCGTTTGCTCCCCGGATTCTGCCTCGTAGAACATGGTGGCGTTTTCAATGACGGTCAACCTGCAAGAAAAAATAGTTAAATTAGAAAGAGCAGCACTATGCCTGCTTATGTAAAAAAACTGATACCACAACCCACACGCACGAGATAAAATGGCTGCGGCTCTGACAGAGTCGTAGGGGAGCGTACACATTAATAAACATACAACACGACGGGTCACCGTAATTTGTAATCGCTACCCGTCAGGATTGCGAAAAGCGTTTGATATTGTTCCACACTGTGTAGGTGGATGGTCAGTGTAGCTGACGGGCTCGAAGGTCGCTTATGCTCTCGTCAGCGTTTTTTCATGGGCACGCTGCTGCTCGGGCCTTCTCATAACTCTGATGTGGCTGATGCTCTAGCGTGGCACTCTGCAACCTACTCCTGGCCACCCTGACGGCCCGGGAACGTCACCGGGACGTTCCGCTTCGCGCCACTATTCTAGAAAGAGCCATCTGGCTCAGCTAGCTGGACCAATTGCCTCTTCTCTCTTCTGCCACTTTAAGACCACAATAAAGCTCTAAGGTCCCAATGCCTGGTCAACCCATACTTGCCACGCGAAAACGCAGCCCCTACACTCGACTGACAGGCCGGAACACGTACACAAGGCTAAAACCGCTAAAAACCTGCTGATGTAATGCCTCCGAGATCGGCTCACCTTTGGCCGATCGTCAAAGTGCATCATGACATCATCGTGTGACTTTACGATCACGTCACTGACATTGGTCAATTTAGGCATCTTCATGACGTCCAGCTATATGATGTCAAGTGGCATCGCAGCTCACGCTGAGGGAGACGAGCATGTCATTCTCTTTTATCTCGAAAGCAAATATATATCAATTGAAGCAAAACTGCGATTCAGCCTAGTTGGAATTATACCTATCTTGAAATTTTCGCACAAGCACAACATTGACATATATCAACATTGACTACAGGTTTTCGCCACCGTCGCCGTCATGTTCCTCATAATGTCGAAATCGATAACATCCTACCATGCATCGTGCGTTCCACGCGCCGGTAAAAAGGACGCGAGCGCTGACACCGAACGCGGCTGAACCGGAGATGAAAGCAAGTCGGCCCATCTCCATCGCACTGAGGGTGCACGCGATAACATCAACCCTCGAGCAAGGCCTGCCATCTATTGGCACTCAAGCGAAGAGGAAACGCTTGCCCGTCTTGAAGTCCCATGAATGGATGCCAGGGGACAAAAGGGGTGGAGTGTGCCACTCAAGCAGCATCTGAGAACTTTGATTATAAGGGCGTGTTTGCCATCGCTTGCGCGCGCGTGATCTCAGTATGGGTTCCAGCAAACGGCTAGTACGGCCTTCCTACATGGTGTGTTCTAACCACCTTGCTTTGAGACGACAGCCAGCGCAAAAACCACTTCTCTACCTGGAGGGGCCGTATTCTCTTACACCGGCGTTTTGTGGATTTATGCGAGATCGGATACAGAATAAGACTCAGCTGATAGCGTTAGTTCGTATACCATTGCAAATTGTTGCCATCGCATCCATATACTTCGCCCTAGTGGTAAATCTTTTTGCCTTGGAAGGACACTGACACGCGTTCTGAAATCATGAAGCGGCGTCTTGTATAGCTCCGATGAAATAATAAATGGTTATAAAAGCACAAATTTCTCCTGGTATAAACCACCACTTTGTTGTAAACATTCAAGTCATCTCGACCGCACGCCTGGTCTTGTCGCTCAGAGGCACACCACAAAATGTGTTTTTGCACAGAATGTCATTGATCCACCTTTCGTAACGGTCTGGTCGCCACGGCGGCGACTAATTAGTTATGAATGCAGACTGCATGCATGATAGTAGAAAGTAAAAGCGAGGGTAAGGTCACGAGCGTGTATCCGGAACATCAATGCCTCAGTCTGACTGCAAGTGGCATAGCAGAAATACTAATGCGTTTGATCAGCTCCTCTGTCTTAATTTCTCTGAGTGCAAACAGATCGTGAAGGAACTCTCTGGACAGTACAGGACGGGAGATGGGGTGGAGCCGGAATCTTGTACGTAAACCCCTAGCATAAACTAAATCTTAGATGGTCAGAGCAGGGCCGGGACCCCGAAGTTTCACTAAAAAAAACACGTTGCGCTTGTGTTTGGTACAAACAGCTCCCGGAAGGCAAGCTTCAGCTTTAGCATTCGATAAGCGTTTGACTGACGTTCTGGTAGACGGCGATGTGAAAAATAGCTTACGAACGCCTATGTCGTGAAACACAAAGCTCGCCACCGACTATGCTAACTGTTGCAGTATTTCTAGAAAAACAAAGGTGCTTTCCCTCACCTCCCTTGGATGGACTGACCTTATCCGAGACGGCTGCATAAGTACGCATGACTTAGCAGTTAACGCTTGGTGTGCGTAGGTTTACCGTCGCTCTGAACTGCCGAAAAGCGTGGATTTCGAAACGGGACCAAGAAAGAACACTAATGCACAAGTCAAGCGCGTCTCCTGTGCTTCACCATTCTCTGTTGTTGGTCGAATGAGGACTATTTGTGATTGAAGTATTTTGGACATATAGTTTTATAAACATTACATATGTACTACTTTTGTCCAACTTCATAAACATTACATATGCACTCCTAGGACACAGCCGTCACGTCAGGTTAAAATCAATCGTAGTTCAGTGCCATCCGCTGAAGTTGGTTTATGTAGCACTGTCCGGGGCTATCGTATTAGCGAGCACCAGCGCTTCATATCAGCCCATCAGTTCTGGTGTTGATAATGTTCTTGTTCCAGTTGGCATCGTTGCGCAGGTGCAAACGACTGGTTATGTCAACATCTGCCTCCGTTCAACATTTGTCTCTGTGTGCAACATTTGCAAATAGACCGAGCGTCATTTCATAACGCCGTCGCCGTCGCTCAATAAAAAGTTACGACACGCACGATGATCATCCCACCATATGCTTCGCATAACATTGATCCCCAAGGTACGTGGGACCTGCTTTTTTCTTTTCACTTCATCAGTGGAATTGGTTTGGCGAGGGCCTCCTCGAAAGCAAGCCTTCTTACGTGTATTGTCGTACGCGGCACAAAACTTCACTGAGGACGGAATGAAAAAGGAAGGAACCACAACCCCTTCATGTATCCTTCCTGAGTAAAGCGTTCAGCGGCCTGCTACGATGGATCAACCTACTAGCTTGATAAATATTGCCTGTTACCCACTTGTTGATATATTACTGGTGCACTTACTTGAACTTCAGAGCACCTTCATAACCAGACATGGCTTTCCACATGACAGTGAAGGGCGGGGTCATGTCATCAGCCGGATCCTTGTTGACCTACAGCGGCCTGGAAGTAGAGAAGACAGTGCTGGTTATTTGGCGTATATTCTTGCAAAGTTACCCAGGGCAAGTCCTACAGTGGTGGTAGGAGAACCTGCCTGCAAAGTATTGCCTTTGGATCGAGCGTGCTGTGGTAGGGATGCACACAGACAGCATTAGCCATATATTTGACAAATTATACTGATTAAGTATTTTGACCTCCTTTGCACAGCTGTATTAAGACTTTCGTTCTATGCTCTTCGGAAAGATCACCAAGAATTCGTTTCCCCGACAGACCACACACTCTTATCGAACTTGGTAATATAGAGCAATATGGCACCATACATAGGTGTGATACATGTGAGAGGGCTTAGCTTACAGCTCACGATATGTCCTTATTGTATGCTCCAGATGACGGAGGAATTTCAGACATTACAGCAATTCTGCGGTACGTGCACCACGTTAGATTCGAGGTATGTCCTGCAGCGCTTGGTTGTGGGCCCTGTAAACGGTTTGTGCGAACATCGCTAACACACACACTCACGCAATATGCTCATTGCAATGAAACATCTTTTTATTTCGATAACAATCATGGGGACAGTCTGAACGAGCTTTTGCTGTCGCCGTTGCCGTAATCTCTCATATAAAGTCGAAATTGATAAGATTCCGAAGCACATAGCACGTACCACCCGCGGGTAATGTGCAAGCAAAGCGACGGCCCCATTCGAAGCAGTAATTAAACAAACTGGCCCACCTCCGTCGCTCTGGGGGCACATGAGATAAGGACATCCCCCACCCCTCTATCTTAGACCGGATGTCGGATGCTTCGCATTCGCAAGAAGTGCTTTGCATTTAGGAGTCGCTCTTCTGTATAATCCAGCTGTCTTTAACGGCTTTGCATTGGGATGGTGTATGTAGCAGATTCGCAGTTTCCCATTTGCCTATATAGGGACGCGTGTTTTTTTTTTCTAAATCCAGGTGTTGGTTAGGAGTTCACTTGTGTTGGCGCAGTAGTGTTCACCTGTGCTTGGACCACACCGGGAAGTGATGGTAAAAGCCTGGGGTCTGGTGCCAGGGCATTTCAAACCATCTAAAAGAGCGTTCGTTTACTATTCAATGGGTCGGCGAAATACAGAAATAGACCACTCACTCTTGGAGACAGTGAAAGTCTTATTTAGTTGGTGCAAGGTAACGTTTATCCATTGCCCTCTTGAAACAACCTTGATTTCGCTGCATAGAAGGCAGGGGCACTCGCAAAACATTCTTGCGTTTGCGACTATCTTGTAAAAAATGGTTTTCCACATATACTAGCCATAAAGCGTTTACCGATCGCGAGGCAGAAGAAGAACTTGAATATTTCCGTTGCCTTGAAAGACAGCCTTGAACTCAGATATGTGAGCTGTTCTCCATACACACTAACATTTTCTTAAATACAACAGTTCTAAATGTTTTGGTGCCAGCAGTAATCTCTCATTGGCAATGATGATCAAATATATATATATATATATATATATATATATATATATATATATATATATAATGTCTGTGGTACCGTGACCATCACAAATTTGAGATAGAAAATTTTTGCGTAAAACTCACAACTCACTTGTGTTAATTTTCCAGACATCCAGGAACACTCTATTCCTGAACATATTTGCTGGAACCGCGCTTCTGTTTGCAGTTTTCTCAAATAATATCAGTTTGTAATCAATTCCAAGTTCTCTTAGGCTAGGGAATTGATGCATGTAAGCGTAAGCAAGGAGGTTAATAAAAATGAATGCTCTGTCGTAATATTTCGCCACTCTAGAGCAAGGAATTTTTCAGGCAGCAATTGTCCGTACTTCGACTCAATAAGGCAGCACTTTGGTTTGTTGTTGGTTTAGATAAAATGAGTTTGACAAACAGATCAAATGGAAATGATCGCATTTACCGGTGAATTTACTCAGATCAGTATTGGAGCTTGAGCTCATGAAATTTGTCAAAAATCCCAACCTTCCTACGGAAACCAGCAAAAAAAAAGGGAAATTCTCTCAGCAATATCTGTCCGAAACAATTAGCCGTCTCAAACTCACTAGGAACGGTAGGCAGTCACAGCAAAATAAACTAACGTTTTATGGTACCCATGGTAAAATGGCGGTAAGCTGGCTTCACTTGCGGTAGGTGATTTCCACTCCAGCATTTTTATAAAACGGCCGGCCTGTGCTATTCAGGTTTTAACCATTGCTACCATTAGTCTACAGTCACTCGCTTCCCCCTCTTCCGTTTATCGCCTCTACTTTTTTCACACAATTTGCTTTGCTAACAGCCATCTGCTTAACAAACTAATCTATAGGCCTGAACTTATAATATCATTAGGTTCTAATAATCTTTTGTAATGTCTTGGGTTGATTCAATTCAGCAAGCATATGCGACAGATATGACCATATGGATAAAGCGAGACATCAATCAGTGCCTGGATTATGAGGAGGGTTAAGCATTCTAGCATATACGCTCAGACAGTGTCTTGGACAATGACACACGCCAGCAATGAGAAGTGGGAAGACCTCATCAATAGTGCTGCACTGAATATTCAGTCAACTGCACTGAATATCCAGTCAACGGCCGTCCACAGAGCCCATGAAACAGCGGAGAGGCATGGCCTCTTGAGTTCCAACATGGGAGCAGCCAGCGGTGAACCTGAGGACTCTAGTGGATCCTTCCCGGCTTGTCCCTCATGACTACACTGAAGTTCTTCATCAAATTCAGTAGTCTTACTGAAGTTTGATTCCATTCACATCGCAGCATCGAAAACACCTGCCAAGAAACACTGTCGCCTTTGAAGACCATACAATTTTAAAGCGACTTTAGCTAATACTGCATAATTAAGAGCCTGACAGCTTGTATATGTATTTTTTGAAGTTTATTGCTTGCTTTTACTTGTATTTTACTTTTTATAAATAGGCCTTCTAATGTCAATAAAGCCTGAAGCGTATCAATATAAGAAATGAAAGTTGTTGTGACCAATTTATAAGCGAAGTGCGAGAAGCAACTAGAAACGTGGTTCGAAGTATTTGCCCATGGAACGTAACTGACAACTTTCTGGCGCAAAGTGAAGTGAGAACAACGAACAAAGAACCCCGGAAAAAATTGGCCCCGTATCTGCACGTAATCTGCAAATGTCGTCGAAAGACGACAGTCTTGCGTGTGTAGAGACTGAACAAAACATTTATTTGATGTGCTGCGCAAGAAAATCGGGGAATGGTATTCCGGAGGCGCTGTGTTAGAGTGCCTCGAGCGTGCAGCGGAGGCGAACGAGCGCATCAAGTCACGTCACACGTGAGACGTGAGCGCCATCTGGCCGTTCTTTTTGGAAAACAAAGCACGTGGCCCTGAGACGGGCGTGCGCGCCCGTCTCAGAGGTGACAAGGTGTAGAACGTAAGGCGACGGGTAGGTGCCACCACCGTCTCGTCTTAGCAAAGCGTTGGAAACACTCCTCATCCCATGCAAGCGTTGCTTGGTCCACGCAGCGTGACAAACGCTATGGTCCTTAAAATTTACTTATGTATGCCTTTTCTAGTAAAAGACGAACATGCAGAATATATATGTGTTGTTCAAGCTCACGACACCATCGTTCGCGCGGCGACGGCACGTCGCGTTGTCCGTGATTGACTCCTGGCATCTCAGGCCCACAAAAAGCGCCATTACGACAGTCACCACCACGACGTGAGTTCTATCCCTGGCTCCCTGGTCTTGCTCTGGCTGCCTTCGCGTCACGTTGGCTTGAGTGAAAAGTCAAGCTCTACGTCACGTACACTGTGACAGTACGTGTTGGTGCTAGTGTCAACTAGAGTAGAGGACGCTTCTAGATATAGACGAGGTTGAAGTATCTCGGGCTCAGAACCGATTGTGTCACACTTGCCTACTTGCCTACAACGTCTGCAACTGCAACTTCAACTCTACACGTATCGATATATATATATATATTGTACAGAAGCCGCCGAACACTGAAGTGGGTCGAACTCTTATGTGCCTTCTAGTGGGTCTGCCCAAAGAGAACGCCGCTCGCGCGGAGACCCCGTGTTTGGCCGTTACTGTCGCCATTGTGTAGACTCGCTGTGTGCCGGCTAATAAACGCCATAACAAATTGGTGGAGAGTGCTACGATCCCCTTCGATGCCCTTGGAACTACGCTCACATACGCTGCAATCTACCATGTCCCACGACGCCTCTCAGCAAACGCCTCCTCTCATGCCACCCCCATGTCCCGGTGTCCCCAGGATCCGCGATCCACCCATCTTCACGGGCGCCGATGGCACTGACGTGGAGGACTGGCTCGCCATTTACGAGCGCGTGAGCGTCCCCAACAAATGGGACGAGGACGGCAAGTTGACAAACTTGGTGTTCTACCTTGCGGGCGTTGCAAGTTTGTGGTACACCAACCACGCGTCCGAGTTTGCAACCTGGTCCGGTTTCAAGACTGCTATCACCAACGTTTTTGGCCGCCCTGCCGTTCGCAAGCTGCAAGCCGAGCAGCGCTTACGCGAACGCGCTCAGCAGGCCGGTGAGTCATTCACCAGTTACATTGAAGATGTCCTGGACTTGTGCAAGAAGTCGAACGACAGCATGTCCGAATAATCAGACAAGATCCGGAACGTCATGAAGGGCATTGACGATGATGCCTTCACGATGCTGCTTGCCAAAAACCCCGGCACAGTAGCTGAGGTCATCACGCTGTGCCAGAGCTACGAGGAGCTCCGCCGGCAGCGTTCGATGACCCGTCGCTTTACATCACGAGATGCAGGGCTTGCAGGCTTGGAAGCGAGCTGTGATCAGGTGGCACTGCTGGCAGATCTCAAGTCCTTCATACGTGAGGAAATCGCGAGGCAGTTCTCTCTCCTGCCCTTTGCCCACCCACCGGCTGCTCAACAATCGGCCCCTACCATTCTTCCACCCATCCGCCGAGCGATTGAGCAGGAAATAGCGGAGGTCATGCCTGCGTACCACCCACAACAACTTCCGGCCCCTGCACCCCCAAGTTACGCCCAAGTGGTCGCAAGGCCGCCTCCAGTCGTTCAAGCGCCTGCACCAGTGACTTACGCCGAAGCTGCCGCACGACCTCCGTCCTTTGCAGCGGGTATGCCGGCTGCATATGTTGGCGCAACCCCTCAGCCTCATTTTCAGCCCACCATGCAGCCTTTCCAGACACCGTTCCGGGCGAGACCCACCCCAGCAAACCGATGGCGCACACCCGACAACCGGCCCATCTGCTTTGCTTGCGGTTACGCCGGTCACGTAGCCCGTTATTGCTCTCGACTACAGCCGGCTCCCACTTCTCCTGTTGCGGGCCACCTTAGCTGTTCGTATAACGAGGAACTGCCGTCTGGGCCACTGTCTCGCCCAGGTCCGTCTGCTCGAAGGTCGCCGTCTCCACGACGTCGGTCTCTGTCCCCCATGCGGCCAAGTTCTTCTGCTCATGAGCGGGAAAACTAGTCGTCGCAGTCCCAGAGGCAAGGACTGCGACGCTATCGCATTGTGAAAGCCCTCAGAGCCGCCCATCTAATGTCATTGACGTGCTTGTGGACGGTGTTCATGCATCTGCTCTTATTGACACTGGAGCTGCGGTATCAGTTATGAGCGAAAACCTTTGCCGCTTGCTTCGAAAAGTGACGACGCCGATTTCTGGACTGTCCCTTCGTACCGCTAGCTCACATCGTATTAATCCTACAGCAGGCTGCACAGCTCGCGTTGTCGTTCAGGACGTTCTGTATGTCGCCCAATTCATTATCATTCCTGCATGCTCTCATGACGTCATCTTGGGATGGGATTTTCTCTCCCGCAACGACGCCGTCATTCATTGTGCCGCCGCCGAAATTGAACTCTCGCCCTTCTCGCATTTGACGCCAGAAGACGGTCCCTCGACACTGAACAAGATTCTTGTGAAAGACGATGCTATAGTGCCTCCAAGCTCGACGATGGGCGTATCGGTCTACTGCACCGGTCTCTCCGACACAATTGCACTTGTTTCGCCATCCTACCGTGCTTCCAGGAGGAAAGGGTTGCTAGTACCTTTCGCGACCGTGCAAATCACCCAAGGCAACGCCGCTATTTTTGTGACCAACCCATCCCCGTACACTGTTACCTTGGTTCAAGGGGAATGTCTCGGCAGAGTGGAAGCAGTCGACGACGCACAAGTCCTGGACGTACCCGAAGACTCGCGTTGTCCCGATTCACGTACCATCAGTGCTGTTTCTACTTCTGACCCATCATCTCCTGATGTATTTGGTCCATTCATTGATGACAACCTTACGTCAGTGCAGCGTTCCCAGCTTCTAGACCTGTTGCAAGAATACCGTTCTTCTTTCGATGTCGGGCGAAGTTCTCTCGGTCGCGCGTCCACTGTTACGCATCGTATTGACACTGGTGCCCATCCACCATTACGGCAACGTCCATACCGCGTGTCGCCTGCTGAACGCCGGCAAATTAACGAGCAGGTTGACGATATGCTCCGACGCGACGTCATTCGGCCCTCGGACAGTCCATGGGCGTCTCCTGTTGTTCTTGTTGCGAAGAAAGATGGTTCTGTGCGGTTCTGTGTGGACTACAGACGGCTCAATAAGATCACTCGCAAGGATGTCTACCCACTGCCGCGCATCGACGACGCAATTGACAGCCTTCACGGAGCCCAATTTTTTTCTTCTCTCGATCTGCGCTCGGGGTACTGGCAAGTACCCCTGGCTGATGACGCTCGACCGAAGACTGCCTTCATCACACCCGACGGCTTGTACGAATTCAACGTCATGCCGTTTGGTCTGTGTAATGCACCTGCGACATTTGAGCGCATGATGGACACCGTACTGCGCAACTTGAAATGGCACACGTGCTTGTGTTACCTCGATGACGTTGTTGTCTTCGCTCCAGATTTCTCCACCCATCTCCAACGTCTAAAAGAAGTTTTCGCACGTGTGAGCAATGCCGGCTTGCAACTAAATCTGAAGAAGTGCCGCTTTGCAGCACGCCAACTCACCATCCTAGGGTACGTCGTGTCCAAGGATGGCATTCTTCCTGACCCAGCCAAACTTCGGGCCGTGGCCGAATTCCCAAAACCTGCGTCCGTCAAAGAACTGCGTAGTTTCGTGGGCCTGTGCTCATACTTCCGACGCTTTATACGAAACTTCGCCATGATTATATCACCGCTGACGAAGCTCCTCGGAAGTAAAGGGCCCCTCAATTCGTGGTCGTCAGAGTGCGACAACGCGTTCTTGAAGCTCCGCCACTTGTTGACGTCTCCTCCCATTCTCCGCCACTATGACCCTACGGCCCCAACAGAAGTGCACACGGACGCCAGTGGTGTAGGCCTCGGCGCTGTCCTGGCGCAGCGCAAACCCGGGTTCCCTGATTATGTTGTGGCATATGCAAGCCGTACGCTCACAAGAGCCGAGACAAACTACACCGTCACGGAAAAAGAGTGCCTGGCAATCGTCTGGGCTCTTACAAAGTTTCGACCTTATTTGTATGGTCGCCCATTCGATGTCGTCACTGACCATCATGCACTATGCTGGCTGTCATCATTGAAGGATCCCTCAGGCCGCCTCGCCCGTTGGGCTCTTCGCTTACAAGACTACGACATCCGCGTCCTCTACCGCAACGGACGCCAGCATGCTGACGCCGACGCCCTCTCGCGCTCCCCTCTGCCTGAAGCTAACGTGCTCTGCTCAGTATCCTCGGTTGTTGTTTCTGCCATTGATGTTGACATCATCGCTACCGAACAGCGAAAGGATAATTGGATCGCCCAACTGATCGACTTGCTCTCTAATCCGTCCGCAACGCCATCCACGCGTGCCTTGCGTCGTCGAGCTCACCATTTCGCCATTCGTGACGGCCTCCTACACCGACGCAATTACGACGCCGATGGCCGGCAGTGGCTACTCGTGATACCCCGCAGTCTGCGGTCGGAGATATGTGAATCCTTCCATTCTGATCCACAGTGCGCGCACTCTGGGGTATTCAAAACCTACCATCGCATTAGACAACGCTACTTCTGGCGCGGGATGTACCGCTACGTCCAGCAGTTCGTTCGCTCCTGTCTCGCTTGCCAACGCCGCAAACCGTCCGCACACATGTCACCAGCCGGTCTGCAACCGCTACCTTGCCCTGACCGTCCGTTTGGGCGCATAGGTATCGATTTGTACGGACCACTTCCTCTGACGTCCACTGGCAACCGCTGGGCCATCGTCGCCGTAGATCATTTAACGCGATACGCCGAAACCGCCGCTCTCCCTGCGGCTACTGCGCGTGATGTTGCGTCCTTCCTACTACATCGATTTATATTGCGCCACGGTCCACCCCAGGAGCTTCTCAGCGATCGAGGCCGTGTCTTCTTGTCAGAAGTCGTCGATGCCATTCTCACTGAGTGCCATTCTGTCCATCGCAAAACTACTGCTTACCACCCGCAGACGAATGGTCTGACCGAACGCTTTAACCGCACCCTCGGCGACATGCTGTCGATGTACGTCGCCGCCAACCACACGAATTGGGATACCATACTGCCCTTCGTCACTTACGCCTACAACACCGCCCCTCAGAGCACGACTGGTTTTTCACCTTTCTTTTTGCTGTACGGAAGGCACCCGTCACACACCATCGACACGATACTCCCGTACACGCCGGATCCATCTGAGTGTACACCTATTTCCGAGACCGCCAGGATTGCTGAAGAGTGTCGCGAGCTTGCCAAGACTTTTACGACGCATGAGCAAGAGCGGCAGAAGAGTATTCGTGATGGCTCCGCCACTTCTGAGCCCACCTTCCTTCCTGGTTCCCTTGTATGGCTCTCAATCCCGACCTCTGTAGCTGGCCTTTCTTCCAAACTACTCCCGAAATATGAAGGTCCCTACCGTGTGATCGAGCGCACATCTCCGGTCAACTATCTTATCGAGCCAATTGAACAATCTTCGGACATGCGCCGCCGCGGGCGCGACATAGTCAACGTGGAGCGTCTGAAGGCTTACTATGACCCGCTCGTAGTGACAAGCTGTTAGGTCGCCAGGCGGCTCCCTCTACGACCCCGGGGTAATTGTACAGAAGCCGCCGAACACTGAAGTGGGTCGAACTCTTATGTGCCTTCTAGTGGGTCTGCCCAAAGAGAACGCCGCTCGCGCGGAGACCCCGTGTTTGGCCGTTACTGTCGCCATTGTGTAGACTCGCTGTGTGCCGGCTAATAAACGCCATAACAATATATATATATATATTGTCCTGCTTAGTATGAACTATCAAGAAATTTGAATGCCAATTATAAAGATGTATACTTTCACACCCTCTACAATAAAGTTACGAGGAGCAAAGTTATGTTTGTAGAAACCACTTTTATCCAGCGTTTCAAGCTTAATTACTTTTCGGCACGCTACCGTGTACCGGATAACATAAAAAATATTAAAATGATGTTTACTTGATACGCTTTTGGGATGTAAAAACTATGAGTGTCTATTTTCAAGTGTCTAAAAAATAATCGTCAAGCATTTCGGCTGAGAAAACGCGAAAGTGCGAAAAACGCGCGGGAAATTATCGGCATGGAACCATCAGACATAAAGTTACAGTAATCTTCTTTTTTTTTCTTGTCCTATTTTCATTTCACGCTGGTATGCTTGCTAAGTTGTTTGAGAAAGTATTCCGCAGGTTATCCGCTGTGACTCACCATTTTCATCGCACCACAATCCATGAGCATGGCTTTTGCGTCGGGAGCGAGCATGAACGACCCTTTTGGCATAGTCTCTTTCCCCTGTTCCATGGCCACGATGCGGAAATACTTGAACATACTCCCGATAACCGTCACTGCGAAAAGCCAAAGGAGAGGTAAAGCAGACAAGAATTCTAACCATCTCGAATACCTTGTATGTTATCCCACACTGGGGAAATGGGTGGAAGAAGAGGCGGAGGAAAATAAAAAACGGAAGGACCGGGTGGGTGGGATGGAAGTGTTTGAAAGATGGAGGAATGGAAAGAAAGAGAGATATATAGAGAAATAGAGAGGGCGTGGCACATTAGCACGCACAAACACGCTCACGCTGCACACGCACATACACTCACATGCATGAAAAAACACGCGCAAACACTCACAGCATGCATGCTGTGTGTTTGTGCGCATGTGTCATTCGTATGACAAGAGGTGAGGAACAATTCCCGCGCAAGCGCATTGTGAAACCGCCTGTCCAATGGTACAAGGACCTTAAACCACTCCAAATTCAAAGACGAGAGAACCATTTTCTTCTCTCTTTCCTCGTACAAGTGCTGCACGTTTTCGCCACTTTTGGTTCTGTGATTACACCCCTGGTTACTTTCCTTACGCGCCGCCTTTCACCTTCAATGCTGCCATTGTTGGGCGCAGCTGCTGTCAATTGGTACGGGTGGTTCGTAGTCGCACTCTTGGTTTTCATTCCCGCTGGCAACGCCTTGCAGTCGGTGAACTTTAAATCGTCAGCTCCTGATGCAAGGGCCAGAGCAGTAAGCAGGATCAGTCCACGTACTGCCATCCTGCTGCCTTCAGAGTCCCTGCAAAACGCCGACGGGGAGAAAATGAGATAGCAGGGAAATTCTTCGTAAACAGACACTAAAGAGGAACAATGACTTGGCTTAGTAAATCAAAGTGAACAATTCGGCCAGATGGCTTAGACTACTTTAGATTGGTTTGGCTTATAATGACAAGCTGCACTCAGAAAACTCAAATGCCACGAGTTTTACTGTCATAGGTAGATTATTAGCGGAGAAAATCAAGGTTGAAGTCTCATTATATTTACAACAGCGCAACCAAGGACAAGAGATGGGAAGAACACAGACGAGCAATGAATTTAAAACCATTTCCGAAATATAGCAGCATATAAAGGAGAAAATGCGCTTGAACAAAAAAAATGGCAGCATATCCACGGAGTGAATGATGGAGAGTGGGGCGAAGAATTCGTCCGTCCATTCGTTCTTGCTTCCGTCCGTCCATGCGTCCGTCAGTGTGACCGTCCATACGTCCATCAGCCCGTCCGTGCGTGCGTCTGTTCGTGCGTCCGTCCCTGCGTTCGTCCATGCAGCCGCCCCTGCGACCGTTCATGCGTCCATCCATGCATCTGTCTATGTATCCGTTCGTCCATCTATTTAACACTCCAAGTACCACCATCTCGCATCTTTTCATCATATATTCTATATATAGAAGCACCGCCATCGAGCGGACATTCCAAGGACTAAACGAGAGGCGGCACACGCACCCTTTCTTACGGCTTGCGCTTCGGGTCCACTTCCCACCTTTAACCACCTCGAGTTCATGGTATATACTAGTTCACTGTATTCATGGCACTGCGGCCGAACGCTCGCTAAACCTTTCGAAAACCAAGGAGGTTACGCCCAGCGAGTATGACGTAGCAAACCTTTTCAGTCAGATAGTGCTCAATGCACATGCCAATGGCTGCTAATGGGAAATGAGAGGCGGAGAATTCGGCTTTTACTTTCTTACGGCTTGCGCTTCGTATCTACTTCCCATTTTTAACCACCTCGAGTTCATTCATGGTATATACAAGTTCATTGTATTCATGGCACTGCGGCTCAACGCTCGCTAAACCTTTCTAAAGCTAAGGAGGTTACACCCAACGAGTATGACGTAGCAACCCTTTCTTGTCAGATAGCGCTCAATGTGCATGCCAATGGCTGCTAATGGTGATCGCAGCCTGCGCGTTAACTAAAAGCCGAATGCTCCTGTCTCTCGTTCCCCATTAGCAGCCATTGACATGTACATTAAGCACTATTTTTTATTGTTCAACAACACACAGAAGAAGTCTCTCACCGGCACCACCTTGGAGGTCAAAATGTATCACTTGTTACATACTACAGGGGACGAACGGGTGCCGTATAAGAAGATTCGCTCCTAAAATTGCACACCAATATTTGAAAAAAAAAACTAAAAGGAGGAATAACCCTACGTCACTTACAGCTGTCATGCGTGCGGGAAAAGCGCACTTTCTTACTCGTCGAAGCGATGGACGGCATGCTCACACAGGTATTGCCAAGTCTACCAATTTCTGCTGTCTTAAATACCTCGCGCGTTAGTTGGGAACCTGATGACCCCACCACTGGAGGATGCAAAGCCCTATTGAAAAGGTGCCGAGTGTTTCAACGCTACGTTAGGCGCACGTCAGGTTCATTGCGCGTGAACCGGCAAGTCGACAGTGTAGCGAGTGGCGGTCGCGGCATGCGCTGCGGGCGAACAGACGAGCGGCAGCTGTGGATGCTGCGGTGAGAACGCGGCAGGGGAGGGAGAGATTGACGTCAGTCCGCACTGTGAGGGGAGCACTGCGCAGCTGTGGCGTGACCTACTTTGCACCGCTTCAATCTCTGCGGCAAAGGAAACGCGTTACGGCGTGTTCGTGTGGAGGCGCGTACGTACGGCGTTATACACGTGAGTCAAATACCTGTTCTTCATCAAAAAAATTGCCCGCAGCTTCCCTCGGGGGAACACTGAGGAGGATGCGGACCATATAATTGGTTAACGGGGTGTTAAAGTGCGACTTACTTGGGTCGATGGCTAAATTGGTTAACGTGGTTGTAGGAGGGGGTGTAAAATGAGTGAACACGTACACACGTATGCGAAAGGGCGGCGCTGGTCGAAGGGACGTCGATCATTGTGTTTGTGGATTCGTTGGAATTCATTTCACCGCGACCTTGGACGTCGACGCGCCGTACAAACCAACCGACGAGCGGCAACTGAGCGAGCGAGCGCCGACCTTGAGTATATATACAGCACGACGGCGCATGCACTGTCAGCTGTTGAATGTTCTCGAAGCGCGACGCCACATGCGCGTCCACTGGAGAATCAGGAGAATTGTAGATGTCGAACGCGGTGTGTAGAGGAGGAAGGGTGCACAGATGGTGGAGGAGTGAAGCGCGCGCGGTGTGTAGAGGAGGAAGGGATGCACAGATGGTGGAAGAGTGGGCGACGGCGCGACGGCGCATACGCGCGCGTCAGCTGTCGAATGTTCGAGAAGTGGTGCGGACGGCGCGGACGGCGCGGACGGCGCACTACAAGGCGCGAGTATAAGATGCTCCGCATCTAAAAACTGGACCATCTTCCCAAAGGGATCTTCGATGCGATGCAACGCAGCAGTGGTGCACACGGCGTTGACACTGTCTAAACGGGCGATGACTGGTACTGGAAAACGGCTTGAAACAAAACTCGGTGTAGCGTTTGCTCGAGTAAACATTTCTTTGAAACGCCAAGCCACGGGAGTCAGTTTGTGTTTTGTGTAAATTTCATTAAAGCGTTTGGCAAGGCTTCGCAGTCGTTTTTTTTTTTTTTCAGAATGCACATGGGCACTAGAACAGAGCTGGCACGCATTTTACAATTGTTGCCACGGCCTTGTGTTCGGTGAAGTACACGCTGAAAGATTCCTGCAGACATTCGACGCCGAAGTTGGCAAAGACTAGATTGATGCACGTTCCCCTTATCGTCTTGAATATTTAGCGGCGGTAGCCGCAGGTGTTTCGGGTGAACGAACGAGGCGGCAGCTACGTGCGCTGCGGCGAGCGTGGGGCAGGTGAGGGAGAGAGTGACGTCTGCGCGCAAAACTAGGTGAGCGTGACATCAACGCGCAGCTGGGGTGTGACTTACTTGGCACCACTCCAACACCTGCGGCGAGGAGAACGCGCTGCGGCGCGTTCGTATGGACGCACTAACGTACGTCGTTACACGCGTGAATCAAAGAGCTGCTTTACATCTGAAATAGCTCTGCGTTACTCGGCTGTCATGGAGGTATGCTGAATGTAGCTCGGCGTTCTCCATTTATTCTCGCCCAGCGAAAATTCACGGCCAGCCAACCACGTACACACGACGCGCGTTGCGTTTCTCTCTAGTCGGGCAGTCGCAATCAATACCCGAACATGCCGCAAGTAGGCCGCCTCAGCCCAAGTCTTGCGTCCATTCAGTAACGGCTCTCCTGGCTGCCCCACTAGCGGCTTTCTCAGATTTCACTCTCGCCATTAATTACTACAGGTGCCACAGGTATCTTTTAGCACACGGGATCGCCAATCATCGGTCATGGAAGTCAGCTGTTCGTGATGTATCATAAGCTTCCACGTGGGTGCGTTCAAGTTAAACGGTACCATAGCTTTTAACACCAATAGAGTCACAGGTTGTATTGAATCATTGCACAGTAAACATTCAAGTAGTTCTACGAGTAAACGTTTCACTTCCGTGTTATACCTGTTCTTATGACGGAGGGATGAACCATATTTTCTTAAAATGAAAGTGTTTTATGTATGGGTTCAGCATGGCTTCACGGACCACGTCACGGGTTTGACGTTGTAAAAATATATGCCAACAGACTGCAAAAAAAAAAACGAGAAAAAAAAAAGTTTGGTCTCGTGGTGTCGAATCAGCAACCGCTATATACACCGTGCGTGGCGCTAATTACTGGACCACGGAACGCATGTTGCAAGAGTTAACAGCAAACAATTTATTTACACCCTGTATTATTTGGCGATCCTCTGAGCTGCGCCATTTCAGCACGCTTTTGTTATCAGTAGCGCGATGGCGCGATGAGCTCACGTTGGGTGAGCTGTAAGGGTAGTCGCCTCTTCCATGCCTATCAAATTTCAATGAGCGTCGCCTCCACGGAGCGGGGTCTCTGCTGCGCGAGCTCTAATGAGACTCGTGATTCGAGAGTGCATGGATGTTACTTAGATCGCTGCCATGGCCGCGTTCACGAAAGAAGCGCGCTGTTCACACACGAAGAAAAAAAGATTGTGACTGCTGTTCACACTTGTCCTGTTGATACTTCTGCGTTCGTTTGTTGCGTTTTTCTGTTTCAACAGTGCACTTTAATTTGTCGAGCTGTGACAGTTCTTATTCTGTGCTCATCCTCTGTATGCTTATTTCGAGCATGCTTTCTGCTTGAGGTGCACGATGCAACTTTCGATCTACTTGCCGTTCTTCACTTGACTGCATTTCGTTGCTGTAGCAGTTCATTTTTTTTTTCCTTGTGGCGAAACCGAAGCACAATAATTGCTCAACTATATCTAAGAAGGCCGCATTTCCCTTCTGTGTTACACCGATTCGTAGAATGAGGGATCAGTCACACGTTCTTTTTTTTTTTCTTATTTCGTGTGATAGCGACTACGGACACCAGCGGCGGTTGCGGCGGCTTCGGACAACTCTGGCATCCTTGTTGCGATCTCATAACAGTATTTGCTGTAGAAAAATTCCGGGGCATGTTTCACAGCCTAACTCTTGAAGGCGAATGCCTACTCGCACATGATAGTGCAATAAACCATTACAATCTTGTACCGCACGTTGCAAGGCCTAACGAGCTGCACTTTGATAGACATTCTTAGTAGAACGCACCGTTTCTTCCGATTGTTGCTTCCGTTAACAACAGCGTTGGGCCGCTCTTTTGTCGCTATAACCTGTTCTTCAACATGCACCCGCGACCTATGCGTGAACATCAGGGCACCGTAAATACTACACCAACGAGGCGGACCAGCTAATTTCCCGCGAATATGCATTGATCGAAAGCTTCTTTTCTCATGACGTCACGTGGAGTGACGTGAAGAACGCTCGCTTCATTAACTGTATAAGAGGCGGGGGATCTCTGAAGAGACCTCTGTGCTTGCTTTTCGTTTTTCGTATTTTCAGAGGTTACATAGGGGCCTTTTAAGAGATTTGTGCGCAGTTTTCTAGCTATGCCTTCTGCTCTATTTTATGCTATAGCCATGGTCCACGGAAAAGCCACCTTTTCATGTTAACTGTGTGGGAGAACTCTCTCACAAACCACTAACGAGAATGAAGCCTCGAAAAGACACTATCACCAGAAAAGAAAAGGCATATCAGTTGCGCAGCAGCGTGAAAACGTCACGACAGAGCTGATCAAGCGATGTAAGGTTCAAAAAGCGCATACAGTACAGACAGTATGGTTGATTGATTGATTTGTGGGGTTTAACGTTCCAAAACCACTATATGATTATGAGAGACGCCGTGGTGGAGGGCTCCGGAAATTTCGACCACCTGGGGTTCTTTAACGTGCACCCAAATCTGAGTACACGGGCCTACAACATTTCCGCCACCATCGGAAATGCAGCCGCCACAGCCGGGATTTGATCCCGCGACCTGCGGGTCAGCAGCCAAGTACCTTAGCCACTAGATCACCGTGGCGGGGCATACAGTGTGGTCCACTGTTAAGGGAGCACTTCAATGGGCATATCTCATAGTGATGGGTCCTTACTCGGTAGTTAATACGCAAAGCATTGTGAGTGCGCCAAAGGTGATACATTGAAGATGGCTGAAAGACTAGCCATAGAAGGTGTTCATCAAGAGCTCCGATAGCTTCGTAGAACATGACGCTACGACAGCTCAAAATGAGCTGGATCTTTATTATTTGCTATACAATTTCCCAAATTCTCAGGCGTGGCACTCTAACACACACAACAGTCATGTGTTTGAGCTATGAAGATTGTGACAAAAAAAGTCTGTCGCAAGCAAACACACGCGCCCCCAACCGTAGTCCTACGCTAATCTATGGCACTTTTGTTTCCTCCATAGAGCGAAATAAGGCCATGCCCGACGCACGAAACTGTTCCCGTTCACAGTGGACGCGTTTGTACAAACTGAAGCGGTAACCCGAGGAAAGTTTGTAGAACACATATACGCTAAAAGACTATTTCGCTGAAGAACGCTCCACCATGACAGAACAAGGCAGGCATTGCGCACTCGTTCGTCTCCTTCTTTTGTGTGCCATTAGATCCCACTGCCAATGTTTAAATATGAATCTATATCAAATAGCACGCCTTTAAAACATTCTGCTTTGCCATTTGCCTCTATAGCACATGGTTCACGCATCGCCATTGTGGCTGTTGCGGCAACGGATGGCCAATCTGCAATGCGGCACTCTGCATAGACCTCAAGGGTGTCTGCATGGTCCTTTGCTAAAACATCCAGACTTAGAGATAAGCGTAAGGAACCTCTCGACGTGGGGTCATGTCACAACTGGATCTGACCGCAAGGAGCCGCCGCTACAGACATTAACGCACTAATAGCCTCCATTGAAGACGTTTGAATTCGCTCGGCACCATTCCGCAACTTTTATGCCAGATACTACTCGAGAAGTGGGTTTGAGTACATTAATCAATACATCAACCAAACGCAGCGATTATTTAGCAGCACTTGGGGTGCAGGAGGCGCTAAGCTGTCTACCGCTAACGGAGTTTAAAATTAACGGCGCGAATCCTCCGTGAGAAAGGCGTAACAGTCCTAGCGTGAAGTCCCTTCAGCTAAACTCCTCTGGCAAGGTGATGACGCGGCGGCCCTCGGCAAGAGATGGACCTAGTGTAAGTCTGTGAGGTAACAGGAAGCAAAGGGTTGCCCCGCTCACCGAGGGTTCGTTGCACTCCACGGAGCCTGTCGAGGTCCAGCCGAACGCCTGCAGGATACTCGCGATCCGCGCGCCACAAGCTGCACCGGTCAACTTTAACTTCCTCACTCTGCGGGGGTCCGCGCGATTCTGTTTGTTTTGTAGCCTAGCGGAGACTCACCCGTACCCACTAGGGGGATTCGCCACACTCCAAGTCATAAAGGAAGAATGTAAATGCCGATTGCTCGGCTAAATCGGTTTCCCGTGTTATTGTTATCCAATGGCACATGACTCTCGCAACGACGTTGTGTGTTATGCAAACGATTTCTCTCGTATCCGTAAACTACTCTTTCACGATACCAAAAAGACCATATTTTCTGGGAAAACGTGCTTAAAGAATAGAGTATTTTATAAGGTTACGGAACTACGGCACGAAAATACTGTAAGGCAGTACGGTAGCGCTGCTCCTTTCCAGTGGCAGTGTGGGCCATCCGGACGATCATACTTGCATACCTTCATTCCTCGTTGACAATGAGAAGACTCACACACCCCAACAAGAAGTGACAACCACGCAGTAATTTTTGGAACAGTCTTTGTTGCTGTTTTTAGGGTGCCTTCACTGGTCAACGAACGGGAAAGTATAAGAGCGGTACGGTATAACATCGTACAATACTTGCGTACCATGTCTCCGTATCTTCCTAAAAAAAAAAACCCTAATATGAGGGTAGCGACACCACCTCGAAGTTTCGGCTTCATTCACCGTGACATCGTGCATACTGACGGTGCCTACCGAGGCCTACGGAGTTTCTAAGCAGTAAAGAACAAAATGCAATGTCAACTTAGCGGGCCATAAATTTAAAATATCAAGTTCGAGAAAATTTTGTAGAGCGAATGGCGTCAGAATACGATGAATGTGTTTTGAAATTCGCGTCCCTTACGAGCGTGCGTTTAGGCGTGTGGTCGTTTTTTAACGCTACAGTCTTTAGAACACTCCTTGCACTCTTAATTTATATACGTTTTTTTTTCTTTTGGATATCAACACTTGAAAAAATATTCATAAATTTTATTCTTACTCAGTCCTCTGGAGCGGTTTAGGGTTATAGCGAGGGTACAAGCCACGTGTCCTAAAAGAACGAAGTTAAAGCTTACTAAGGCTGCGAAGAAATAAAGCGATTGCCATGTTAGTGTACATTTTTTTTACTTCTATCTTTCATTTAGGACACATCACTACCTGTGTTTCAAACCACATCTGATAGCCTGCATCCCTGCTCAGCTATTTTCCTTTTTCGATTATTGGCTTTCCATCTATTGATAAATACATATATGCATGTATATATGTATATATATTTCTTTCAGTCCAGGTTACATTCTATTTGTAAAACCATAAGCCTTTAACTTCCTGTTGATCCTGCCGCCAGGTTCTTGGCCGATCCATTTTTGTGGGTGTGCGCCAGTATTAAGGATCGTCATCAGCATCACTACTGAACATTCATTGTAGTCATTTCATTTTTGAAGATGGGTAAAAGTACGATGGTAGAAATTTTCTAAGCTTTGGTGCCTCAATTTAGGGAGATTGACGCAGTGGTGCATTCAATGCGGCTCGCGGTTTTATTCAAGCCGCTTGAATAAAACTAAAATTCAACTCAATAAATATCGTTGAATCAACAATAAGGAGTGTACTAAACCATATATATTGAATACGGTGGGGTGATGTAAACGTAGCTGTCTAGTCAGCCCAAAATTGGATACGAAGATGTAGCTAACAGTGTTACGGCACGAGCCACACAAATTCTATCTGAGCGTCCTTTTTTTTTCTTTAGAGTGAGCATGCGTATCTCCCAATAATTTGGCCCCGTAATGAAGAACTGCTACACGTTAATAGTCAAAAACAGATGCCAGTGTCTAAGCCATGAAATAAGAAACAACAGGTAAATATTTGATAATAATGAAATGAGCAATATTTATTATTAACAACAACAACGTGAACACGCACAGCCACAGCAAAGCAAAAAAAAGGCAAAGAAATATTGCTGCAAATGTTGCTCAGTCAAGGCATTCACAACCCCTTGGGTCTCTGCAACATGCTATAATTGGTAAAGCACAATGAGAACAACCGTGAGACGTCTCATGATGCGATGATGAGCACTGTGACGGGTGACGAGCCCGTGTCCACTGAACCCGCTAGTGGAACGTTAGCCAGTGACGCTGTGCGTTCAAGACGACGCCGATGAGGGCCACAGCAAGTGGCCAGACGGCGATCCCTGAAAGCGATGTGGTGATACCGCCGCTCTTCCCAGGTTTCGTGTCCTTGTCGCCTTTATCGCTGTCGCTTGGCTGCGTCCAAAAGAAGAGAAAACGGAAACAAAAATGATTTGTGAACAGACGATCGAATGTTAAAATAACAAAGCTGAGCTAGTTGATTAGCATTCATTCTAAAAGGCAGGGTGTGCGAAAACAGATGCAAGATGTCTGTGTTAGCGGTGTCTTAATTTCTCGTGCCCATGTTGGTATACCTCGTCTCTTGTAATAAAACTTCTAATCCATGCACGAAGATCGACTGGTAGATGAAAATCGGTATCTTGACAAGGCAATCGAAGCTCTGTGGAGGCAGTCATTAGGTGACACAGCATACATACTGGCGTAAATTATGTGGAGAGGGGGCTTTTGACTTCTCTTTTGCTCGATTGGAGTGGAGAGGGGTGCACATTGCAAGTGCTTCTCCGGTTAAATTTATCTTTTAAGCATAATTTAACTGCTCGACAATGAAGTATCTCCGACTCTCCGTAAAACTAACCCTGCAATCTGAAGGCCTTACAGAGAGCAGAAACGGATGTACCTAGTGAAAAGGGCCTTCCATTTTTAAGAGCAACTGTAGGTTGCCAGCTTGCTGAAAGTCTACAGGTTATGCCAAAAAAGCTTCATTATGCGTACTTTGAAAATGTGATGTACATAAATAAACCCCGATCTATCATATTTTCTTTAAAAAATTAGGCGGGAGCAATTGACGAAAAATTCGCATTCGACCATTCGACTGTGACCATGTCATTTGATGATGATTAGTGGAGTTTATTAGCGGAAGGGCCAGATATGGGCAAAGAGCGCCAGAGTGATGATAATGAATTGTGCGATGTGCAGTGTGGATAAAACAGATGTGACATGGCTGTAAATGGGCCTAAAAACACTCACTGTAGGTGCGTAAAAATATACATATAGTAAAATTATGGCAATGACAAATGATGTGTGCTATGGAGGCATAAAATGGTTTAAAAGTGATACGTATGTGAAATAAAAACTTGGCATGAAGCACCAGTGCCTCGACAGAGCCCTTAAAACAAGAGCATGGAGGCATGGGCTCATTGAAAGCTGCTATCACAGCGGCATCCTCTAAACAGAGGATGCGCTATGAACTTGTTGGGCTAAAAACATGCAATGTTGGACTAAAAATATTCAATACTGCGTCCTTTAAAAAGCTTAGAACTAATTTTGCATCAAAAAGCGGCTCTTCGCCAAGAAACATAATCGGATGTAAAAGAAGATGATAGCGGTATGCTAAAGGAAAATATTTCTTTCTCTTTCAGCTTCCAGACACTCCAAAGGACGTGGAGGACGGTTAGCCTCTCGCCATATCTACCACAAGTAGGAGGTTCATCTCCAGTCAGCAGAAAGCTATGGGTACCATAAGTGTGTCCTATTCTGAGGCGACAGAATAGGACATCAGTTCGCCGTGTTCTCGTAGCGGAGGGCCAGTAACCTAGCTGCGGCTTAATCAAGTGAAGCTTATTTATTTCTGTGTCCCACAATCGTTGACAGTGGCGTCGCAGTTTATAGGAAGGGTTTTAGGTCTGTTGCAGGGACAGTAGCAGTAGGGTTAATAACGCGCAATATAATTGACGTGGCCATTTGGTCAGCTAACACATTGCCCTCGACACTTCTATGGCCAGGTACCCAGCAAATAGTAACATGCTGGTTGGACATATACGCAATACACAGGATGGAATACAACTCAATTATTACTGGATTTCTTAATCTAAAAAGTGATCTTAATGCATTTACGATGCTTAATGGGTCTGTATATATAATTGATTTTTGTATGTTTGATTTCCGTATATGCTTCAGAGCCGACAATAGTGCATAACCCTCCGCCGTAAATATACTTGTTTCCGGGTGCAGTACCCCGGATTCCGAGAAGGATGGTCTGCTGCATAAGCTACCTCTGCATGCGACTTAAAAGCGTCGGTATAAAACTCTACGCATGAGTAGTTGGATTGGAGTTCTGGAAAATGCATTTTAATATGTGCTTCAGGTGCGTGTTTAGTGATCTCGACAAATGAGGTGTCACAGTGTATAAGCTGCCACTGCCACGGCGGTAAATGTTTCGCTGTGGGCGTAGGACAAAGTTCTAGCAGCGGAACACCCATCTCCTCACTTAAGTTTCTCACACGCAAAGAGAACGGCTTTCTCACTGCGGGTCGATTATGGAAGAGGGTGGCAGCGGTCATATCGTTTATAGTTGAATAAGAAGGATGCTTGATGTTTGTGCGTACCTTTATAAAATATGTGAAACTGCTATAGGATCGCTGCAGGTGAAGTGACCACTGATTCGACTCAACAAAGAGGCTCTGGATTAGACTTGTCCTGAAAGCACCGGTTGCTTTTTTTGTACAACTTCAAGAGGCACTTTCGATCACTACCCATGTAAAGCACCGGTTGCAAGTTGGATACCCAGATGGTGAACGGGGTCTAGGATTTTTAATGCACTTGGCGTTGCGGAATGATAAATTATAGAGGCATAATCAAGGCGCGACCCGACAAGGCTTTTGTACAACTTCAAGAGGCACTTTCGATCAGTATATCCATGTTGTACGTGATAGGAGTTTTAGGACGTTCATCGCTTTCAAACATTTCATTTTGACATATTTAATATGGGGAATAAACGTCAGCTTAGAAGCTAAAGTGGTTCCCAGGAATTTGTGCTCGCTGCTCACAGAGAGTTCATATCCCTTGATCGCAACATTTGGTTGTGGCATTACCCCTCGTTTGTTGGAGAAAAGTACGCAAGTACTTTTCTTGGTGTGTATTTTAAAAACATTTTCATCCGCCCATTTAGAGAATTTATTCATTCCAAGCTGCACTTGTCGTTCGCATATAGACATATTGCATCATTTAAAACTCATCTGCACATCATAAACATACACGGAATAAAATATCGCGCTTGGAATGACTGACTACAGGGAGTTCATTTTTACAAGAAAGAGTGTGCAACTAAGCACACCCCCTTGCGGAACACCAGTCTTTCGGGTAAAAGTTCGAGAGAGCATTTCCCACTTTTACGCGAAAGGTTCGGTTAGACAGATAACTTTTAATTGTGTTTAGCATGTTCCCATGGATGCCCATGGTGGCAAGTTCGCGGAGAATCCCGAATCGCCATGTGGTGTCGTACGCCTTTTCTAAGTCTAGGAATACCGAAAGTACACACTGCATATGAATAAATGCATCTCTGATGTATGTCTCTATGCGAACAAAGTGGTCTGTTGTCGACCTCCCCTCTCTGAAACCACACTGAAGGGGGTCTAGTATACTGTTACTTTCTAGAAAGTGGATTAAGCGCCAGTTTATCATTTTCTCATATAGTTTGCATAGACAGCTTGTTAGCGCTATTGGCCTGTAGCTGGCGGCCAAAGACGGATCTTTGCCTTGTTTAATTAATGGGATGACTATAGTTTCTTTCCATGACAATGGAATATACCCAGCTGCCCACATGCTATTGAAGAGAGTTAAGAGTGTTTTTAGTGCTTCGGGGTGAAGGTAGTTGGCCATTTCGTACGTTATACGATCGACACCTGGCGCCGAGTTGTTGCAGCACGCAAGAGATGCCTTAAGTTCAGCTAACGTAAATGGGCAGTTGTAAGTCTCACTGCATGGACGTTTACATTTAAGGGGCTGCCGCTCTTCGCATTGTGTGAATTTTAAGAACGTTTCTGTATAGTTTGATGCACTTGAGACGTATTCAAAGTGTTCGCCTAGGCAGTCCACTGCTCCTCCAGGCTCTCACCTCGGCTATTTACAAAGGGTAGGGGCTGCGACTCCCAAACCATGAACTTGTTTACCCTATTCTAAACCTTTGTTTCGTCGGTGTAAGAATTGATACCAGATATGTACCTATTCCAACTTTCTTTGCAAGACGACGCGTTCTTCTGGCTTGTGACTTCACCTGTTTGAAATTGACGAGGTTTTCAGCCGTTGGGTAATTTCGGAGGAATCTCCAAGCTTTATTTTGACTACTTCACGCTTTCCGACAATTGTCGTTCCACCATGGAATGCGACGCTTATTAGTCATTCCGTTAGTTTGCTTAATATATTTCACTGCAGCGTCAATAATAAAATCTGTTAGGTATGCCACAGCATCGTCTATATTAAAATCAGCAATGTCATCTCCATCTAAAAATATGTTTTCTCGGAACAGTTCTTAGTTGGCTGTCTTGGTGTTCCAACGAGGAAAGTCAGGAGAGCATGTATCTTCTTTAGTTAGCTTCAACATTATCGGAAGTGGTCACTCCCAAAGGGGTTCTTAAGAACAGACCACTCCGGATAAGGAATTAGTGTACTCGAGACAATACTCTGGTCTATAGAAGAGTATGTTGTGCGTAGTGCTATAATATGTTGATTCTTTTTTGTTAAGTAAACATGCACCTGACGAAAACAGTTTTCTATTAGGCGTCCTCGTGCATCCAAACGGGAGTCGCCCCATAGGTGATTATGTGCATTTAGATCAACGATTATATATGGCGGAGGAAGTTCAGCAATGAAGCTTTGAAATTGTGTCTTCGAAAGTTGATAGCACGGAGGAATGTAAATAGAGGTAATTGTTAGTAGCTTCCCGAACAGCACTGCTCGGACAGCAACTGCCTCAAGAGAAGTTCGGAGGTTTAATTGCTTACAGGCAACACCTTTATGAACTATTATAGCGACACCGCCCGACGAGGCGGCAGCGTCGTCATGGTCTTTGCGGAAGATGGCATATTGCTTTAGAAAGTTTATTTGTGTGGACTTGAGATGTGTTTCCTGAACACACATCACCTTTGGAGTATGTTTATTAAGGAATTCTCTTAATATCATCGAGGTTATGGAGAAGTCCTCTCATATTCCACTGTAAAATCTGTGTGTCCATTTTAGATGTGTTTATTCTGTGTGCTCAAGGATGGTAAATTAGCTCACGGGGGCCGTGACACGAGATTTTTCTTTTTTGGATCGGTCGACGGAGTCGCGCCGATCCTTAGGCGCTTGCTGCGCCCTCACGCTCGGAGTTGTGTCCATTGCCTCTTGCGAGGCACTGGACAAGCGCTCTTGCGAGCGCTGCATTTGTTTTGAGGGACTCGCTTCTAAAGACGAGGCCTTCGCGGCCCTAAGCCCGGAGGTTGGTGGGCCCTTCTTAGATGGCAGAGCAGCACTGGCTGCAACCACCGAGGGGGTGGATGGTGTCACCGTTGGCTCACTACGCGTGTGCCAGACAGCGGCCGGGGGCCGTCGTGGCGCTGCCCCCTGACGCGCCACTTCGGCAAAGCTGGTTTCTGGTAGGTAGGACACCTGCCTTCGTGCCTCCTCAAGGAAAATGTTTTCTTTTACTTTAATTGTGACTATTTCCTTTTCTTTTTTCCAGCATGGGCATGACCGTGAGAATGCGGCATGCTCCCCATTACAGTTCGCAGAGTGAAGAGAGTTTTCACAGGCTTCAGATGTATGTTCTGAAGCACTGCATTTGGCGCAAGTTAGGTGGCCTCGGCAGTTCTGTGAACTGTAACATCGAAGAGGGTTTGGTATATATGGCCTCACTCCAAGCCTGATGTACCCAGCCTCAAGGAGTCGGGCAGTACACTTGAATTGAAAGTAAGTATCAGGTGCTTAGTCTGGACTTCTTTTCCATCACGCCTCATCCTAATTCACTTCACGTTGATGACATTCTGTTCGATGAAACCCTCCAGGAGTTCAGCCTCCGTCAGCCCTAACAGGTCATTATCTGAAACAACGCTATGGGTGGTGTTCATGGTTCGGTGTGGGGTTACTATTAATTTGGTATCTCAAAATTTTACTAGATTAGACAATTTTTCATATTGTTTCTGGTCGCGGAGCTTTAACAGGAGGTCACCACTTGCCAATCTCGATGCTTTATGTCCTAGGCCAAAGATTTCTGTCAAAAACTTCGAAACAAGAAAAGGTGAAAGTGTTCGCACTGGTTTGCCGGGTGTGTCAGCGTGGATAACGTGGAATCTGGGAAAAAATACTTTCTGGTGACCAAAAAACTGGAAGACTTCATCGGTGCGCCCTCTTTTCTGAGGGCGATCAGGGAGTGAGGGGAAGGAACTAGCCATATGAAAAGGTTTATTTTCGGCAGCAGCGCCGGCCACCCACCATAGAGTCCTACAAGGGGACGCTGCAGGGTCTGTAAGCACAGGCCCTGCAGACGCCAGCTGTACACTATCACTATAACCAAATATGGTTTATCCAAGGTAGGATAGCCACACAGAGTTAACCCTTGCCGCCAGGAAACACGGAAGCCAACGGAAGAGAGTAGAGGACAGGAAAGATTTGAAGTAAGAGAAAAGACGAAGATGTGAGGTGAAGACAGGAAAAGGCGACTGCCGATTCTCCCAGGCAGGTCAATCCGGGGGTGCCGTCTACGTGAAGCCAGGGCCAAGGGGGTGTGTTGCCTCTGCCGAGGGGCCTTAAAGGTCCAAGCACCCAGCGTCAGCTCAACCCCCAGGATCCCCTTTTCCCCGGACAAGGCTCAGCCACGCACGGCTAGGCGCGCGGAGGGGGGGAACCGAAACCCCCCGTTAGCTCGGGTCCGTGGTGTCGCTACACACCAAATGCCTGCTTACGCAGACGCCCCTGCGGGGACCATGTCATTTGAAAAAGCAATTCCAGTGTTATATTCTATTTTATTTCAGCTCAGCGGGGCTATAGTGAAAACCTTTTTGGTGGTTTGAACAAGTGACATCCTTGTTTCTTTTCTAAGCACTTCCGGCCCGATACCTCTGCTTTTTCGAGTATTCATAAGTAAAACAGAGCTTGTACAAACTGATGGTTTCGATCAAACTGATGAGGCATGGTGGATACATACAGCCAGGGGGTCGTGACGTTGATGAAGTTGTCTTTAAAGCACGGTACACGTTGAATCCGGGATATTGAATAGCAACAAAAACCTTATTTCCTATCCTTACTGAGTTGATAGTATAGAGTTGGGGAAGAGTGAAATAGAAAACTAGAGAAATCAAGGCAGAAACGTAACACGCTTGCACGCACAGCAGCGTGTACCACGCAATCAGGTTGGTTATACTAAAGAATCTAAACATGAAGCACTGTATTCCAAATGTACAGAGCACATTTTCGCTGAAGGATGGTCAACCATGCATGAAGGGCCTTGGGAGGCTGGCAATATACTTCTTATTGGCCATCCAATCAGGGAATCTCACGAAATTTTTTAGGCACCTTCTAGAATGGCGTACACTCGAAGAAAAGAAAAAAAAAGTGGGGTGGAGGGGCCGTTTGTCCTGTTTGCCACACGTGACGTGTCATGTTTGTCCCACGTAGAACACTTTGGAGAGTCAGCCACCCACTACAGGGAGTTACGTGGGTGAATGACTTGCGTGGCAAAAATAGACTTTTCTCCCCAGACTGGTGAACGTACAACTTCCCTTTGTTTTTGCGAAAAAAAAAACGAGGCCTGTTCTGTGGCTTTACACCAAAGCCATCCGGTCGACCCTTAACTGCATGGTGGTCGCTGGAGGTGACCCTTTCACCTTTTTTTTTACTAAAGATACCAATTCCTTCTTTAGAGAAAATAATTTTACCACAAAGTTAATTTGTCAATAGAAGTCCATTTGCTGCCACAAATGAGTTCTGTGCATAGCAGTTGATTCCAACTTCTCTCCATTTTTTTACCATCCTCTATCGATGATTTCTCAAAATGATTCTCGACAACTGCTCGAGTGCACTCACCGATGGGGCCTCTATTTTTATAGCTGATGACATCAGACCGACGTAGAAATCCGGCTTTGTCCTCACAGCGGTAGCCCTGGCATTAAAGGAAACTTTTTGTGAGACGCAAAGCTTCAAGTGGAAGCACTGCAACTTGTGCCAATGAAGTAAGCATCACACAAAGGATAAACGTATACGTGTGCAATTGTTGATGTGCAAGTCTACCGATTGAGAGTTTTTGGCTCACCTGAACATGACGTCTCCAGTAAAGCTGTCCGGAGCTGTCCACGTGACTGCGACAGAATTCTTGTCCCCGTTGTGAGTGTGAGTGACAGCACTCTGCAGCAGGCATGCGTCAGAAGTGTGCGCGTTATAATTACTGCGTTAGTACGTCCCGAAGCCACGAGATTCTTGTAAGGGATGCAGTAATGGTGGTCTCCAGGAATTCAAACAATCTGGAGTTCTTAAATGTGCTCCTAAATTAAAATTACCTTCAACACGCACACGGGACTCAATATTTTTCTACCTCCGTAAAAACACTGGTCATGCATTGGTGGGCTTCACTTCAAAGGACGTCACAAGACGATAGCCTCCTGTGTAGAAGCGATGCATGTGATATGGCACGATCTTGCAGTAATGTGACGAAACGAAAGTATTTATTAGAATGCATAGCCACTGGTAGGTGACAGCCCCATGTCGTTTTAACGAATCATTAAAAGCGCCCGTTGTTTTCGTTCATGGCGTATCATTGCCAGTGTGGCGTAATAAACTGCGGTCTTCAGAATTACGTGTATAAGCATCTTATAAATACACAAACACACTACCCAATACTTATCGATGTTTCGCCTCAAATATGTGTAATATTTGCTTTTTTTTTTATCGACAATGTTCAGGAGTAAGAACGCAGCCACCAGATCAAGAAGGGTGGGCTTTGAGCATTGGTTTAAACTTTCGTAAACTTTCGCCGTGTGGTTGAATTGTTGGACAGATGCCAGCAAACATACAGTCGAAAAATTTTGCGTTAAAGTATCCCGAGGAAGTCTATCATATTTGAAAATGTGGCCGCTACAGCCCGGATTTAGATCCCGCGACCCCAGTGTCAGCAATCGCGCACCACATTCACGAGACCACAGAGGCGAATGACAGACCAGCTCTGCACAAGACGAGTCTCCAAACCATTAGCTCGTCACGCGGCTGTCCCTGGATAGACTGCGCTTCGTTTCATGGCGAAAGGTCATAATCACTGAATCACCGTCCACTAATGAGTAGACTCATCTAACCAGCGCAATCATTCTGCTCCCATTGACCTCTTCTACTCGGCTTAAACTATTTCTCGTCACATTGGTTACCGCTACCATCGTTTTTTCCAAACGCCTCACAGTATTGTAAAAGTTTTTCTGAAAGCACCTTCCGCAACTAAAGAGCGACATTTTTAAAAGAGCGCAAGCTAATGCGGGCAAATAGCTCATGTTATAGAACACCATTTAATACACCAGAGTGAATGCTACACGTGGTAACCATGACGTCGCTAACACCAGTAATTGGCCCTATGAAAAACATTTGCCTTCAAGAATAAACTTTACGACACCTGATGCTCTATACTCACGTCTGTATGGCCATCGCAATCCAACCCTTTCATTGTGTCGGGCTTGTCAATCGTGAACTTTCCCGATACCACGCCACCATCTTTGCTCACTGCTTTGATGAGGAAACCCTTGAAGGTCCCAGTCAAAACCACTGCATCAAAGAACCATTGGCAAAGGATCATTATCGTACTCCTTCACCAGACGAAAACATTCGTTCTCACGCCAGCTGAACGGCAGTTACACACACGCGCATGCACGAACACTTGCTTGACTACCACGAAAACAGGGACTAGTGACTCCTGGAGTGTTCACATTTCGCGTACGCACTTCTTAAGGGCGAAGCTCCTTACGCCGTGGGTCGTACGTCTCGTGTCGTCACCGTCGTAGTAGTAGTCACCTCTGTTTAGTCCTTAGAATGTCCGCTGGATGGTGGTATTTGTATATGATAAATATATGAATGAAAAGATGCGAGGTGGCGGTACTTGGAATGTTCACTAGATTGACGAACGGACAGACAGACAGATGAAAGGCCGGACGCACGCATGGACGGACGGACGGACGCAAGAACGAGCGAACGGAAGCACGGGCGGACTGACAGAGGCTTCGGCCCATTCGTCATCCTTCCCTCCGTAAATATGCTGCGATTTTCTTTTCTTTTTTAAATGCGAAGCAGCTTATGGCCGGTGCTAGTCCTTTGTCCGTAGCCGTAGCCACGGCCGGACTCGACTCCTTCTCCAGCGCTCCCCTCGTGTGCGGAAGGAGCGTCGAGTCCGGCCGTGCCGTAGCCACGCTAGTACTCGGAGCGTCCACTAGATGGCTCTGTAGTAGAGTGCTCGCTCCACTCCGTTGCGTGCTCTGGTAAGTGTGTAGGCCTCTAGCGCACTGCGCTGCTCTGTATATAATACAAGCGCTTACTTCTCCCTCTATCACACGCATAAAGCGTAGTTGCATAAATGAAGACAAGACCATGAGTGCAGCGGAGACGAGGGCTAGCAAAACGGCACTGTGCGCAACCATGAACGCCTATAGTAATAAATAAAGAGTACCTCTTTACAGAACCTAAAGTCGACACATGGCTGCTTCACATACTACTCGGAGTTCACATTACGGGGAGATGTGTGCGATGTTCTTTTCTTTCTGTCATTTTTCTACTTCATTTATTTTCGCATTGCGTAACGCTCTCCCACAACTTTCCCTAACTTATGCAAGGAGCTTGATTTCCTCCGTGCGTAGCAGCGAAATACTTTAGATGTTACAGGCAACAACGACAGGTCATGCGTTAACATCCGGACAACACGGGAATGTGGAAACGTTAAGTCACAAGAAACCTGGATAAAAGGATCAGATTGTCTCATCAGAAACGACTGATCGCCGAATAGCTCATGATCGAGTGGGCATCGACTGCAAAATGACACGTATGAAATGTGCACGTGACCACCGAACCTTCCGGAGTAGCATTTCTTGGAGCTCTGGGATGCCGGAGTTTCCTCGTGCGACACCGCAAACTCGATTTATAAAAGCTTTGCCTAGAATGTCACAAGTTTTCACTAGAGCTTACACGGCATTATCGGCGCTCAAGTCAGCAGCGTCACGCAACGACGATATGGGAGCGTCGGTAAACGACCAGATAAGCTTCACGGGCTATTATTCTGATCATAGTTATCTTATTTTCGAACTCGGAATCCACGTTTTGGGACAAACACGATGTTCGATAAACGCTCGTCTGAAAATTTCTTTAGCAGTTCGGATTTATCCAAAAAGCTACGTATTTTGATGATGATGATGATAATAAGTGGGGTTTAACGTCCCAAAACTACCATATGGTTATGAGAGACGCCGTAGTGGAGGGCTCCGAAAATTTCGACCACCTGGGGTTCTTTAACGTGCACCCAAATCTGAGCACACGGGCCTACAACATTTCCGCCTCCATCGGAAACGCAGCCGCCGCAGCCGGGATTCGAACCCGCAGACTGCGGGTCAGCAGCCGAGTACCTTAGCCACTAGACCACCGCGGCGGGGAAGCTACGTATTTTAATGGTCATTACGATTGCTGCATTCTTCATCGAAAAGTGACGTGCTAGGCAGTTACAGATACATCGGCTGGTTTAAACAATAGAAAGTATCTAACGTCAACACTATCTCATAGACCACTTCCACCGCACATTTAACACAGGGATGGTCGAGAAACTTCAACGTATGCCGTGCAACCGGCTGTACGAGATGATATAGTGAAAAAGCACAAAGCTATGTACACAAAGGGACTTCGTCAAACACTCCCGCAGTGAATCCCAATTCTTAAATAAAAAAAAAATTATCCGCTCAATGCAGAAGTTTACAAAACACGAGCATTCCAACAAATGTAATGTCTTATCAGGACGAAAGTTTCCCGATATATGCAAACAAAACCTGCGTAAAACCGCAAGGTGTCTTAAAGATATACACGGTTTGCTTGCATGTGCTCCAAATTGTCGATGAATTCACCATCGCGCTGCTAATTTCTAGCTTCCTAGTTGGCTCAGTCGGTAAAGTGAACACCCCGGAAAGGCGCTGTTCCCGGTTTCGATCATCCCACGATCAGGATGAATTTTTCGGCCACTAAAAAGCTATTCGCTCTGACAGATCCGTATGGGTTTTCTTGTGAATTCGTGCCACAAACGGGTGGTTTTCATATATTTTTGCTTTCATTCCCCTGTGATATGTTCTATGTGCTTTCGAGTTTCGTGTTTAGATATAACATTTAGGGGCATCGAAGAACCAAGTCCAAGGCAAAATTGAAACTCCGTGTTTTGCATAATGAAGGATTTGCAAAAAATGAACGTCGATGAACTACTTCCCAACAAAAAATATAAGCACCTTTCGACCTCGTGATGGCGAATGTCTTTCTTAATGACCCCCATTCAGCCCACCCCGTTCTGTACAAGCCTATTCAATTTACAACTAAAAAAAGAAAAAGAAAGCAGTGCCAGTGCACGCAGCAGCGTTGAACTCCTTGTGATCAGTCCTTCATTCTCTTGTCTGGGCTGTTTTTGCGTTATTTTGAAGAAGTGCAAGGACACAGAAGTTGTCTTCTGAAAGCGGCTAAACGCTGTTGCAAAGCGCAAACTGTCGGAACTCTACATGCTCAGTCTAAAAAAAGTAATTGCAAAAAAACGCAACATGGTAAAAAAAAAACAGCATACAATCCGAATCACGAAAATACCATAAATGAAGCTTCACTTGTTAGTCAACACTAGTTTGCCCATATCTGGCAGTGTTACTTTTTCTTGCTCTTTTTTTTGTCTACCGAACTACCTACACACCTATCCATTCACCTACCTATACATATCTATATCATTCTATCCTATACCTCCTATACATTCTACCTATCATTCTACCTATCATTCTACCTATACATATCTATCCACATCTACGAACACATCTATCTATTATGAAAGTGTGCAGCACCCGCATCCACTCACCCTTGACGCTTCGCTTGCCGTCGATCGCAGCGGTCAGGTCAAGGATACCCTTATCGTTGGAGGCCGCCGTGCCATGTTGTGGCATCATGTCATTGCAGGCCTGAAGCGGCGCTCCACTGGGGTAGCATACAGTCCCGCGAAACAGTACGACCAGCAGGCACAGATTGCGCAGGAACATTACGCTCACTGCGGGTACGGCACAGAACCGGAAAGATGGTTAGATAAATAAATAAATGTTTTGAATGCTGCAATCAATTCTAGAGTCTTTATACTAATAAACAAAATTCAGTAATTGTTCGGCACTTCACGATAGGGCTGATTTAATTCACTAGTAAATTTTTTTCACTCCTGCATGACCGGCAAGTCAAGCGAACTCAACTGGCGGGTTAATTTTCACCACGATTCACTCGTGGCAACGTTCTCTGGCTCACCCATGAACTTTTGAAGCTTAAGAAAGCTTGTGCAAACTGTATCCATTGGGTCGATTCACTTTCGACGTGCTTTTCATTTTTTTTAAAGTCTACTATAGATACATTGGCCTTGTACACATGTAGAAACCATTGCGACGTAGCAGAGGGTTTGGCGATACCTCGTCTGGTAGCGATGAAACATCGGTGCCAGCTGTGAAAGACGCCGATTAATTTGACATTGTAACCAACGCTTTTCGTGTGAGAGCCCCTAAACCTCACCGTATATGTGTTCTCACTTTATCAATATTTTTTTTGTGAGTTGCTTCATTAAAGAGCAAGGAAGTACCAGTGCAAACAGATACACATTAGAGAAACAGCGTGTGCGCAAAAGCAGATAACTGATTATGGTCGATGTATTTCAGTTTCTACCAAACATCTTAATTTAGGCAAGTTCGCAGCACTCAAATAGGACACTAAAATCATCCCGCGATACGTACTAGCAGAGTGATTAGTAAATCTTGCATTCCGAGTTTTCCGCGAAACCCGAGGTGCAGTGCCATCCGCCCAGGCTGAACATGGCTTTGCGTGGCCGCACTCTGCTGAGCGCGGCACTGGATCAACAGCGACCGCGCATTGAAGCGAAGCGGTGCTCGCGCACATGTACCGACGGGAAATACTGCGTCGCGTCATGTGCAGCAGTTCTGGAGCGTGACGCCGCCTCTTGCTTTGCTGTAGGACAGCAGGAACAGGGCGTTCCTGCGCCGTTTCGATGCGCGGCGGCGCTTGATACACTGCCACTCCGCAGAGTGTGGCCACGTGGAGCCATGTTCACCTCAATAGTGGACGGCACTGTACAACAATCACTATGCCTAACTCGCACTCAGACGAGCGGGCTCGACCTGCTTCGACTGACGCCAGAGCCGCCAAGGATCGAACCCGCGTATGTTTGCTGCAGCTAACGATAGATGGAGCGCCGATCAATTTCGCTTGTAAATTTCCGTTTCACTTCTACCAGACCGGCGAGTCGAGTGAACTGAGTTAAAAGGCCAATTTTCACGACGTTTCACTGGTGGCAACGTCCTCTGGCACTCATGAAATTTGCTGCAGTATTGCTTATCTCTGCAATGAGCCCTTGCGTTCGACAGTACAAGCGCAGAGATAAGCATTACGAATTTCATAGACGGGCGTGAGATCGTCAATTTTGACTATCTGAAATTCTGTAACGGCACACTTTTTTCGTTTTGCACCAAGACAGAAACGTGGCCACCGTGGCCGAGAATCAATGTAATATCCTGGAGCTTATCTGCGTAATGCCTTAACCACTAAGCCACAACAGTGAATTACTGTCAACAAAGTTTAGACTTCTAGGACATACGGACACAAAAACATGAAAACAGCGCCCGACATTCGTTCACGTTTCCCACGTGTCTATATTGCAGTGTGAATCACCAAGATACAATCAATATAAAATAAGCAACCATTGCACTGCATAGAAAGCCATCAACTTGCACAGATAAACCAGTAAAAAAAATCCGGTCGAAGTGTGGCATAACAAAGTCATGCGCTTTCGAGGGTCGGTTTCTGTGAATGCGCTGTGCCGCATGGTCGGTCTGAATGACAATGAATGAATGACAAAGCGGTGGTTCTTAGTCTTGACGTTTCTGTAGGGCACTTGACACAATCTATAACGGGCAACGCGGACAATATAACTCCTCTTATATAACTGCTCTTATTGATACCGGTGCACAAATATCTGTGATGAGCTCAGACCTCCGCCGCCGCCTCCAAAAAGTTCTGACGCCTGCGATTGCACCTACTGTTCGTACAGCGGATGGGAGTACTCCTGTTGTGCTTGGAATGTGCACTGCGCGATTAACAATTTCTGAGCATCAAACTTCAGTTCTGTTCGCTGTACTGGAAAATTGCCCCCATGACCTAATCCTTGGACTCGACTTTCTGACTTCACACGCTGCGCTTATTGACTGTTCCAAAGGTCTTCTTCAGCTTGAACTACCATCCTTTTCGGAGACCGTCTCTACCAGCCCACTTCGTCTACGCTCTGTCGATTTCCTTAGACTTCCGCCGCAAGCCGCAGTCCAAGTCCAACTCTCGCCATATCCTGCAGTACCCGATGGTGATTATGTTGCTGCCCCGATTTCTGGCGTCGCCATGACACGTAATGTTGCAATCCCCAACACGGTGGTTACCGTAAAGGACAACTGAACTTCGTTTCCCGTCCTCAATTTCGGCCTCTCAGCGCAAGTTATTCCTCGCGGCATGTCACTTGCGCATCTTACACCACTGGCCGACCACACAGTTTCCGCTCTAACCACCAATTCGCCACCCGATTTTTCATCAACGTCGTTCTCGTCACGTTCCTGTTCCGACCTTTTCAAGCCAATGCTATCTGACAAGCTCACCTCTGAACAAGTCTCTGCTTTCTGCCGTGTGCTTGCTTCTTATCAGGACATCTTTGACTTCGGCGACCGTAATTTGGGCCAGACATCTGTGGTAACCCATCGCATCGACACCGGTGACGCTCGACCCATTCGCCGACGACCCTACCGTGTGTCAGCCCCGGAGCGTGCTATTATACAGCGAGAAGTCGATAAAATGCTTGATAAGGGCATAATCGAACCCTCATCTAGTCCCTGGTCCTCACCCGTTGTACTTGTTAAAAAGAAGGACAATAGCTGGAGATTCTGTGTTGATTACCGCCATCTCAACCATATTACCAAGAAAGATGTCTATCCCCTACCGCGCATAGATGATGCACTCGATTGCTTGCACGGTGCCAAATATTTCTCTTCAATAGACCTTCGCTCAGGCTACTGGCAGATCGCTGTGGACGACAAAGACAGAGAGAAGACAGCCTTCGTGACTCCAGATGGACTTTATCAGTTCAAGATGATGCCTTTTGGATTATGCAATGCCCCCGCGACATTTGAGCGCATGATGGACTCTCTCCTTCGAGGCATGAAGTGGACCATCTGCCTCTGCTATCTTGACGACGTTATTGTTTTTTCGACTACTTTCGACGACCATCTTACCCGTCTGTCCGCAGTGCTTGATGTTTTTCGACGTGCCAACTTGCAACTTAACTCGTCCAAATGCCGCTTTGGGCAACGCCAAATCTGCGTACTCGGCCATCTTGTTAACGCTGCGGGCGTTCAACCAGACCCTGCGAAAGTCCGAGCACTTCGCGACTTCCCCACACCCCGCTCAGCCAAGGACGTCCGAAGTTTTCTGGGACTGTGCTCCTATTTCCGTCGTTTTGTCGAGAAGTTCGCTGAAGTAGCCCGTCCTCTGACCTGCCTCCTCAAAACGGATGTCGCATTCACCTGGGGCCAACAGCAAGCAAACGCCTTCTCGTCGCTCGTTGACATTCTCACCAATCCACCAGTCCTAGCACACTTCGACCCATCTGCCGCCACGGAGCTTCGTACTGACGCCAGTGGCCACGGCATAGGCGCAGTGCTCGCGCAGCGGCAACAAGGCATGCACCGCGTCGTCGCGTATGCAAGCCGACTGTTGTCGCGCTCGGAACAAAATTATTCCATCACAGAACGCGAGTGCTTAGCTCTCGTCTGGGCCATTGCGAAATTCCGACCGTACCTGTATGGCCGACCATTCTCAGTTATTACGGACCACCATGCGCTTTGCTGGCTCTCCTCACTCAAGGACCCTACGGGACGCCTTGGTCGCTGGGCGCTGCGCTTACAAGAGTACACTTTTTCCGTATCTTATAAATCCGGACAACTTCACAAGGATGCCGACTGCTTGTCCCGTTACCCAGTCGATCCCCCTGACACGAGGGAAGATGAGCAAGAGGCCCTCGTTCTTTCAATTACCGACTTCACCGACATAGCTGCTGAACAACGCCGCGACCCCTCTTTGCGTGCTATTATCAATGGTCTGCACTCTCCCCACCCTGACCACTCCTTACAACTGTTCGTTCTTCACAGCGACATCTTGCACCGCTACAACACCCACCCTGATGGTGCTGAGCTTTTACTCGTTGTTCCTGTGCATCTTCGCTCAGACGTTTTGGCCCAGCTGCATGATGCCCCCTCCGCTGGACACCTAGGGGTGTCACGCACGTATGACCGCATTCGCCGCCGATTCTTTTGGCCTGGCCTCTACCGTTCTGTGCGACAGTACGTTGCGGCATGCGACCTCTGCCAGCGCCGCAAGACACCTGCTCAGAGACCTGCTGGTACCCTCCAGCCCATTGAAGTACCAGATGAGCCATTTTTTCCGAGTCGGCCTCGATCTTCTAGGACCCTTTCCCGTGTCGGCCACCGGTAATAAGTGGATTGCTATTGCTACCGACTACGCAACGCGGTATGCCGTTACACGCGCCCTCCCTACCAGCTGCGCTACTGATGTAGCCGATTTCCTTCTTCATGACATCATTCTGCGTCATGGTGCTCCTCGTCAGTTGATCACCGACCGCGGCAGCTGTTTTCTATCTAAAGTAGTCGACGAGCTCCTGCGATCCTGCTCTACCCACCACAAGTTCACTACAGCGTACCATCCACAAACCAACGGCCTCACGGAACGCCTCAACCATACCTTGACGAATATGTTAGCGATGTACGTCTCCAAGGATCACAAAGATTGGGACATCCACTTACCTTTCGTTACCTTCGCATACAACAGTTCACGTCATGATACAGCTGGATTTTCCCCTTTTTACTTACTGTTCGGTTATGACCCGCCTTTGCCCATGGACACTATGCTCCAATCTGACGCCGCCTCATCGACTGCTTATGCTCGTGATGCCCTGGCCCGAGCTGACATCGCCCGCCAAGTCGCCCGGGATCGTTTATGTGCCTCGCAGCTTAACCAAAAGAGTGCTTACGATCGCCGGCACCGCGACGTACAGTACTCTCCGGGGTCACTCGTCTTGCTGTGGTTACCATCACGTCGTGTTGGTCTCATCGAAAAACTAATGTCCCGTTACGTTGGCCCCTACCGCGTCATACGCAAGGTCACCAGCGTGACCTATGAGATAGCTCCACTCCATACCACGTCAGTACCAGCTTCAGTCCCGACCGATATAGTGCACGTCTCACGGCTTAAGCCATACTTCTCACGCCTCGAGAATTGATCGCACCGGGACGGTGCTTCTGCCGCCGGCGGGTAATGTCACGGGCTAAGTAGATGCCTGATGATGACGACGACGAAGTGCTGAACGGGAACGTGCTCGGACTGCAGCAGCGTCGTACGCATTAGCTCGCCAGTATATTCGCCAGTACACATTTGTTCACCAGTGTATACTTTATTCCCCGTAACAATATCAGCCGCACCCACTGCACAACTTGCACGTGTCCGACTAAATTCTGTCATTACGTGTTTCCACAGATCATTTCGAAATTTGCCCGTTATGTAAAAAAAAGGTGAAGCACCTAGCCATTTCACTGAAAAGTAGGCAGACATACGAGCAACAGTGACGCCTGTCGCGCTGAACATTAGAACCGAAGCGTCCGCAGAATACTAAGGGCGCAACACGGAACACCATCCAACACGCTTGCCGACATTTTCGCTAATGTATTACATCTTCACGATTACCTAAAGAGAAAAGCTAGTCATCCGTGTCTTTGCGTTTTCGAGCAATTCAATATTTGGGTGGATAGCAGCTGCATGCGTGGCGTTCGCTCGCCCTTCGTTCGCTGCTGCGCAAATCCTGTTGCGGCAGTAGCACCAGCTGGACCGGAAGTCAGTTTTGCGCCTGCTTTCAGAGTATGACGGAGGCGGAGAGTTCGGCAACTGAGCATGTTCTATAAACGTTGATCTAAACAACAAGCTCGTGCTCGGTTACCTACTTTAACCGCGAAAAATCCGAAGCACAGAGTAAAGAAACACGCAACGACAAGAACAAGCGTTTCTTTACTCTGTGCTTGCGATATTTCACGGCTAAAGTACGTCATTAAGCAAGTATACCAACTATAGGTCAACAATCAGTCTGGATACGTGCTCGTGCTTAACGCGGCAACGCCCTAACCGTTAGGCTGCTGCGGCGGGCACCGAGTCTTCACGTGACGCGAGCAGTGAATGCCGTGCGATGCAAGTGTGGACACGCCCCACAAGCGAACACATTCTTCGAGCATTCGAAAACATTTAGAAAAGTCGGCCGCGAGGCTCGAGCCCTGCCGGAATTTTACGGCCCTCACACGTAACAAATTCGACGCCACTCTACCTCGCTACCCGAAGCACCTCCCCCGGATATTATAAGTAAAGGGTTTTAAAATTTTATTCCAAAGGCTATGACCCGCATTCAGAAATGAACTATTCTTGTCCCGCGTTTTTCGTACCCATTTTCAGCCTTTAGTTCGCTTGATAAATAAAAATAGGTCATTTTTCACAAGTACACACACTGTCACCTCTTACTTTGTTACCAGGTTTTGCACCTTTATAACAGATGTAGAGTACGGAAAGTTGAAGAAAACGCGAGATAAGGATAAGGTTAGCTTGTGAGTATGGGCCTGTGTTCGCGCGTGGCGGCAATGGCAGTTGCATTTCACGGCCTTGCTTCGGTATACGTTAGGCAACCCCGTATATAGGGAGATGTGCAGCGGCGTGCGACGTACAGGCGAATCCACTTACCGAGGTGACGGGAAGACATGGGTGCCCTTGACGACAGGATACGACGAAGTGAACACGAACTGAGGTACACGTACAAAATCGAGCTGGGACTGAACACCGCTGACGATTGTGCTGCCGGTTTTCTGGTCAGGGTCGCGGAATTCTTTCGCGAAGCAAACACCAGGTGCAAAGGACGAGAAGTTGAAAAAATAATAATGATAAAGCTTGCTGTATCGCGCCGCTGAGCAACAGGCGTGATCGTCTGCTATAAATAGATACCACATAAAAAAAAAACTGACGTATACGGGAAAAAAATAAAAGGGCTCAGCAAACGTGAAACACCCTCGGCAGATAAAGAAAGAACGAAAGACTGCATAAAGTCGTTCTGCGCACACATCCGTCGCCTACGGTGCGGAAATCAGTATTCAATATTTTTTTTTACCTTCGCTCTCGTGACGCAGGAAGAAATTCCGGACGTTTTCGCTGAGATACTCACTACACGTCGCAAGGAACGAGCGTGACGACGAAGATATGAGCAGAATAGTTGTGCCTCTTTGACGCGCATCTGCAACGCGAAAGTCGGCAATCGGCGGTGTGGATACGAGTGATACAGAAACAAAAAACAAAAAAAAAGCCTCAGGGCAGCTGTTCTCTAGTAGTGCTAATTCTTAAAAGCTAATGCCCTTCTTCTGCCCTCATGGCTCATACCCAATGCAGGCAACTGGCCGAGTGACAGGTGAAATTTTTCAGTATATTCTTTGGTATACTATACTCGTATAAGCTAGAATGAACTAATATAACGAACTTAAGCACGAAGTATCCGTAATAAAACGTTTCAGAGATGAAGAATTTAGGCCAATGTTCTTTTAGACTGACTGAAGAATTCCTCTATGGCGTACAAAACATCCATGTGACTGCAGCCCACCACAGAGGCGCCAAAAGAAAGAGCAACTCATATATACAGGCCCCGATTTCGAAGAGGTGGTGCTATTATGAATCTTCTTCTCAATGACGTGAACCGGGGCCAGGATACAAAGTAGTGACTGATTGTTTCCTCATCTTTATAGAAGAACAACAGAGGAGAAAGCACTCGACTTGTTCTATGCAGGTACAAGTCGAGGGAGGCAACCCGGCAGCGAAGTGTGGTGGTAGCCACTTCCATTATTCTCGACCGCGATAACTCACTGGGTGCTTATATTCTGGAAAAGCGGCCAAAACACGAGCTGAGCAGCCTTTTTTATGTTATTATAAGGAATTTTGTGATTACTAGTTTCTTTGTTTGTTTTCTTCTTTCTATTTCTCTATGTTTTTCATCTCCTATTCATCTCAATTTATTTTAATTTACATCTATTCACCTTACATCTTACTCTGTCTATATCTATCTTTCTATCTTTCGTTGTCTAGCTTTCTTTTTCTCTTTTTCCATTTCAGCATTGCTCTTTGTTCTGTTTTTATCTTTCTTTATGAACAATCTGTCTCTTTCTCTTTCTCTGTACCCATCCTCTCCCTCATTAGAGTATAACTGAATTGGCGGTCCCTATGCGGGACTAACCGGGTGGCGCGGGATCTCCCCTGCGTCCTCTCTGGACCAAGTTTTATTCATCATCATCATACCGTACAAATCGTCGCATATGTTCTGAAACCAAAGCAGCGCGTGAAGAAGGCGAAGAGATGCATGCCGGTTACTGATGATGATAGTGTTGTCCACGACTAACGAAGTCTTTCCGAGCTCAAACGGCTCCGCTGTTTGGTGTCATCATCATCGAGTGATTACGTCACCTGATGACGCCATCACACGTCATCGTCGCTTAATAAATGTGTGCTAATCACGGAGGCCGGGCAAAAGCCAGGTTCGGGGAAGAGAACTTGCCATGCCTATGATCCTGGAGGCAATGCTAAACCACCTTACACGCAAAAAGCTTTAGCAGGAAAAAAGAAATGGAGATTAGTACACTGAATTTGGCACAAAAAAAAACATGAAGGTTCTCGCCTTCCAGTAGTCGTACGCTATTGCTATGAAAATACTGCTTAATATTGTGAAATTACTAACACGAGCTTTGCCAAGCAATTTTGAAGCTCCGCGACCCTTTTCTGTACTATAGATCAATAAAACAAAAGTTGGGATTCTTCTTTAAAGGGCACATAGGTTATTGTTTTGATTGAACACATTGGTTGGTGCCCCTTTTCAAATGTACTTTGCATCCAAACCTGACATACGTTCATCAAATGCTCACCTTGAAACCACTATTTCTGTTTATTGGGCTATAGAGATTTGTGTCGCTAAAAATTACTTCAAGAAACTCTATCATTGTAGTTAAAACATTGACTTCTGAGGTTGCATGAGCTAAAACAACATATTTGCGAAGCACGTAGCCATTGGCGCCACCAGAATAATTTTAACAAGCGTCACGGTTTTACGTACCAAAACTACGACATGATTAAGAAGGACGCCATAGTGGAGTGCTCCGGAATGATATCGATCAACCAGGGTTTCTTAATACCGGTGTCACAAGCTTCCCTGCTGATCGCCATTAAGCCCCATTGGAATTAAAATTCTCAACAGAGGTTGACTTCCTTCTGCAGCTGTCTTAAAGAGCGAGTCATGTCCTAGAAGCTCGATCCGAATGAGGCTTCGATCGCGATCATGAGTGACCATGTGACACATAACCTGCACTGATATCACACACTACAAGGGCCTCTCTTATTTCAGCTCCATTCAAATCATATTAATTTTGAGCCAGAAGCTTTCGGACGCATTGCGAGAATTGGACGATCGGCCACTCTCTATGCAGATGCTACTGGAGCAACGTCCTCGTCTGTCGTCGGCTCAAAAAGCAGTCAAAGCCGTCTTGTTCTTTTTGAGTACTGCAGGCCTATGTAAACAACTTATACCTTTTGTGTAGTGCCACAACTGCATATGCGTCAGCCCATTCACTGACAATTCTTTTTTTCTATTTCTCTTCTTTTCCCCCTCTCTCTCTTTCTTTTATTCTTATACTCCCTCTTCCCATTCCCCCCTAGCGTAGGATAGCAAACCGAGAATGTGCCTTATTAACCTTCCTGCCTTCTCTCTTGTTGTTCTTGTCCTCCTCCTTGAGCACACAGCTTCCTTCTCTGTTTATTTTGTTCGGAAACATTCAAAGTTTATTTTCTCAGCAAGTGTACCTCTAGTACGTAATACTTTTTTTTGTCAATACAAGTGGTTCAGTAGGAATGATGAAAAACATATATTTGCCAAGCAGTAGACTGCAGAAGTTAGTGTTGAAATTCATTCCAAATGTATTTAGAATATTTTAGGTATATGGTTGCTAAGGGCTCAAATCCATGACCTACCAAGTGCGCAGGGCAACAGCCTTTAAACCTGTAAGCAGGCTAGGAACAGAACCTTCCACCTTTGCATCATGAAGGGGACCAAGCGTCTTACTATCAGAGGCCGCAAGCATCAAACCTGCAACTTCTGAAGTATTCAACTATTCAAATTCCGAGCCTTCGAAAACAGTAAGGTATCGAAAGCTCGTCCTATTATAAAAAAATTTAAAACCTAAACATTCCAAGCTTGTATTCTCTGCGTTTATTTTTTCACGAAAATCAGAGGATCCAAGTCTCCGCGTGATTAATTCTATGTGCACCTGAATATAACAACATGGGCCTGATTAGGTTCCAGTTAGGGTTGCCTTTGGTGGCTACTTTTCGCCAGACTGGCTACTTTTCGACCCATTTGGCAACGAAAATTTTCGGTTGGCGCCATGGCTCTTTTCTGGCTACCTTTAGGCTTCTCGGTTTACCGACTCAGGTTGGTTTTATTTATTTAATAATAGCAAAGACTGCGTTCATAACACCACTCCTGTTCTATTCGGCTACAAGTTAGGCGGTAATAATAAATGACGTGGCTATTTTGGCAACTTTTTGAATGAATTTCCAAGTCTTTCGAAGTGAACACAACCATGGTTTCGGTCCTGAAAAGTGGGACTACATATGCAGCGGAGCTGTATATGCCAGTGCGACGCAGATTTATGGCGGCAGGAAACGCATAACGCAGGTGTAACCGAAAATATACTAGCCCTACCACTACGCGATCAAAGATATAGAGGCTGTCTGCGCAAAAAAAAAAAGAAATACGTATATTCCAGAAATGTCTGCCCAAACCCCCAATACTCGCCGCTGGTTCACTATATAAAGACTCGCGAAATGGAGAATGCGGAGAAACAACGCACGCCATTGGAATGGCCCCTCAACGCCATGCACAAAGCGTCAATCATCTGCGGCATGCGAGTTACCCGTCATGTGCACGCGGTTGACACGCAGGCATGTCGCATGCGTCCGTGACACGCGACATTGGGGACATGCATTCGTCCGACATGTCACTTGCCGACATGCCAAAGAATTCGCACGCCGCGGCAAAACGATGCGTGCTGCATAGGTGGGCAACTCTAAAGGATGATTGATTGATATGTGGGGTTTAGCGTTCCAAAGCCAGTCATATGATTGTGAAAAGACACAACCTTAAAGGAGTATAAAAGAGGTTTTCTATAGTTTTCATGATTATTCTGCGCCTTTCTCTACCTTTCACGAGAACATAAATAGATGTTTGTTTTTTTTCCCCAAAGCTGCAAAAAAAAAAAAACTGGAACGACCTTACCCAGGATGTCGCCGCAACCAACCGCCCATCAAGCATCATGCATAGCATTTCGAGTGTAGCCCGACATTCATCATATTAACAAATCTATCGATTGTATATTAACCCACCCCTTATGCATTACCCTCTTGGGGCTTTGAGGCAAGAAGTATGAAATGAAGAGAAATAAAACTTGGTATCTCTTCTTTAGCGCGCTTAGCTGGACATCCATCTTTACAAAGAAGGAAAGCTAAGCTAAGCTTAGTGAACAACATTAGTCACTTGTTTTTTTTTTCGTTTTTACGTTTGAGGCTTTAAGCTAATAAGTGATTTCAAAATCTGTCTATTGTTAGACACTTTGTAATCTCAAACAAGCTCATTTATATATCAAGGCACGTGCCACCCATTTCATGGCCGATCTCCCATGGTAGGTTAACCCAATTTGACAACGGCCAACAAACCAACCGAGTGTGAACAGCACTCCAGCATTTGACCCTTTTAAGCAGACAATGAAGAGATCCTCCAGACCATGCAGTGTACTCAGTAAAGGAGCGCGTGGCTAAGCGCACTGAAAGGTTTTCGAGCGGCGCCGATCGTGATAAGTTTTTTAACGTGGTGATGGCATTAAATAACTTGTTCCGCGGGAATTCCGGCGTTGGTGTCGGAGTCATTGGTTGTGAGAGTAAAGTCATCATCCTCTGCGTGACCGAAAAATCAAGAAGGATACAATTATTTATTAAATAATGAGGAACTGTGGGTCGCAGCTGGGATTGATTAATGACGCGAGAATCCTCTACACTATCTTCAAGAAATTTTCCACATTTTAACCATTCTAGACACTCTAGAAAACTTCCGAATGCCGTAACAGAGGTCCGGAAGTTTAATCACTAGGTTACGCTGTTGTACTCCTTAAACTTGTATTCATTCAGAGCAGGCTTTTATTCATTCAGAGCATGTAGCGCGTAGACAGGATAACCGCTGGTCATTAAGGGTAACTCTGGATTCCCAGAGAAGGCCAGCGGGTTAGGGGAGACGGAAGGTTAGGTGGGCCGATAAAATTAAGAAGTGTGCGGGTATAAATTGGCAGCAGGAAGCACAGGACCGAGTTGACTGGCGGAACATGGGAGAGGCCTTTGTCCTGCAGTGGACGTAATCAGGCTAATAATGATATATATATATATATATATATACATATATATATATATATATATATATATATATATATATATATATATATATATATATATATATATATATATATATATATATATATATATATATAGAGAGAGAGAGAGAGAGAGAGAGAGAGAGAGAGAGAGAGTCCAGTAGATTCTCCGTGAGCGGTCACAACGTGGTTCATTTCGACGTTCCGGCCTAGAGTCTGGCCTTCATCATCCTGATGGTAAGCCACACTCTAGGCCGAAACGTCGAAATAAACCACGTTGTGACCACTCACGGAGAATCTACTGGACTATATGCAACGCTACGGCCACTCGACCACCATGCCTGCCAATATATATATATATATATATATAATATATATATATATATTGAACTTAGGAAGTCACGCCTAAAAATTTGTTAGTTCCTAACAACAGTGTTGCAGTACCGCAAGGCTCCACATTGAAAAAATTCGGGAAAAGCATTGGTATCTCTGTTGTATTTCCCGTCCCGGAAACGCTATCGAAACTTTGCAAATTAGTGAATAATCCCGCTGCAATTAGAGTAAGATGTTCTGTGAAGCATAGAACGCGCTTTGTACCTTGTGCTATTGGTGTCGTATATCGTATTCAGCCATCATGCAGTAAGATATGCATAAGGTAAACCGGAAGGTGCTTGAATTACCATCTAAGAGAGCACAATGTGGTCAAGTACACCTCGGAATCCGAGACTGTGGCTGCATGCCCCTCTTTGAGCAGTACGAGGCAATATATAGGCAAGCACCACTCACAAGCCACGCGTGAGATAATTGAAGCCTATCACATAAGTAAGTTTGACGGTACATGTGTAAGTTCCCATCAGTTGCGCTGTTGCAAAAAGAGATTGCGTATCTCGGTCACTTTTTAGCTGTGTATTGGTTTCCAGCTTGATCAACAAGAAAGAAGAGTTTTGCTGACATTGCATCGCAGCTATTGTTAACGGCACCCTTCTACGCATGCCCATGCTCTTGTTTTGTCGCCTATACATTTACACCACTCTGCTATTAAATCATTGTTGAAAGTCGGCGCTGTTTTCTATCCTTGTTTTTTTTTTTTTCACTTCCTTAGTTATATTTCTAGGTTGCGCTGTTCGTACAATAAACCTTGCAATGCGTTCTGATCGGAAGGGAATTACTGAACAGGCGTCGGAAAGCCTGTAGGGAGGGTGAAGCAAGGGGCAGGAGCTGATGTAAAAAAAATGCCCCCCACCCCCTCACGGGAAGTGGCAGAACTTTTTGCCGCACAAAATTTGCTCGCTCGGAACAACACACGGTTTATCGTCATCATCGTGAACATTTAGGATAAGAAACCTAAAAGCTAAACTAATAAAGTGTGGCGAAACCAGAAAGTCTTGCAGGTGTGCTTGCAGAAGCGTGGAGATGTGTTGTAATTCGAGTGCAATTGAGTACGTGTCCGGATGCCCGTTTATTCAGACGTCCAGGAAGCCTGCCGTCAGCGGGTGGTGCATGGGGGCCTCCACCAGGCGTCGCTTCACTTCGGAGCCGAGGTGCACACGATGCCGCACAGGATGCCGGCGAACACCAGAGACACGACGGCGTACATGGCCAGCAGTGCCTTCCGGAAGCCCTCGCCTTCCTGGAGACGCGCAGAAAGACCCTCTATAGGACCGCATAGTATGTCTTACCTTTTACGGAATGCGTTATGATCAACGATTTAAAGACGCACCAAATCCGCCCGTTCGGGTGCCAAGAATTTAGAGGCTAAAATTTAAAGCAAGAATTATTGTTGAACCAGAATACAGTGCGTGAACAAGCTCGTCGATTTTGATTTGAAGGTAGCGGGAAAAAAGGTTCGAATTAGCAAAATGCCCAATCATAATAGAAATATCAGGAAAACAACAAACTAGTGTCAATTACATCAATACAGTTATATATAGCGCGTGAAAGGTTCGAATTCCGTCATTCGCGACTCCGATCGCGATGCGACCACGACTCAAGATCTCTGTGTCTTAAATCGAAACACGCTCTGAACCCATACCTTATTACGTACCACCATCACTAACCACGCCATGCGAACATAGCAATAATTATTCTTCGCTGTAAAGATCGCTGGCGTTCGTCCATCACATTGCAGAAAGCGACTTTTATGACGAACCGGGGCTGGAGCTCTTCAACAGGTTCCAGCATGCAAGAGTTTTGTGACGTTGTGCGAGCGTTGCCCAAAATCAAAACGAACCTGTAGTGAGTGCCACATGGGCTGTAAACGAAGCCATGGTGACTCAGGGCACGATCATAATGATAATATCTCTGTTCGGGCTTAACGTCCGAAAACCCTAATGCGATACAAATAGCATCCACGCACTCTCAGACACGCGCGCTGCTTACATTCAGACTCAAAATAAAATGGCTGAGCACCACTTTCGCTGGTAAATAAACCCATAAAGTTTCTTAAAGTTAACTAAGGGGACTCTGGCGCTGCGATTGTTCAGCGACCATGGGAATGATGGATAGTACACAGATTTGCCTAGTCTTCGTACGTGTGGGCGGCGAATCGTACTTGCGGCTTCGTTTATTGCTGGTTATGGTTTCGTTTTAAAGAAAAAAAGCCTTTTTGAATTTCGTGACTTCATTTGAAAAGGTAAGGTTTAAAAAAAATAATGTGGTGAAGCACAACCCCTCAACATTTGCCGATTTTTTGTTTCGTGGGAAAACAGCTCCAAGCCACACGAATACAAACGTAGCCAGAAGCAGGCCAGAAGTACGAAGATTAGACAAATGTGTGTACTACCCATCATTCCCATGCTCGCTGAAGCGCCGTGCGCTGCAGCTCCCGTAGACACTAGAGCCAGAGTTCCCTCTAGTGTATATTGGGAAACTCTATGAATAAACCTAGCTGCAGCCTTTGCACAATGATGAATGGTGACGACGCGGTTCTGAAGGCACGCGTTGAAAATGAACGTACAGCGAGCGTGTCAAAGTTCTGACCCCAGTCGCTACACCCCACCGATTTTGCGGGTGCCGAGTCAAATCAAAAACGGAAGAAATTTGTCGCAACCTCTGAAGCCTCGGTCGCCAACAACGTTATCGCCGTAAAATTGTCGATGACGAACGAACACGCCTTTCTGAAAGCCCATGGTCGTTTATGTTGTTTGCGAACGCCGCTTTGCCTCATGTGTGTCACAAATGTGTGGTGATTTGTGCTTGTCATGGTCCAAGAGTCGTGTGAATCGACTGCACTGCGGCCAGACATGAACAAATAACAAGAGTTTGATGGAATTGAACAGTGCATATGCTGGCCGGCACCAGTGGTCGCATCCAAATTATTCATTTTTTTTTCGAATTAAGGAGGGTCGAATTCAAGACTTTTACTCTATGGCACATTTTACAGCAGTTTATTTGCAATTATGATGCAAATCCTTCTTTCGCTATTGCACAGTCAGTCATGGTATAAATATTTAAAAAAACAAACTAGACGACTCTGCTCACATTACAAACGATGGTTGTCTGTTGGTAGTGAGCAACCGTGAAAATTTAAATAAATACTTTGAAATTCCTGCCAACACAGCTTGCGTACAATGTCCAGTTAAGCACAGTACTTACTTGATTAAAGGGATCGCGTGCAGCAAATACCTCAACCAAAAGTGACTGAAAAAAATTGGTAGGCATGCGATGGCAGATCCTGTGTACAGTGGGAATCGATTATATGTGAAGCATGAATGAGAAATGTTGATTAGCCACTTTAAAATTGGCACAACGTTACAAGGTGGAGGTAAATGATGCCGTACATGACTTCCGTGTCAAGATTATCATGTTTTGATGTGTCGTTTACCTTCGTCATCTATTCAAGTCGCGTGATACCAAATTTAGTGTATGTGAACCTAGTGAAACGGCCGCAAGCACGCTATGAGCGTGGTATGTTGTCATGTTTTTACATGACACGCGTGTCATGATTATCATTTTTGCACCAGTCATATATTTCGTCATCCATCGATGTCACGTAACACGAAATTGGGTGCATGTGGAGCTGGCAAAACGGCCACGAGCGGATCATGAAGGGCTCAGTATACTCCAATGCAGCGTTGACGCGCGCACACGCTGGGCACAGCGACGCTATGTTAGCAAAACGCGAGCGCTCTATTGCTTGACGCCAGACGCGACCAGCGTCCGTCGGCGCGGCTCGACGGCAACCGGCGCGAAATGCGACACGCTGAATTTCGCGCCGATGCGTTACTCAGACAAGGCTGCATCTCACTTTGTTTGTCACGGAGGGATGCCGGATGTGCTGAAACGCGCATGCGCCAAAGCTACGCAGCGCAGCGCGCAGCTGCGAGTATGTGGCAGGACCGGTGCCTGGCGTGGCACGGCGGCGTGACCCGACGAAATGAACGCCGGCCAGCATGCGCACCGCGTCATATCAAATTGTATTGGCGCCTTGACTGTGGCACGTAGTCATGGTGTTCTCACATGACACGCATCTCAGGATTATCATGTTTGCACCAATCACATACATTCCCCATCTATTGGCGGGACGTTATACCAATTTTGGCATATGGGAAGCTAGCAAAACGGCCGCGAGTGCGTCATCAGTGTGGCATGTAGTAATGTTGTTACATGTCACGCATGTCATAATTTTCATGTTAAGGTCCGTCGCTTGTGTTCGCCATGGAGTCATGTCATACCATACAGGTTTTGCAACGTGCCATGTGAACAAATCCACCGCAAGAGCTCCAGGATCATGAAATGTAAATCTTGACATTCATGACATATGTGTCATGATTTTCATGTCATTACTAGTCAAATATGTTCTTCATACAGTCATGTTATGACATACCAAGTTTGATATTGATACCATTATCGAAACGGTCAGGAGAGCTAAATGTCGTAGGCGGATAGATAGATAGATAGATAGATAGATAGATAGATAGATAGATAGATAGATAGATAGATAGATAGATAGATAGATAGATAGATAGATAGATAGATAGATAGATAGATAGATAGATAGATAGATAGATAGATAGATAGATAGATAGATAGATAGATAGATAGATAGATAGATAGATAGATAGATAGATAGATAGATAGATAGATAGATAGATAGATAGATAGATAGATAGATAGATAGATAGATAGATAGATAGATAGATAGGCTCAAAGTCGCCGAAGTTCACTAAGAAATGCTTCGCGTTTAAAAACTCTAAACGAAAAGAATGCTTAAATTACCTTTACCAAGGTGTTTATGTGGTCCCTTTCATGTCAATGGCGCAAGGAAATGACGAAAGCAAGTCACGTCTACAAATAAAGACACCTTGTGCAAAAGTGTTACGTCGTGAGGTCTAGCTCCTGACTGCGATAGCCTGTTAAGCTAATTCGTGATTCATGATTTTAGGCTCACAAAACACACCAACAACATCACCTCACTGGTGCCATGGTTACATTGTTCGGCTGCGCTAGCCTGAAAGTCGTGGGTTCCGGGCCGGCTGTGACGGCGGCATTTTGATGGAGGCGAAACGCTATTGGCTCGAGGACCAGCAAACACGTTTAATAAGCCCAGGTGGTCGACATTATTCCCGAGCTCTGCGTTACGGCGTGCCGCAAAATCGTATCGTAGCTGCGGCACGTAAAAACTAGGCAGTTGTCAATGCAAGATCTCTCGGTGCCTTAGATTAAACGCGTAAATTGACCAGCGTACCGCGCCGGTGCCGTCAACAATTGTGACGCAAATTTCGTTCATCCATGATATAACCAAATAATAGACAGGAGTGTATTCGCGAATATCGTACTAAAATGCTAAGGAGAGGGATGTTACCTTGAAGACACGTACACGCGCTATCCGCATCGCACGTGGCGGGACACCTGCTGCACGTAAGGGCAGGGTGAAAGAACTCCACTGGTTCGCCCTTTCGCCCTCCACTTGCGGGTGGCAGGTGTGCCGGCAAGTGCGGTGCGGCTGCGGGAATAGCGCCTGTACAGGAACTATCTAGCAATTACCACCGTCAGCATTCCGTATCTGTCCCACAAGGACGCAAGACACTGACATCCTGTTAACGCCCGTCATCCTTGAAGTTGACAGGTGTTCGAACATTAAGAAAACACAAGTAACATAAATCTTAGGGAAGTACTGCAGAAGGAGGTTTCGAAGTAAACACTGTCGGGAGGCCCTCCATGCGATGTTTAATAGTTGTCGTTTTGCTCAGTCCGTGGTTCAGCCGAAAGCTTACAGTACATTTATGAGATCACATGCGAAGAGCCTGTGCTTTTAAGAGACGCTCATTGAGTTCTTTTAGAGATCTCAATCGATTACATTGCTATATTCTAACACAAGTTTCCTTTCGATAGCTTGGACGTCACCACGAGTTGTACAGGTTGTTTCACACTCGCAGCACGTTGCAACGAGCTCCGAGATTTTTCCCTAAGTGTGAAAAATCCTGCACACGGTGAGACTTGGTCACCGAGATGTTAATTTACTTAAGATTCGCCTTTCATATTTATTTATTAACTCGTGCTTCACTCGCCTCCCCCGCTACCACCATTCAAATGGAACTTCTAAGGGTTCACCTTTGATTATGTGTAACTTACCATGATTCGGACTCGATTTACATTAAGTACAATTTGTCGAATTTTTTCTGTTGAAACATGCTGCATGAAGTCCCCCCTGCACCCTCAACCCTTAAGCTTTCTACACTATATACACCCGATGTTGCACCATACCCCCGTGATCTGTCCTCATGACAACTGACACCGTTGATGCCCACGACGCTAGAATGTGCATTTTTTAGTGATATGCACCATATCATGATGCTTTCGCCTCAACAAACAGTGCTAAAAGGCCCTTAAGTCACCCATTGGTCGAAATGTAGCCGCGGTGCTGCCACTGTGCACGGGTCTCTAATAATAATGTAGCCGCGAGAATATTTCGAAATGGTGCTGTATTAATAGAGTTACGCACGCTTGGGTATCCAAACGCGACCCCATTTCATTTCACTCTTTCCTTCATTACGCTCCATTCGTCGGCTCGTCCCTCCTCCTGGCCATGTGCTCCTCCACGCCGTGCGAAGAACAAGAGCGGTGAGAGACATAGCTGTGAACACAGGTTCTTATAAGTGAAGGACATAAATGCATGCAAATTGTGAGTCCCTGCCAACACTGGGGTTGCTGGAGGGTTCGGAAAAGCCATGGAATTGTTTCCTGGATTTCGTTGCACACCCGCGAACCATAGCGCAGTGCATTTGGAAATGTTAGTTAAGACGGCATTGTGAAATCGATGTGTGCGTTCCCTTCAAATGTTCGATACTTATCGGAAGCGGTTCAGCCACTTTATAAGTGTAGTCTGCTTCATCCTCCCCAACCTTGCTCAAGTGAACTTGTTGTTGCGATAGTTGGTTCATAATGCTAAACTTCAGAGCGCAAAGTCGGTACTACACATAAAACACATAGCGCTTTTCCTGTATCGTGTACGTTCTTTTATGTCCCATATCAAATTTGCGCTCTGAAGTTTAGCCCCTTTAACCATTCTGCACATTAAACAATGTTGCACGATGCCTACAGGTTTTTTTTTTTTTGCTCATATATCAGTCATTAAAGGTTTGGCCTTAGTAAACAGTGTTTAGGTAACAGCCACTGCTTTTGCGATATGTACCTGTTCTTGGCCTGCCACCACTGTCCCTTGCGGCGCTGGTCCGAGACTAGCCGGAGGGATCACCTGGGGGGGTGCAGTTCGTGTCAAGGGAGCTCCGCCAGGCGCCGGTGGTTCCATACCCGCTTCCTTCTTGGGCTCCGCAGGGGCTGGAGGAGCAGGGGCCTGAACCGGAGAAGCCGCGGCAGACGCTGGTTTCGATGCCGGGGACATTGCGCCGGCCACAGGCGCTGGTTTGGACGCCCCAGCCGCTGACATTGCGCCGGCCGCAGGCGCTGGATTGTCCGGCTTTAACGGCGCGTCGACCCCGACAACCGGTGGAGCTAGAGCGAAAGAGAAGGCGTATGGGAAGGTAAAATTAGACAGTTATAGTTTAGCGTTACCGTGATAGCGTAGGTTAAGGGAATGGCGTGACTGTGAAGCAAATGTTCGCTGTGGGCAGCGTCCTATAGTTTAGCGAGATAGCGTTTACGTGGTTTACGTCCACCATCTGGGATGGTGGCGCCACCTAGATGGTTAATAAGTTAAAGAACACTGAAAATGAAAACGAAAACGAGAATGTTTGCCTATGCCACGCACGAACCATTGTTAGAAGTTTATTTTAGTAATAATAAAAGTAAATAAATATGAACCACGCACGAAGCGCGAAAACATATGTTGCCGATTTGTTTACATCGACCTTGTAGTTAGGCCTAGACGCGTTCGAAATGAGAAGCTATATCAAAAACTACGCCAACTTATCCGTAATACTCGGTCATCGAAGCTAATTGAAGGCAAGCGAAGCCACTGTAAACAGCCATTTGCTGTGAACAAGGTAAATATTTCAACAACTACGCGAAAATCACTTCGAAGCGGGCGTCCGAGAGCGTCGCCATGTTTACGTACACTACGTACACCTACGCTACCACGGTAACGTGAAATCTGAAAAATACCGCGCGTACGGGAAGCGGCATGAGTGACGTACGCATCTGCGCATGCGCACATCGATTCCGGTATCACGGTACACCCGGTATCCCGGTAAGCCCGGTATACTATAACTCTCTATTAAGTTTAACTACAGCATCCTAAGCGCCACGAAACTCCGCGAAAATGTTACGTCAATGAGGAGTTGATCGATCTGCATTCTATATACAATATATACCAATATAACAGCAGTCGAAGTGCTGGCCACTTCAGCTCAAAGCCCGAGACAGCTCTCTCTGTCGTTTTCATCACGCGGGCTTGCATATGGCATGAGACATAAAGTTTCCTATTGATACACTAGAGGAAAGCCTGGCGCTAGTGTCTATGGGAGCTGGAACGCATGGCACTTCAACGAGTATTAGAAATAGCCACTTTAGGCTATCGGTCCAAATAATCCCTGTAATTGCATATATCTATTTATGAAAATAAAGCTTCATTGATTGATTGATTGATTGAAAAAATATGGGTAGTACACAGATTTGCCTGGTCTTCGTACTTTACGCTCGTTTTGACTTGGCGTGGCTGAAACCTGCTTTGCCTCGAAACAATCGGGAATTGTTCAGCCGTTGCGCTTCACTACATTAATTTTTTTAGGCTGACCACTTCAAATTGGTTTGCGAAATTCAAAAGGGCTCGTTGTTTTTTTAAAGAATACCAGAACACTGTAATACAAAATGGTTCATTGTTTTCTTTAAAAGAAAACCAAAACACTGCAAAAAACGAAGCCGCAAGTGCGATTCGCCACCACCAAGTGCGAAGACAGGGCGAATCCGTTCACTACCCGTCATTCCCAAGGTCGTTGAACGATTCCAGCCCCAGAATCCCCTCCAGTTAATTTTAGGAAGCTATATAGGGTCTGAGAGACTAGGCGTCGAAGCTTGGTCGTGTTGGTTGAACTATTAGAAAGAACCCTGCACGAAATAAGACGGGGACAAAGAAGGACAGCGCTGTGTACGCGTCGTCCTTCTTTGTCTCAGCTTTATTTTGCACTGCGTTCCCTTCCAAAAGACGATAGCAATATGTACGTAGAAGTATGATTATGGCGTGTGCCTGGTGAGGATGTGTACGCAGGGAGGCTACAAGCCCATCTAAATGGTTGGCGTTTGGCTTGCTTGCGTTCCCACTCTCGTAAAAGCTGCCTCCACCACTCTGTTGCTGAAAACACTACATACCTGCGGTATCACGCATGCCGCTAGTGACCTGGAATCACAGGGCACGCGGCAGTAACTCAGTATATAAGATTATTGCCCGTTGTGCCACACAAAAACGACATAATAATAATAATAGTAATAATAATATTAATAAATAATAATATTATTAATAATAATAATAATAATAATAATAATAATAATAATAATAATAATAATAACTATTTTTACGTCACAAAACGACCACATGATTATGAGGAACGCCGTAGTGGAGGGCTCCGGAAATTCCAACCATCTGGTGGCCTTTAGCATGCCCTGACGTGGTGGCCTTTAGCATGGTGGCCTTTACCATGCCCACAGCACACGGTCTTCGTGCATTACCGTCCATCCAAATGCGTCCTCCACGGCCGAGATTGAAGCCGTGACTATCGGGTCCACAGTCGAGCGACGCCGCCGCAACCCAAATGCGGTGGCCACAAACACCCGAAGTACACCCTTTCTTTTAAAATGAGGGTTGAGAAAATACACAAAATTTAAAAATTGGCCACGCATGTCCGTACTTGACTGCAAAATACGTCGGAAGACGATAGTCCTCTGTCTGGAGGCACTGCGTGAGATATGGCGCCATCTGGCAGTAACGTGCAAAAACGAAAGTTTTTTTTTTTTTAACTAAAGCCACTGGTATGTGACAGCAACGGGTCCTCCTTATTAAGTCCCTGAATTATTTATCGAAGCGAAGGAGACACTCACTTTTTCCTTCATAGCGTCGCATTGTTAGCACAGTGTTATAGACACTTCGGTCTTTATAATTACGTACGTATGCACTGCCCAACCCCCACGTGTTGACGTTGCGCCTCAAATATGCGTACTGTTTGCTGTTTGATTGACATTGTTCACAAGTATGAACGCAGCCACCAGATAAAGATGAGTGAGCTTTGAGCGCGAGCTTAAACATTCGCCGCGTGGCTGAATCATTGGACAGACAGACAGACAGACAGACAGACAGACAGACAGACAGACAGACAGACAGACAGACAGACAGACAGACAGACAGACAGACAGCGCAAATTTTTTTTTGTTGAAGTATCTCAAGAAAGCCTATCATATTTCAAAAAAAAAAAACTTCTCTGACCATAACTCTGCGCATTAGGCAATGGCAGGAAGAGTGCTACAAAGTAAAGATATGAAGTTGACTTTGTGGCTACAAACTGCGCACAAACCGGAGCAATGACTCGTCCACATGCTGCTACACGCGTCCAATGAAGGACAGCTCTACCGCAGCGCCACCCAAAGCTAACGTCATCACCAGTGGCTATAAACCCAAGCTACCAGGCTCTGAAGATAATCATTGTTCTCTAACCGTTCGAGCGCAGCGTCTACATTCGCGCCGCACTGCTGCTACTACGACAATAAGCAGTCATCTTTCATGTTGGGATGCCTTTTCCTCTCGATGCAGCATCCCATAACTGCAAGCACCCCTTTATATACGGGGTGGAGGGGTATAGTACACGCCTATGGAAGTAAGAATGCGAGCAAGCTAAGTTGCACCGACTCGCCTGTCCGTAAACGAAGTGTGCTACTGGCCCGCCGCCAAGGGAGGGGGGGGGGGGGGGGTCTTCAACTTTTCTCCCGAAATTGTCAACGTCCTCAGCCAGTGCCCCCCTTCCCGGAGAAAAAAATTAAATTTCCGGCTACGGGCCTTGTGTGCTCTATCACTCCAAAGTTAAATTTTCTTACCTCCTGGCAAGGTCGAAGACTGCATCCTCGACCTCTGTATCTGCAACACCACTTGCACGACGACATAGAAGGTGATGAACAGTGCCAGGATGGGGAGGAACCACTTGGAGCCACCGAGGTTCGCTTTCTTCAGGCCAGTGGCGAAGACGATGGTTGTCACTGGAACCAGTGTTGATGTAAATCAGTAATATGATGATGTCCTGTACTGTGACGTCGTTGCGACAACGAAGGAAGCTAACGCGACCGGTAAAGATGAAATGTTTCATCGGAAAAAAGAAACTACAAACAATATTCGCTCTACAATGGTAACAGCGAGAAGAGACGTCGGTTATCAGATCAGTGGCACGGCACAAACGTAAGTTTGAAGTTACAAGTTCATTTCACCACAGTTGTCAATTTTTCTTATACATTTGCAGTCATTCATGGAATAAGATACCATGAGTGGTGAGGAATGCGAGAAAAAAGTGCAATACAAACGCATCTTAACTAGCCCCACATCGCAGCAACACAAGGTAGAAAACGTGACAGCATTCATGAAGCCATATATAAACCAGTAAATGGATTCAAATACCTAATTGAAAGTGACCGCTCGCGCAAGCCCCTGACAAATCGATTAAACGCTTCTTCTGCACAAGCTCGACAAAACAATCTCGAACAATAGCGAAGCACCCCGCCGCGGTGGTCTAGTGGCTAAAGTATTCGGCTGCTGACGTGCAAGTTGTGGGATCGAATCCCAGCCACAACGGCTGCAATTTCGATGGAGACGAAAATGCTGTAGGCGCGCGAGCTTGGATTTGCTTGTACGTTAAAGAACGCCAGGTGGTCGAAATTTCCGGAGCGCTCTTATACAGCGTCTCTCATAAGGATATGTTTTTTTTTTTTTTGGTGGGGGTGGGGGGGGGCGTTATCTATCCAGAGACCACCAGGGGAACGCCGTCTCGTGTGGATGTGAAAACATCGGCTCCGCGTTCGAAAATGTTTTTGGACAGTTTTTTGTGCATTTGTGAGCGTAGTTTGGTGCCAGTCGACGCATAAAACCGCACGGACTACATTGATACCAAGTATTTCACTGTGGGTGAGCTTTTTGACCCTTTTTCGAGGCTCTTCTGGTTGCCCATCTGCTCAGCTGAGCGCGCTAGGCTGAGGCTACGGCGGAGCGGCCGCCGGCCCTTCTCAGAAGGGTGTTTCAGCACTCTACGCACGGAATGTCTATGCAAGTCTCTGTCGATGGGGAGGATATCACTCCCGATGATCTTCAAGATTCTGGATGCTCTGTGGCTACCACTTAACGTAAACTTCGTCGGACGTATACCCCCCGGACCGAGACGCAAGCAAGCGTCTCCATGCACGGCGACGCGTGGTCACCTCAGCGCTCCCGGGCTGTGGTGAAGAAGCGTCTTATCGCTGCTTCTAGACTTCCTTACCTTCCAAGAGATCACCATCGAGTCATCGTGAGACCTAGAAATGGCCTGGACATGAGAACTGTGAGTCAAATTAAGTTCGCGAAGGCACTCGCAGTGGCTGCAGCGCTCAGTGAGGAAGAAGTCACAGAAGACGTAGTATGCCCGAATATGATGCAGAACATTGCAGTTATAAGCACTCCAGCGGAGAGGAACGCCAGAGCGTAATCCAAGATCACCGCCATTACTCTCGGTACCACCAGTTTTCATGTTAGTGCCTACCGAGCTGCCCCCGATGACACTTGCAAAGGTATCATCATGGGTGTCGACGCGGACATCGGTCAAGAACAAATCTATTCACTTATTGTACAACCAAGGAACCCGACTGCACTCCAAGTGAAAAGAATCAAGAATTCCACCACGGTGATCATCCTCTTCGACGGACTAAAAGTGCCAAATTATGTCATATGTGGAAATAGTTTGGTTCGCTGCACCCTGTTTGTCGACAGACGGATGTCTGTTATGCTTGTGGAAAGCTAGGTCATTGAGCCGATGATTGTCCTTATCCAGAAGAGGCGGTCTGTAGAGGGTGTGGTATGTCATCTTCATCGAAGGATCACGTCTGCACACCAGAATGCAAGTTGTGTGGTGGTCCACATCTCACGGCAGACAAGTAAGCATCGTTTTCAAGTGCCCTACATAGTCCGTCGACGAAGAGGAGAGCGACGGATGCCATATACGATGGGATTTGCGGAACGACACGCTGACGACATGAACTTCACAGATGGTGGGGAAGACTTCCTATCGCTACCAGCCGCTGCAGGCGGCTGCGCTACGACGGAGCACCCGAGCAGCAGCTGGCACCCGCGTGACGTCAGCCAACAGCTACAACCACCGCGAGGGCGATCCCGTTCCAGAGGCAGAGCAAGGGGCCGTTCGAGATCCAGAGGACATGCTAGATCCAAGGGCCGTTCTAACTCACGGGTGCCTACCGTCCGCAATGGTGTGCAGCAAGGAAATCAGCACCAGACCTTGGCATCCAAGATCAAAGGCTCCCAACCACAGGTAAAGGGGGGTACCAATCCAGAGCAACATTCAGATATATATGTGCATATGCAAAGGAAAAATGCTAATCTCAGGGCCATTGTCGAGCAACTCAGGGCTGAAATAGCCGACTTAAGGAAATCACAGCAGGTTTCGTCTCCGTCTCCTTCAAACACAGTTCCCTGTAAAGAGGCCACAACGGATGCGAGTCACGATGAGGTACCCATGGACGTCCATCTGGGCAAAACCAACAAAAAGGAGAGCGCTAGCAAAACCGGCCACTAACGAGGACAGAGATTTCAAAACAGAGGTCAAGGATACCTTGAATGATATCAAAAATGCTCACAGGGCGGTGGTCGAGTCGATTGCGGTATTGGACAGCAGAGTCACAAAAATCGAGGCTGACCAATTTAAAGCTTTACAATCTGCCGAGGCTACTCCGGCCCAAGTAATACCTAAGGTCAGGATCGTGCAGAGGGTGGCAACCCGTAGCATCTCTCAGGAGAGAGCTTTTGAGGGTCTCAACAATGGCGGGACACCTTAACAATTTCGTAATTTAGCAGTGGAACTGCTGGGGCTTCCAATCAAAGAAGGCAGCTCTCCAGCAGTATATTAAATCTCAGCCAATTGTACCACATGTTAATATGCTACAGGAGACGCTTACAGAAGCAATGAGCCTGCCAGGCTACACCCATCACATCACGAAACGTCCAGGTGGCCGCTTTATCTGCACGTTTGTGTCCAAGAAGTACACTTACATTGAGCACAATTTGCACATGGCAAATAGCAAGATTGAACACTCTCCTTTAGAGATTATACCTGGCAGCAACCTTAAAAATAGCATTTTCATACTCCACATGTATAGCTCTCCAAAAGGCAGGTACCATCGCTTCACCTCATTCTTATCGAAAGCCGTTACGATCGCTAGGGAAGTGGACGCACCCATAGTTATAGCGGGAGATTTCAACGCACCCCATCAAGCTTGGGGCTACCCTCGCACCACTGCCAAGAAAGCCGAGATCTGGCAAGCGGTATCGGATCTGAATCTTACTTTGGTCACTGACCCCACGTTTTCTACACACACTGAAAATTCGTGCTCTAGGGATACTACCCCAAACCTCACCTTTGTCGCAACCACGGGGGAGGTATTATGGTTAAACTTGGAAGAAAACTTGGGGAGTTACCATGGTATTCTGAGTACGACATTGCAGATTCAAGCAAATCCCCCTAAAGCTTTCAAATTCACAGATTGGGACCTCTTCCGTAAGATAAGAGCGGAGAGTGCAGAGGAGATTAATGACTCACCGAATTTCGACAAGCGGCTGTCTCAGCTGGTCGAAGACGTCAAGTCGGCCACCAAAACGATAGAGACTCATCTTCCGGTCAATAAAATGGATAGCAGGCTTGCTGATCTTCTTGAGGCTAAAAGCGCCCTCCTAGCCAGGTGGAAAGCACACCGTATGAATCGAAGACTGCGAAAAAGCATCGCAAGTCTTAACCAGAAAATAACGACTTACTGTAGGACGCTGGAAAAACAGCATCGGGACGAGATTTGCATCAAGGTGGATGGTCAGATGAAAGTTGGGGGAAAATGGAACCTCCTCAAACACCTGCTGCAGGAGACCAAATCTAAATCCAACCAGACGCGCTTCGTAGATCGAATAGTGCACTCAGAAAGGAAGGTTAAATCGGACACGGAAATAACGAAGTGTCTGGCACAGAGATACCACCCTTTGGACACAACCCGGCCTCCTTCTGGCAACGCGCAATACACGGGATCACCAGCCTTCGAATCGGACAAGCCCTTCCAGGAAGCAGAGGTCCAGACCTTTCTAAACAATCCTAATGGGAACTCCAGCCCGGGCCCGGATGGCATTACAAACAAGACACTACGCAATTTAGACGATGACTCTGTCACCTACCTCACCAAAGAAATCAATCGTATTTGGGAGATGAGGACTTTCCCTGAGCGATGTAAAAGGGCGTCGGTTATTCTCATACCTAAACCTGACCGGAGTCCCAGATTTAGCAACTTACGACCCATTTCACTGACGTCCTGTATAGGCAAGGTCGCCGAGCATGTCATCAACGATCGAATATCAAAACACATAGAGAAGACTAACCTGTTCCCGTACAACATGGTAGGTTTTCGACCACACCTATCTACTCAGGACGTCATGAAAATGCTGAAGCATCACATCATAGATCAGGAGACAAAAGACGTTAGAGCTATTCTCGGTCTGGATCTTGAAAAGGCCTTTGACAATGTCTCGCACTCACACATACTTGCATCCATCTCTTCTCTCAACTTAGGAGCGAACATTCACAAGTTCACCAGCTCGTTCCTCAGGAATAGAAAAGCCGCTATACAGTTTGGGGATCTCAAGCCTGAGCCCTACGATCTCGGTTCCTTCGGCACCCCGCAGGGCTCAGTCGTCTCCCCACTGCTTTTTAACATTGCAATGTGCGGCCTTGCTGCAAAGCTCTCAAACCAAGAAGGCATCAAGTTCGCCATCTACGCGGACGACATCACCATATGGAGTGTCGGTGGCTCGGAGGGCTCTGTGGAGAGCTCTCTTCAAGAGGCCGTAAACTGTGTTGAAGTCTACATAAATGAAATAGGCCTCAAGATCTCGCCAGCAAAGTCCGAACTTCTCTTATATCGACCCACGAGACGGGAACCCAAACCCAAAAACTGGCAACCACTGGCCGACATCGACATTAGGCTGCACACGGCATCGGGGCAGCGTATTCCAAGGGTGGGTGGACTTCATACGCGTTCTGGGCATGATTATCAAGGCTAATGGACAGAACGGCCGCACGACCGACCATCTGACTTCTAAAGCGGAAGGGGTCATCTGACTAACCTCGCGCATTTCCAACAGTCGGGGTGGTCTTCGAGAGCACAACCTCCTCAGACTATTCCATGCATTCTTGATGAGCCACATAAGCTATGTCACATCTGTGCACAGGTGGAAACTCCATGGAAGAAATAAATTGAACATCCTCATAAGGAAAAGCATCAAGAAAGTTCTTGGCATTCCTATGCGCACAAGCACTGAGAACCTTATGAAACTTGAAGTCTACAACATGCTTGAAGAAGTTATCGAGGCTCAACAAACGGCACAGGTTGCCAGGATTTCGATCACACCAGCGGAGAGAAAGATTCTGGTTGACATTGGAGCCAACCACCTGACGCTCGAAGGACAAAATACGCCACTCGATCATTATATACGCTCTCTCATCAGAGTGTGCCCCCTTCCACGAAATGTGCATCCACAGTACAACGCTAGAAGGCGTGTCGCTCGAGCCTCCTCTCTTTTAGATCCAGCTCACAAACACTCGTCTGTTTCATGATTTGTTGATGCCGCCCAGTATGGCGAGTACCACTCGTTTTGCGGTAGTATCCGTAGATACTAAGGGTCAGATTTTATCCTCAGCGTCGGTTCGAACCACTTCTTCTTACAAAGCAGATGGCCATTGCACTAGCACTCCTTGATCCACAAAGGAATGATATTTATACCGACTCTAAATCCGCTGCTAGGGCCTTCGCTTCTGGTTTCGTGTGCGAGGAAGTTTTGAGAACTCTCACTCTCAAGGAACTAACCCACCACACAATAATTTGGTTCCCTGCTCACCTTGGCTTGAGGGTCGGAGGCCTTCCCAATGTCAACAAGCTAGCCCACTCCAAGGCGCGAGGCTTCACTTACCGCGCCAGGACTTGTGCGTCTCAGACAGAGGAGTCAGCCCCCAGCATTCATTTTTGGAACATTTTGACTACCTTCAACAAGATCACGAAGCATTATCAATTAGGCCGTTGGTCCTTTCCATTGCCACACGAAAAGTTGTCTAGGCCACAGGCAATCTCTCTTCGCATGCTTCAGACGGGAACATACCCTAGCCTCGTAACCTATAGCCATTACTCCGATATTTCAGAACTTTGTCCGGACTGCCAGAAACGCAGTGATTTTAACCACATGCTCTGGAGGTGCCCCTTTTTACAAAGAAAAAATGAAGAATTTTCAGAGAACTCCTTTCAATTAATGCTCACGAGTCAAGTCCTCATACAACAACTCAAGGCTGTCCAGAAGGCCCACGATGTGGCGGTGAGGCTGGGCCTCCCCGTCCCAACGTGGGAGCGGCCCGTGATCCTACCCCTATAAAACGGGGGTAGAATCCTTCAGGACCCTAATAAAAGTTTTTCATCCATCCATTCATTATCTATCTAACAATAGCGAAGCTTAGCAAACAATGCGGCTGGCCTGCGTCTGGTGGCCCAGAAAGAGTTTGTAGTTGAAACCCGAGTACATGAAAATATCAAAGTAATTGCATTTACTGGTATACACACCAGCTAGACGTACAGTCGTGAGGAACATGAAAGAGACCACCACGTTCGGTGCAGTGGTTACTGGTGTCATGCGGACATGAGTGCGGCTTATCGATTTGTGACACGTGCCACTTCGAATAAATATTTTGGCGTGAAGTAACATTCATGTGATCGGCAACTGCATTTAGCCTCTTTGGTGACTTAAACGTAGTTGCAGTGTTCCCTTTCTTATTTCTGACGACTCTGTATATAGCCGGTTGCCACCTAAAAATAAATACCGCCATCAACTGTCGCTATCTCATCCCGGGGGAATTAAGGGGCATCATTCAATCGGGCTTCCTCATTTTCGTGGCATAAAACACCTTTCGCGTATTTCAGTTCTGCTGATGTTCTTATATGGACACGCTCGTATGTTCCCTTCGAATGTGTTTCTAAGTATTCTACGTAGGGGCACGGCTATATGCTCTCCCATAGTAGAGTACCTAGTACTCTAAATCGTTACCCACGTTTTCTAAACACACGCTCGTATCGTTCAATTTCGGCCGAAACTTCGAAAAGCTTGGGTAAAACTTCGAAAATTCCGACATTAGTCATTTTCGCAACGTTGACTTTTGTTGCACTTGCACTCTAACTTTTGCTTGCGTCTATAGGTAATATCGAAAGAAACTGCTGCAAATATTGATCACAAAGGAGGATCCACATTGTTTAAAGCTTCCCATTACCACACATGCAACAGTAAGTATTTGGTCATTTCCATAAATACGTTGACATATGCCGTTCTCATAAACTTTACATTTGAGTAAAGCACTTATCAAAAGCTTTTCGCTACTTTGAAGTACCTTTCGGTGGAAAATTGCAGGCAGTGATTTTTTTGTTTTTTTGTAGTGCACCCACGACAACGAGGACGATAATGATGGAATACCAACATCCCCAAAGAAATGTCCCAGGGCAGGTTGCTTTGCTGGACACAACCTATAACTAATACAAGGTACAATCAACTGAGCGATACCATACTTGTAGCTTAGTAATTTTACGTGCAATTTTACCTCTTTTTGGCTGTAACGTAGTGGGCTAGAAGAACAAGTTACTGTCATAAGGGATCAAACACGCAACATTCGAACTAGAAGTTCTGTACTCTGGGGCACTTGAGCTACGACAGTGTGCCTCCATGCACTTTACTGGGGTATTTCTGCGCGAGTTATTATTCTGGGAGTGTTAGCCAGAGCCACAGCTATGTCGGCGATTCATGACAACCAAGACGATACTCCCAAACTGCCTAATCATGTGTACCAGCGAAGAGCTGCGCCATGTTGCCATTGCCCCAGTGCATCCAGTTGAAGATGTACCGGTTCGGTTCTTCCGGGTGGCAACGGAACAGCGCCATGATTGGCTGAAAGAAAATAATTAGGACGTCACCGCCAACTGATCATATAGGGACTGCATAGCTACTTTGCCAACAAGTGAGGCAGCGGATGCAGGATGCATAATAAAGATTACATGTCACTTCTGTGGCAATGTTGTGAGGTTATTTGCTCAGTACGCTCATGGCTTCAGGTTGCGGGGGGGGGGGGGGCATACTTTGGCATCTAGCCTGCACTGCAATAGCGAGAGTGTCATGCACATGCAGTTCCTTTTTCCGAGCGGGATTGGCCGGCAGAAAACGACTCAATCGAGAGTCAGGTTTTCGAAAACTCAGTAAGTCTTCGATGAAACTGGGATGGGAAAGTCAACTACTCGTAACACCAGTTTAAACAAATATAATGCCACGAGCGAAATAACAGGGACAGCCAGGAGTCCACGTCTTGCCCGCACCCAGACCAGGAAGCAATGCTTTCTTCTTTCTCTACTTCCAAGCGATTTCACGCTACAGCTGATTGCTCATACCCATTTACCTGTGAGATTATTCCCTCTCCTCGAAAAGCATTGTCTCAATGCTGGTGATGAGCGTTGCAAAAAAAATGAGAAAGAAAGGCGCTACTATGGAATCTAACTACTGCATCGTAAGGCAAAAAAAGGGCTAGTGTCACAGACGTACTTAACAAAGAAGGGAGTTGGTACATAAGTCACATCAAAAATAAAGTGACAAAAAATTAAGTAGTCATTGCATGATAAGTCAGTCCACGTTCGATTGACGACGCGAAAAATGTGGCTTGAGCCTTGACACATGCCCCACATCACTTTGTGGAAACTGATGGGAACGTTTTGTGGTGCCCTCAGGGAAAACTTCGTATGTAACGTCACTGAATCGGCGTAGAACTTTGTACGGGCCGAAGTAGTGCCGCAGAAACTTTTCAGAGTGACCACGCTGTCGGAGGGGGTCCACACCCAAACTTCATCGCCTGGTTAGAAGGTAACCTCTCGTTGTGTGACGTTGTAGCGGCGTGCGTCGGCAGTTTGGCGAGTCTGAATACGGCGTCGGGCGAGTTGACGGGCCTCCTCGGCGCGTTGAGCGAACAAGCCAGCGTCCGCGTTGAACATGCCTAGGTTGTTGGGAAAGAGCATTGCGTCGAGCATTGTAGTGACCTTTCGACCATGAACTAAGCGAAATGGGGTGAAACCTGTACTCTCTGGGACTGCTGTATTGTAAGCAAAAGTTACGTAAGGGAGTATATCGTCCCAGTTCTTGTGATCAATGGCCACACAAATTGACATTATATCTGCAATGGTCTTGTTCAACCGTTCAGTGAGTCCATTTGTTTGGGGGTGATAGCCCGTGGTGTTCCGATGGTTTGTACCACTTAGTATCAGCACTTCTTGAAGCATCTCTGCAGTGAAAGCTGTCCCACGATAAGTAATTATCGCAGCTGGCACTCCATGACGAAGGACGATGCTGGTGACGAAAAACTGGGCGATTTAGGCTGCGGTTGCTTTGGGCAGGGCATTTGTTTCGCTGTAACGTGTGTAATATTCGGTGGCAATTACAATCCACCGATTTCCAGACGAAGAGTGGGAAACGATCCGAGCAAGTCAATTCCAATTTGATGGAATGATGTTTTCGGTGTGGCGATAGGCTGTAGTAGTCCCTGCTGGTCGGACAGGTGGAGTCTTACGGCGTTGGCAGTCGCGGCATGTGAGGACGTACTGCTTGACTGTCTTCGCGAGGCGTGGCCAGTAGTAGGAGCAGCGAATTCTTTTTAAGGTGCGCGTGTAGCCAAGGTGTCCGGATGATGGCTCGTCGTGACAAGCATGTAAAATATCGTCACGAAGCGAGCTCGGTGCAACCAGTAGGTAAGTAGCCTGGATATGGTTGAAATTCTTCTTATAGAGGACTCCATCCCTTATGCAGAACGAGGCCAGCGAGCGTGCGAAGTTTCGAGGAAGATTTGGCCTTCGAGGTGGTCAATCAGCGGGCTGAGCTCCATGTCATCGCGTTGTTGTTGAGCCAAGTCGGTTGCTGATACAGACGAAAGGAATGCATCATCCTCTTCAACGTCCGCGTTCGTACTTTCGATTGGCGCACGTGAGAGACAGTCAGCATCGGTGTGTTTGTGTCCTGACTTCTGAATATTTGTAACGTCAAATTCTTGCAGCTGAAGGCTCCACCATCATAGGCGACTGGAAGGATCTCTGAGGTTGACGAGCCAGCATAAAGAATGGTGGTCGCTAACTACCCTGAATGGGCGACTGTACCAATAAGGCCGAAACTTTATTAAAGCCCAAACAACGGCTAAGAATTCTTTTTCTATTGCAGAGTAGTTTTTCTCTGCGGATGATAATGTTCGACTTGCATAGGCAATCACCCGCTCTACGCCATTTTGCCATTGAACCAATATAGCTCCAAGTCCGACGTTGCTGGCATCCGTGTGTAGCTCTGTGGCAACGTTGTCGTCAAAGTGACCGAGTACATGTGGGCCTTGGAGATTGTTTCGTAGCGTGCCAAAGGCGTGGCGCTGATCCTGACCCTAAAACGAATGGTACGCCGTTTTTTGTAAGTTAATTTAGAGGTTGAGCAATTTCAGAAAGCCTTTGACAACGCGTCTGTAATATGCGCACAGTCCCAGAAATCGGCGGAGATCACGCTTGTTTGTTGGGACAGTAAATGCGGCAACAGCAGTCGTTTTCTCAGGGTCTGGGCGTATACCGGCGTGGCTGACAACGTCACCAAGAAACTTCAGTACCTCGACAGCAAAATGGCATTTCTCAGGTTTGGGAGAAAGTCCAGCAATTCGAATCGCCTGAAGAACTGTCTGCAAGCGCTGGACGTGCTGCTCAAACGTGTCCGAGAAGACGACCACATCGTCGAGGTAGGCAAAAAACGATTGTCATTTTAGCCCTGAAAGAACCGTGTCCATCATTCTTCGCAATGTAGCTGGTGCCGAGCGTGAGCCGATAGGAAGGACCTTGAACTCGTAGAGTCCACCAGGAGTAATGAAGGCGGTCTTTTCGCCGTCGCGCTCATCAACAGCAATTAGATTATAGCACTGCGTAAATCCATGAAAGAAAAGTAACGAGTGCTCCGAATGTGGTTCGGCGAGTCATCTATTCGTGCTAGAGGATACACGTCTTTCTTCGTGATCTTATTCAGTTTTCGGTCGTTGATGAACAATTGCAATGTATCGTCTTTTTTTCTTTACTAACACAACAGGAGACGCCTAGGGACTGCTCGAAGGCTGAATGACATCGCCCTTGAGCATCTGCCCTTGAGCATCGCCCTTGAGCATACGATGCTTTGCAATCGGTGTTTGAATCCTTTTGGAAGTCGTAGCGAAGCAGTCCCGAAATTAGTCGAGTATCTTCAAAAGAAGTTCCCGTTGTGCGGATGGTAGATCCTGGTTTATATCGAGAGGGCTCGCGAATGTCATGGCGGAAAGGTCGCACGATGAAAGGGCAGATAATGTTGAGGGACCAGGGACGTCGGCAATAACCTCAAGGTATGCGATCGTAGTGTGTTTGGTAAGATGGCGATACACCTCGCTGAAATTCGTGACTAATAGGCAAGCCTACTTCCTCCTGGGCTGAACAATACTTCAGGCAACGCAGATTTGTTGTGCAAAAAGTAGAGACAAATTTCCTTTCACAATTACAGCATCGCGGACGTCTTAGTAACATTCGATGGTGATAAAGAGGCTGCTGCGGGGAGGCAGAGTAAATTATTCGGAGGATACACGTAGGGCAGCCTTCGATAAGTGGGTGTTGTCAGGTTCAGGATGAAACGGGTCCACGAACAGCACCTGCAAGTCTCATAGGTCAATAAAGTCCAGTCCCGGAATGAGGGGATGGGAACACACAGGTAATACGAGGAAAGACCCTGTGAGCGTCGAAACACGGACTCGAACACGGGCTGTGCAAATTCCAGTCGGCGTGACGAGGTGGCCCCCTGCCGCGCGCAACGGGGGTCCTTGCCAAGGGGTAGTTACTTTCCTCAGTTTTAGTGCCAGGGCACTGCTCATAACCAAATAATCGGCGCCGGTCTCGACGAGGGCAGTTACGACGTGATTATCGACGTGTATGGTGATGTCGGCGGAAACAGTCCTATGACTTTCGAAAACGACTGGAAGATCAGAACGGTCTTCGTTAGGTCTTTGCGTCAAGGGAAGCTCTTTGACAGTTCGTTGGGGCGCGGTTTCTAGTTTCCCCTGTGGGGACTTGTTGACCGGCTTCTGAAAGGAGCATAAGATGACGAGGGAAAGCTAGGTGACGTTGCGCGAAGAGGTGATGGTCATCGTGATTGGTGGTGTTGTCCAAGGCAAGGAGCTTGCTTGCCCATAAGGTACGCTTCGATGTCACGGGGACGCTCACCGCAACGCGGGCACCGAGCATTAGGGTGGAAGCCATGGAGACCAAGTTGGCGGTACTGGCGATTGCGGTAGACGTGACCCGCTTCGCCACAGTGGTAGCAGAGTGGACAGTTATCCGGCGTACGCTACACGCTGGCCTTTGTGGCGTTCTGTCACGATCTAGACGGATGATAAGTGGGTGCACTCGGGAACGTTGATGCGGGTGGCGGAGTCGGAGAGCTGCCCTGGAATCGATGGCTAGCCTGATCCAATGTCCGCATAGTGGAATTCGGAGTATGTGGTGCAGGAGATCGCAGGGTGGCCGCATAAGTCAGCACATAAGCCTGAGGCCTTCTTGGTGCGAGCTGGATTACCACCTGTCTGATCTCGTTTCGGATGAAGTCTGCGAGAGCATTTTCGGGTGATTGGGATCCCGCTGCTTGGAGTTGGCGCAGCTCGTCCCGCACGACGCTTCTTATGAACTCTGCGAGGGCACGCCTCTCGCTGTCAGCCCCGATAGAGCATGCAGCAGTGGTGACGTCGTGGCGTTCTACTGTGACGACCGATGCTGGAGAGTGCACTCCATTGTGGATGCCTCATTTATGAACTCAACCACAGTCGTCGGTGGATTGCGCCAGAGTCCGGCGAAGAGCTGCTCTTTTACCCTACGCATTAATTCCGCACCTTCTTTTCCTCGGACATTGCAGGGTCGGCACGCTTGAAGAGTCGAAGCATGTCCTCGACAAACATCGAAACTCTCTCGTTAGGTCGTTGGTTCCGAGACGAGATGGCCTGCTCCGCTCTCTCCTTCTTTCGGCGCTGCGGTACGCTTCGCGAAACTGTCAGCTGAACTCCTGCCACGTCGCAAAGGAACCCTTGTGATTCTCGTACCACGTTTTGGCAGAGTCTTCCAACGCAAAGTAAACTCTCCACAGCTTGCGAGCTTCATCGCATTCGTTCATGCTGGCAATTCGATCGAAGTGGTCAAGCCAGTCATCAACATCGTCATAAATGTCTCCATGGAATGAGCGTAATGTTTGCGGCGCATGAAAAACATGCGGCAGAAAATAGGCGTCGTTTGTTTGACTCGCCTGGTTGGTAGTCGAGGTTGCCATCTCGTCTTGAGAGAGAGGACCGTATTCGGGAGATAGTCCTCGCAAGCGGTGACTGCTTCTTGTCGTGGGAACTGTAGCTGTCTCCAAGTAGCTCTGTGTGTCGGCTGAAATTCTGGAGCCGATGCGCATTTACCCAGCACCTTCACCAATGCTACGAGCGAACTAACAGAGACATCCAGGAGTCCACGACTTGCCCGCACCCAGAACAGGAAGCAATGTTCCCTTTTTTCTCCACTTCCAAGCGATTGAACGCTACAGTTGATGGCTCATACCCTTTTACCTGTGACAATATATAAAAAGATTATCTCGAGCGCCATCACAAGAGAGCATGATTCGGCTGTAATGCAACGCTTATCATCTAACGAGCAAGCGTTTCGATGGGTTGCTTTTTGCAGACCGCTTGGGAAAGTGGAGTGTGCTTGGCACTTTTGATATCTAAGCGCTTAGGAACAGCCTGCCTGCCTAGTGAACATGTGCAATCCGGCGTAGCGGGTTTACTTACTCGGATGTAGCGGGTAGCCGCAACACCTTCGTGCTCTTGACCGCATCAACGCACCGAACGCGCACAGCACACTCCAAGCGTTAGGAGCGGGGGAATGGACAAAATGTACAGTCACGAAGCATTTCAACAAGCCTAACGGGTCTACGCATGTGCGTGAGTGTCCCAGTAAGTGGTGTAGCCGGGAGTAGGCACACAGGGCACGTACTCTCTCCCCCCTCCCCCCTTCAAAATTTTTTCTGCCACGGGATAGTGTAGAAAACTGCCCTTCCCACTTCGGATCAAGGAGGTGCCCCACATCAAACATCTGCCTACGCTCCTGGTCCCAGTCCCATATGGTTGCTAACAGTGCAGGTAATGCGTGCCTAATTTCACCAGGGTCGCAGTAAATCCAATTAAAAGGCTAATGTGATCGCAGAAAAAAAGCTAATGCGGTGCCTCCTTGATTCACGTGGCCAAATGGAGATCTCTGAGGCTGCATTCACCGGGTTGAAACGAAATACGTTTTTTCTCAAATGCGGCGAAAGTCCCCGAGGTTATTTGGCGTCTAAATAGCGTCGCGGAAGAATAACCGGGAACGGGTGGCGCGCTTCTCGCCAGGCCCGGTCAACCAACGGTGGCTGAACTGGACAGTATACTAAATTGATCGTTCGAGCACAGCTCACCAGATAACTTGGGTAATATTATTCTGTGGCTACTACACAAGTGACAGCGTAAACTGCAACAAAACATGACAGACACAACATAGGGAGACAGTTGTGCCAGTTTCTTGTTTTGATTTACCGTACAGGTAATACAGCAGCAACAAGCAAAGTCATTCAATCATTCTAAGTCCGCATAGACAACTTACAGGGCCTTTGAATTATGTTGTTTTGAATGAAATGGTGGAATGGAATTCAGCTGAAGCTTTTCTTTTACAACGAACGATGCGGATGTACAAAAAATTATCCCGGAGTGTTTCGTGTAATATCTCTTCGTACACAAGACAAAACCACAAAATAATATATTATCTGCATACCTGGCAGACTCCGAGGGTCACCGCTGTTACTCCCAGAATCGGGTGCAGGTTCCCGCTCTGCAGTATGAAGAGTGCATGTATGAAACAATATTAAAGCATGTTCGCTCGCTTCCGTTTTCAGTTTATACTGCGCATACCTGCAAGCACTGCGCAGTACACGTTGGTAACAAAAGCAGCGGGACGTTACTAAGGTGCAGCTTGTAGCATTGCTCAATTGAAGTTTCACATTCTAGATGTTTTAGATTTATTCTAAGCTGATTCAATGCAACTGCGGCTTGTGCTCTACAACAGTGCCCCCCAATGTGTACTTCAATAGCAGTCGGCAGCCTGTCACATGCATAGCTTTTTTTTTAAGTGCTAAGCACAGAGCTCATGTGATGGCACTAAACAGAAAACGAAAGAAACACACAACGCAAATGTGCCACGTGTCAACTTGTCCCGTGCTGTCATATAAAGTCAGCATTTAACACTTTTACAATGTTGCGACAACAAGGCCAGAAACAAATGCCCTCGCCAGTTTTTTTTTTTCTGTATCTGTACGTACTCGCTGGTGCTTCGTTGACCTGAAGCTCAGCATTTAAAGCGTTTCCAAGAAACTTACAGAAAAGCAGCATAATGTAGCCACAACAGCTATATAAGACGTTAGTTGTACTGTTTCTAGTGTCATCATCATTATCAGCCTGATATGCTCACTACAGGACAAAGACCTCTCTCATAATCCACCAATTAACCCAGTCTTCTGCTTTCTGCTGCCACGTTATACCTGCAAACTTATTAATCTGATCGGCCCACCTAACTTTGTCTCCTCTTCGTGCGTTTGGGTTCTCTGGGAACCCAGTCAGTAACCTTTCGGACCAGTGGTTACCCTACCTAACTTATACGTGCCCGACCTATGTCCATTTCTTCTTCTTGATTTCAACTACGATATCCTTAACCCCGGTTTGTTTCCTGACCAACTCTGCTCTCTTCTTGTCTCTTAAGCTTGCCTCTATTATTTCCCTTTCCTTCGCTCGCGGCGTCGTCCTCAGTTTAAGCTTCACCCGCTTTTTTAGCTTCCAGGTTTCTGGTACACGTACGTAAGTACCGGCAAGATGCGACTGTTATATACCTTCCTATTGAGGGTTAGTGGTAAATTACTAATCTGTATTTTAATAATTGGTATATCAATGCAAAGCAGGCAAAGTGAACGCAAAGACAACGTGCCGCCAGTATAGGTGCCAACCCTGAACTATGGGACTACGCGCACTTCGCAACTTTTGGACCATGTAGCTTCAGTCCCTGGCGGCGGCAAGCCGTCTTTTCGGTCACTTTATTTTCTTCGCATCTATGTCACAGCTACTGCAATGCACTTAAAACAGTATAGTTAACGTTCCCTCTACCTTCCTTAGCTTCACTATTTGCTGGTTTTCTTCAAGTTGGCATCAGCCAAAGAAACGAACCCAGGGTATTCTCTTCTAGCATTATATGTATACGCGTATTTCAAAAGTTTGAGAGAATAAAAGCGTTAAAGTTTACTCACAAAGCTCCATCCCCCTATGGTGTAGAATATAACCGCCACGCTTGTCAGCATAGTTACTACAGCGGTCGCCATCAAGCCTCGGTGGAGCTGTAAAAAATTTTAAAAACGTTCCATAAAGCAAAGTTCTGAACACTGCAAACATCACAAAGAACACATAGCCTGCACCTATCGTCATAGCTTGGTGGTTAAAGGGTCACTAAAAGGAAAATATTTTTTCTCGTATTGGTAAGTTGTCTTTTTTTTTTCTTTAGCAATTACAAAATCAACGCGCCTATACAGCGTCAAGACAAGCTAGAAGAAAACGCGGGAGGCGACGCCATTTCAAAGTTTCCGGCACCAAATGCAGTGACGTCATAGATTTCTAACGGAGTCTACTATGTTTTATGCAGATCTTCGTTAGTGAAAATTACATACATCATTTCCTGGGGGACCCATAGACTGATATATTAAGGTTCGGGAGGCTTTGTTAAGCCAACGTTGCTGAAATACTCAATGTACACTTTGACATTTGTGACGTCACGTGTGGAGGTTTAAGTTTCAATAGAAAATTTTAAGCTTGATTTTCTATTCTATGAATAAACCGATGAAGATAAAATTAATGACATTTTCATTCGGCGAGAACAATTTATCCATCTAAACCAATTGAGTGCTCAGCTTTAGTGCCCATGTAAGTAGCGGTGCTGCAAATCTCGAGCACGCCAATTCAAATTCTGTCGCCTGTGACCATGCTGAAGTAAGAACAAATTTAATGTTCCCATATTTACGTTTAAACACATATTAACTCCGGGTAATGAAAGTTCTCATAAAGCCTACATTTTGCGGTGTGCCTTATACCCTTCTGATAACTCCTCGACGTTACATGTGAAATGTACGAAGAGGAGGCGCTATAGTCTCATCAAAGCGAAAGTACACGTAAAATGTAGGTTCAATGTGTAGCTCTGAAACTATTATGCTTATTGTAACAAAACAAGCTAATTTTAGATATAATCTTGACATATATAGCTTTTTCACTTAATGTTTATTTTATTTCAGCGATTGATCAACATACTTTTCCTTGTCGCATTTCTATACTACGCTTTTTTATTCAGGTATTGTTCTTGTTGTTTCTTTCGTTATTAGTATATAGAAAAATAGAACTGTTCATAGGATTTACAGCTGTCCACGGACCCTAAGAATGAATGAATGAATGAATGAATGAATGAATGAATGAATGAATGAATGAATGAATGAATGAATGAATTGTGCACTATGCTAGCATTTTGTTCGAGACAAATGCAGTACACTTACGAAGAACCAGACTTTGTCTCCCAAGATGAGCGAGCCCTCCCAGGATGGCTTAAAGTTGCGCGCAATCAGTATGGCGAGGCTCACGAGGTAGAGCCAAGCCAAGATCATCAGGTTACCTGTACAGCAGGTCATCGTACTTCGTGATGACGAGCAACGGCGCGTCATGTAAGGAGTTGTTTCTGTGCACGTACTACAACATATTTCGCTTACTGTGTATTTCGATTGGACTGCTTGTATACTTAGCGTTGGACCTTCCTTGCGAAGCCCCTCGTCACTACGAGATGGTACGCACGGTGTTCCCACGTTATAATTGCACTCTTACTTCCAGCGCATGTTTTAAGAGAGTGTTCACTGTAGCAGCTCACCTCTTAATGAGAAAACATTGAAGAATCAGCGATGACAACATTGTGAAAACGACACCCGTTGATAGTTAGCATCGCGTCGCACTCTATGCCACAGTAAGCTTTGCAGCCTTCATGGAAGCTTCCATCTGGTCTTCTTTCTACAATGCAAGGCACAGTAGTTCGTCGTAGTCTGAGTAAACATGTGTAATTGTGTTACAGCAGCACAATTTTGAACTCAAGTAACGCTGAACTCATTGATTACACTTTTGCAATTACTCAGTTACTTTTCGCGGTCTGTATTCGATCACTGTAATTACATTTTAAAAGAATAATTGTTTATGTAATTGGTTGCATATCTTTCGTAACGTGCAAAGGTCTGGCTTGCCCATATTCTGTTTGGACGTCCGACCAACCAAGCTTAATATCCGTTCCCACAGCTCACTAAAAATTATAAAGGGAACACATGAGCAGCAACCGCCATTAAATACTTCTGTAGGGACGTCGTAATTAATTAAACCACCGGTGTTGATATGGCGCTAATGACCAAGACGACAAGTTACAGCTTCTCCGATTTGTAGGAGTGTTTAGTCTGTGATTTTTTCGTCTTCCAAACTAAACTCTTCCTTTATTCAAAGCGTGGCATCGCTACGCACAGCGTCAAAACACAACGAAAGCAATCGACGGATCACGAGACATGGCCTACTTGTGCGCACCAGAAGTACAAGCGCTCACCGTGCACCAAGATGAGCGGATCCCTGTCGGAGCCGGCCTTGACGACTCGCTTTTCGCCGAAAGAGAGCTTCTCCTTTGACGCCATGCGACCGCTGTGATAAATTTTTTCTGCACAACACACGAAAACCAAAACGAGTGTAGTACATGTCTTTAACGTTTCACCGAGTGGAAGGCCAGACTTCACGAATTCCGCGTCTTCCTTTCCTTTTTATTGTGACATCATTCATGCGAACACAAGTGGCGCAATATCGCCGTCGCCGTCATGTTACGTAAATTACAAATCGACAGCTGCGCCCCATATGCCATACGTTGCACGCGCGAACGGCGGAAGCTTGCGAAACCTGCAAATGGGCGTGGCTTGAGCGGAAATGGAATGCACCGACCCACTAAGTCGGGCGAAGGGGCGTGCAGGGATGGGGGAGAGAAGGGAGCTGCGACGCTCTGAAAGCAGCGACAAACTTTCATCAAAACAACGCTATCATGCATGCTATCTAAAGAGACATCGGTATAGACGGTTCCTGCTTCTGTACTATCAACACTCCGCGTTGAAGCAGCAGACGGCGCGATAACTGCTTCGCTCCTCGAAGCGTACGCGTTTCTATGTGCCAGTGTTTTGAACTAATGCAGTTAGCTGGTCGCCTTACTTCGTATAACAATCCGATTCGTTGCTTACGCTTTCGACGCTTCGCCCTTTGCGCCGAAACCATGACCCTTTCTCCGACAGCTAATTACAGTTTCCTATTGCACATGAAACGTTCATCACACGATGACTACTTCACAGCCTTTTAAGCCTAAACTGATTTAGAACTTCACTTCAATGGTCCTTTAAAGTGAGCGAACAAAAAAAAAGTGAAGCACTTTTTTTAGGCTAATTTTTTAGACCATCCGGCGATATTTAACAAGTGCTAGGAAACTTTGCGCTGCGTAGACGGTGCAGAAAAGCACTCGCGGACGGCACAGACAACGAAAAATTTGTGACACACATTGTGCATTGCGAAAATTTATTTCATGCGACGCAATCACCGATTAGCTGCATGTGCTTTTTTGATAGGCAAGCTTTAAGATCTACATTGAGGTCTTTATGCAACTTGACAACATTTAAGTACTCCGAGGGCTTACCAGGCAAATTGTGTTCACCGACGCCTAATCGGTAACACATGATCCAAAGTAAGATCGCTATGCATGTTAACGCGCATACTGTATCGAAACAGATTTCTGAAACAGATTTCTGAAACAGATTTATCAAAACATATTTCCCGCTAAACCGCGATGAAATGTATGTCACGAGCAGTGGTCGTCGGCGTATTTCTGCAGAGTCAACCACCACTTGCTGTATATTGCTATAACTTGCAAACTATAGCTTGCTGTGTCACAGGAGTATAATATGTAATGTTTTGTCACATTGTTATAAAATAAGCAAACCAGCACTGCAACCACACTTGATGCTGCCAAGATAACTATACGTAATTTTTTTTTTTTTTTCTGCAGCAGCTTCTATAGTACTGGTGTGGCTCTGTGGTAAGACACCTTACAGCCACGCAAAATACTTGGCTTCATTACAGTTGGAACATTGATTTCCTATCTTTGCGCTTATTCGGGTTTCATGCGACATGACCTCCCCGACGCTATCGTGCGCACGTTTCTTAAGTTAATCCTTGCCGCTGCTAGATTAATTTAGGTTGTACATCAAATGTTACGCATAACCTGATTTGATTGACCGTGTTAAGTGAATATGTCTCTCACATGACTGAGTGAAAAAAATTCACGTCATAAGCGATAAGCATGTCATAACGTTCATTTTTTTATCATTTAGTCATGTTCTTATTACACTCACATTCGCCTGTCCTCTTTTAATTTTATACCAACTTAAGGATCTGCCCTCGAGAGCGTCCAAACGTAAGAGAATGATAGATAGACACCGTGAAAGTGTTTTTTCGTCGGCAAACAAATCCTTCGTGTTTGAAAGACGAGAATGGTCGGATGGAATGAACGGAGGTATTGTCGTACCATCCGGCGGAACAACTTTCCCGGTTGCGAGGAGAACAAAGTACTTCGTCTTGGCCAGGTCGAAGGTCACCCCGTTGACGGTGGTCACTGGCTTCCTCACCCAAGTGCACTTGAGCGTGCCGTCAACCACCCCGTGGCTGCCGAGAGTTATGCCTTCAGTTGTCTGCAGCAGAAGAGAGAGAAAAAATCACAAATAGTGCCAGGTTAAATGACCACAGTAAATTGTCACAAGAATGTTAACATAATAACGACATTCGTTTCGACGGCGCTCCTTCGACGCTGAAAACCTCACTGACTAGTTCGCACGTGCGTGTGTGCATGCGTGTGTGTGTCGTAAATCGTTATGATTGACATCACCAGATTGACATCACCATAGAAAATGCTTTGCATCACCATACAAAACGGGGAATTGCAGATTTGGTGCTTTTCGGCCAAACCCTACCGCAGCGACAACTGAACACAGTCTATGCCATTTAGGTTGATGATGATGATGATGATAATAATAATAATAATAATAATAATAATAATAATAATAATAATAATGCCGCAAATACCTGCTGAATACCACAAGCGCGTAACCAATTTGACCAGTCGAAGTGCCGAGAGTAACCATTCAGGACGCCTCGTACCACATCGGGTTCTTCGTGTCGACCACTTGTTCTCAAGACGTGACACTTGGATAGACTTACAGCGCCACCCCACTGTAATTGACTGCGCTCGCGCGGAGGTGCCATTTTTTCGTATTTTCTGATGCCCCATCTACCGACAATGAGCGCACTTGTTGCTTCCAACATTGACGTTCCTCCTTCTAGTGCCATCATTGTCCCCGTCAATCGTACTGAATTGTATGGCTCTACCGTTGTGTTCTCGCCATCTGACGTTTTCAGTCGCCGCCACGGTACGTCTCTGCCATACGCCGTTCTGCCACCTCACCAGGATACTTCCGGAATTGTCGTTTGCAATCCTAGCTCATGCCCTCTCACCTTAAGAGCTCACGAAACACTGGGCTATGTTCATCCTATTGATGACAACGTTATTGTGCCTATTGAGTCCCACGACCCTGGCCAGCAACTTCAACTGAACGCCGTTACTCCTCTTTTCACGCGGGATGACTACTCCTCGGATATCTTTAATCGTTCCATCGACAGCAAGCTTCCTCCGGATCAGCAGGACCAGCTAATAACCCTTCTCCATGAATTCCGAGATTCATTTGACCTTCCTCAAAAGGCACTGAGTCAAACTAACACCGTCGCTCACACAATCTACACTGGAACGCACCCTCCTTTGCGGCAACGCCCCTACCACGTATCACCCAAGGAACGAAGTGTAATTGCAGAGCAGGTGGACGATATGCTTCAGCGTGGTGTCATCAGGCCATCTTCTAGCCCCTTGTCATCACCTGCTGTGCTGGTGAAGAAAAAAGACGGTTCGGTTAGATTTTGTGTGGACTGTCAGCGACTGAACAAAATTACGCGGAAAGTTGTATACCATCTGTTATGTTTTGCCGCTCATAAGTTGATCGTGCGGATGGGACAGCACCAGAAGCTTCGTTATTCAAAGTTTCTTTCTCGGATCTCTCTCGGTAACTATACACCACTTATCCTCTGGAATGCAAACTACGTCCGTCTTCTCTGCTGCTGGGGACAAATACACAATGTGAAACGAACCCGCTCTGCTAACCGGCTTGGAATGTTTGTGGTTTAGAGACAAGTCGCCGCGGCCGGGGGCAAACGCACAATAGGATTAAGCGACCCCGTCCTGCCTCCCCTGCCGGGCGCGAGCTCAGTGGAAGTAGGAGACACGCTCTGCCCTGGCGATCGGCCAAAAGTCGCAGCGATGCACGACCCGAGCACAGGGAAAGCGGAGAAAGTCAAAGGCCGCTTGCTACCTGCGGGGGCAATTACGTTCCGCGCGCAATCATGCAATTTCCGGCTTTGGAGGTTCGTCTCGGCTCGCTGGGTGTGGGAAAGGGCATGAATGTACCGGGTCTACAATGCCGATATCTCCCGAGCGTTAGAATTCCTGAGCGCGGAGGAGGTGGAGAGAGAGAGACATGATGGGAAAGAGTATCAAAACGCCTGTTTAAACTGTAGAAGCGCTGCTGTCGAGAGTAAGGTGTTTGAAGCGAGATCGGGTTGCCTTAGAACGCGTAGTTATAAAGCAAGATTCAGTAAAGAAGAAGAACAATGCACATGCTGCGGGAAAGATAAGGAAACGGCGGAGCATGTTCTGATTGAATGTGGAGATATCCACCCGGGTGTACGTTTGGGCACGAGCCTACAGGAAGCCTTGGGTTTTAGGGACAACAATGGAAAGCTGAACACACCCGCGATTGAAATAAGTAAGAGACGGTTAGAGTATTGGTGGCAGAAAATTAGAGAGAAAGGACAAAAATAAATATTGGAAAAATAAAATATGGACAGTGTGCCGTAAATGGCAGAGAACTTAAGCTGAAAATTTACCTTTTTTCCATTAAGATAGAATTTATCGAAGTAGAGGCATTAGGCCAACATAAAAAAAAGGAAAAAAGGTTTTTTTTTTTTTGTCGAGCCTGGTGGCATACTTGTCACCACCCCGTTATAAAGGGGACGCTCATAGCATCCATCCATCCAGGTCAGCCCAGTAGGGAGTGACTTAATCTTAGTGGAAGCAGATTGGATGAGAGAATGTTGAGGCGGACCAGCAGTGGCCCCCTCCCCTTTTTCTTTGTTACCGCAAGATGCTTAAGACTGGAGGCAATCCGTTTCTCTTCAGTCGAAGCTGCAATCACCTAACTGATAGATCAGTACGACTCCGTACGATGCAACTTTTGTCTGGGCCGTAACCACTTGGTGGTCGAACAGTGAGACTAAGTACGTTGTATGTAGTAACAGTGTTCTAGGCTCTAACTTAAGAAAAGTTAAGTAGAAGAGTAAGACGCTGTTGATGTCTGTGTTATCATGAGTGTGCTTCGGCAAGATGTACATATGACTGTAAATATTTCGCTGTAATATACCTTCAAGTTTTCATTACCTCCAACCTGCCTCCTGCTTCATCGACGCCGATCATCTCCTTGACGGGACTTCAATCCATATCAAGGAGATCAACGAACAAAAAGGAAAACTTAACTCCATCTTCCCCGCATCGACGACGCTATCGGCTGCCTGCAAGGTGCCGATTTTTATTCTTCACTGGACTTGCGCATCGACGACGCTATCGGCTGCCTGCAAGGTGCCGATTTTTATTCTTCACTGGACTTGCGTTCAGGTTACTGGCTGGTTCTGATGGCACGAGCCGTAGCTGACTTTCCTAAGCCGACTTCACTCAAAGAACTTAGGAGGTTCATCGGTTTACGGTGTTCATATTTGCGGCCTTTCGTCCACAACTCTGCATCAATTATAGCCCAACTTACGCAACTACTGAACGGTCCAGCTAATCTTGCGAATTGGAACTCAGTGTTGTGGAGAAAAGGACAAGCCACCGTGCCCATGGCGAAAGCCACCTGTCCACATCTTCTTTATTTCGAACAACCAGAATCAGAATGCTGTCGCATATTGAAGACCAGAGCCCTATACCAAGAACGTCCATGTTTATTTCTACCACTCGTGCCCTCCCATTCTTTCTCCTCTGTTCTCCTGCTTGTTTTCGCGCGGCCGCAATCATCCGCAACATACTCCCAAAAGCGAAGACGGTCACGAGACAGTCTCGCTAGTCCAGATCACTTGCCTCGCTGACTTGCCTCTAGAATATATGCTAACTGAACCAGTCGCTTTCCTTGATGTTCCAGAAGCTAGTCACCCTAAAGCATGCGTGCAATATTATTCTCTCCTGGGTGCGCTGACCACCCCATTCTGCTATTGTAGCACTGAACGTGCGCTACCGTCAACACAGCAACACAATTTGCCGCTCCCAACAGCGAGGCCTTCGGCGTTAAAGCTGTAGCACAAATGACCGTCTTAGTGTGTTTCCTGTCAAGCGGGTGATCCGGTATGACCGGTCTTCCCACCAAAGATCTCCCCCGAACTTCCACTGGACGACTGATTGGCTCTGGAAGATGAGCAGCAACTGCACAAACTCGGCGTTGAGCTTTCAACCCTTCAGCAGGGCATCGTTGTGGCAAGCATGATCTAGCGCGTGTGTTGAGGCGTCAGACACAGCACGAAGCCTTGGTGTGACAGCATTTTCATGAATGACTGCATGATGAGGCGCATGATAGCCATCGTCTTGTGGCTGTGGTATTTCCAATCGCCTTGTCTGTTTTTTTTTTTTTTTGCTAATCACCGTTGTGACTGCCTTGTCACGGTGTTTCTACAGTTCAGAACGTTGCTTGAACCAGTTCAATTGCACTTGTGGACAGCCTTCTCCGAATCTCCAATGATCGCTGCCTGAATGTCTGTCTAAAACTTGTGGTTTTAGCAGAACCTTGTAGTGGCCGTCTAACTTAATGATGCCCTGTTCGAATGCCTCAAGTTCTGGCGGAACCTTGATTGTCTTCTCAGCAGGCGCCTCGATCCCCATGACGCCGAGACGCTACATTGCAGAAAGACCACCGTTAAGAACAAACTTCCTTCTACAGTAGAGTACGCTCAGCGAAGGGTATTACACAATACACAGCTTAGTAAGTGTGTGAATACTGGTTGGAAAACAAAAACAGCACAATGAAAAAAAGAAACAAATAAAGATTGCACTCATAAACGGTAATCTTTTGCTTTTTGTCAGTTTCCCTACTTTTCTAATAGCTTTTACGGCATAAAAAAAAACGCAGCCAAGGGGCCGTGCACGCATTATTTCTTCTTTTTCTATGTACTCTATTCGACTTTCAACGCTACTGCATGCACCGCCAAGGACACAAGCAACGTATGCTTAGGCTACATAGCTCTCTAAAGGCTTTATTTTTCATAAAAGGAAAGCAATGCACAGGCGTCGGAACGAAACTGGCTTATCCCCGCATCAAAATGGCAGTGCGCACGATAAAAGAAAACATCCTGTTCTCTGTCCTTATGGCGCGCTTCATGCTTCGTGCTCAGGAATAAAAAAAAGAGCCCCAAAAGTTTAAACAGAGCATCTGCGCCATGCCCTGATGCTTCGCCGACCGAATTTCTTTGTGCGCCGTGTGTGCGCGCGACACGTGTTTGTGTGTGTGTGTGTGTCGCCGCACCAGATGGCGGATATTAGAACTTTGGCCTTGAGTTGAGAGTATATATAGGCGTGCCAGAGAAGTTCTATCTGGAAGCTGAAATAAAAATACGTGCTTGGCGGGTACCATTATCTCAAAAAGTGCGTGCATAACTCGGTGTATACCCCACACTATTTACAATTTTTATCAGAACCACTTGTTCTTATCGGGGCATTCATTTCGTGTGCGTTCTTTGTGATTTTTCGTAGTCATTGTTGTATTCATTGCTGACTTTGCGCGTGTGCGCCTTCTCCTACGCAAGTTGGGTCTTCTGACAATAAACCATCAGTTGCAGTATAGCGCCTGTGTTTGCCTGATGTCATCTGTGAGTGATCGTATCATTTTGGTGCGCTGCTTCTTCGAAAATCAAAAAATCCTGATGAAATCGCGCCCGATGCGAACGACGCCTAACGGAATGCAATGCGGAATAATTTTCGAATATTCCGGCAACCTTGATATTATTCGTAAAGTTTACCTAATAATATGCATTCATTTAGCAATAAAAGCTATAGTAGTGCCTCATGATCGAATTGTCAGCTCATTTAGATGCGTCAAACAGATTATTTGAAATGCAAGTAATTATTTCACAGCCGGTGTAGAGGGTTGCGCTGCTGCGTTATGTGAGCGCTGATAACTTGTACTATGTTTTCGTTCATGAACTTTAAAGTATTTTTAACACCAAATATGGATTCACTTGTCTTGCTGTTGACATTTTCGTAAAATATATTCGTCAACTAATTGAATTTATTTGAACAGTGCTTATAACCAGTTGAAAGCGAACCTGCCAAATATGAATTCCTGTAGTAAGAAGTTTCGGGATTAGCTCACTTTATAGGGTTGTTAGTGAAGGACAAAGACGATGATCCGCAGTATGTGCGTTACTTTAGGCTATATGCATATGCAAAAGTGAGCCACTAGATCATTAAAGCAAGTTTTGTCTAGTTAAGTGTGGCAATATAGAAATATGGCGCTTACCTTCTCCACGACTTTGTTTGTCGTTCCTTCGGAGTTCCAAGACTCGCGAAGCAAAGTGTTGTCTCCGTCAAGGAGGAGGCACTCCACCACGCTCGTTAATTCCTGGCACAAAAAGAAAAGGGGAGAAAAGAAGTGCAGCCAGTTCCACTTCGCGAATGCTTGAAACAAAGACGCTGTTGTAACTCCACCCCCCCCCCCTCCCTTCCACTCCTCAAGCTTACCGTCACCGACATTTGCACGTCTCACTAGTTCACGCTTTCCATCGACCCTTGACACTAACTTATAGCGCACCTCGTATTGGTTCATTCGTTCCACTAAGCCTCGACGTTCGCATTTAGCGCAACATTGGTTCACCCTTTCCATCGAGCTTCGCGTTTGCACATCTTGGCGCAGCGCAGCTCTTTCTCTCAAGCCGAGACTCACTCTCGCCACAGCGCAAGACCACGTAACAAGCGCTATGCCGACACACGGTAAAGTCTCGACTAAAAACAGCTGCGCTCTTCAAGAAATCAACGAAGAAGCAGTCTTGAAAGTGTCGATCCCATTCGGCCTCCCATCAGTCGCTCGTGCTTTACAGCGTGCTACACGTGCGACGCCTGTACTCATATTTGGTTACGCCCCTTAAGGAAGATGCTGGCACCCTCCACTAAACGCTGTTAACCTGCAAGGGGACCCTGTAAAACTTATGAAGCTAGATCAGAAAACGTTGCCGATCGTTTGCTGAGGCTCCTCGGAAGATGTGTGCCCTACATTATATCGCATTCTAAAATTAGCCCTCAAAATCAGCTACAAATCACTTTTATCGGCAGATCATGTCATAAACACAGATCCTGGTGCCATAAACCCAGAGTGCATGAACACTGGCTGACTGGAGGCTGAAGAAAGCCCGTGGCTTCTTGTTCTTTTTAGATGCGGAGCATCTTATACTCGCGCCTTGTAGTGCGCCGTCCGCACCGCTTCTCGAACATTCGACAGCTGACGCGCGCGCATGCGCCGTCGCGCCGTCGCCCACTCTTCCACCATCTGTGCATCCCTTCCTCCTCTACACACCGCGCGCGCTTCACTCCTCCACCATCTGTGCACCCTTCCTCCTCTACACACCGCGTTCGACATCTACAATTCTCCTGATTCTCCAGTGGACGCGCATGTGGCGTCGCGCTTCGAGAACATTCAACAGCTGACAGTGCATGCGCCGTCGTGCTGTATATATACTCAAGGTCGGCGCTGGCTCGCTCAGTTGCCGCTCGTCGGTTGGTTTGTACGGCGCGTCGACGTCCAAGGTCGCGGTGAAATGAATTCCAACGAATCCACAAACACAATGATCGACGTCCCTTCGACCAGCGCCGCCCTTTCGCATACGTGTGTACGTGTTCACTCATTTAACACCCCCTCCTACAACCACGTTAACCAATTTAGCCATCGACCCAAGTAAGTCGCAATTTAACACCCCATTTCACAACCACGTTAACCAATTTAGCCATCGACCCAAGTAAGTCGCACTTTAACACCCCGTTAACCAATTATATGGTCCGCATCCTCCTCAGTGTTCCCCCGAGGGAAGCTGCGGGCAATTTTTTTCACCTCCCCCTCTTTTCTGTACTGCTTTCCACGCGCTGATTGTTGCAAAAAGAGCGCGAAAGCATTTATAGAGCATGAAGTTAATACCTAAGCCCACATGCACTCAGCGGATTTTGAAAATGTCTGCAGCAGTGAATTCTCGCAGCACTGCATAATTGAAAAATTAGTGCGGGGCCAGTTTAAAAACGCCGTGCTGTCTTTTTTTTTTCGCATTTGTCTTTCGCAGTACTGAAACATGTGTACTGTTAAATACCGAGATGAAAGCAAGCAGAATTATTGGTTTGATGCACGTGAACGGAAGTTTAGCCTTCAAGTTTCGAACTTTAGCTGACGACGAAGAAAACGTTTTCTCTCTGAAAACGTTTCTCTCTGAACGCTAAATTGGAAAAGCCATATAGAGGAGGCTGTCTGTAAAGCTTCACGTGCCTTGGGGTGGTTACGCAAATTGGGAAACAGAAAATTAGGATTGCGTAGGAGTTAATTGATAATGATTTACAAGATGTATGTGCGGCCTATTATGGAATTCGGGTGTGTATTATTTTCAGGCAGCGTAGCTTACAAGATGAGACAATTAATATTATTATAAAGAGAAGCTTTGCGCTTGTGTCTTGGACTCCCCAAATTTGTGGCAAATAATGTTTTGTATGTGGAAACGTGCCTTCCACCTTTGTTAACTCGGTATTAGAATACTTACAGTTCAAACTTTCTTAAAAGTGTACAATTCGCCTCTGCGACAAGCTTCTTGCGTTTTTATTCAAGAACCAACCGCATTCTTCGGAACACAATGGTCTAGACTACACTCCCCTCAGATTAGGTTCATCCAAGCGTTGCTAGAACCTCTCAATGTAAATATTTATCAGATTGGCATAACGAAGACGCCTAATTCAAAACTTGAAATTAAATTTGATGATATTTTCTCCTCTAATGCGAAACAACTACCCCTTCAATATTTAAATATTCGGTTAAAAGATTACTTGACTCATCTGTCCATAAACAACATTATTGTGACAGATGCATCCGTACTGAACGAAAAGGCTGGAATAGGCATCTTCTGTACTTCTCTCGACTGGTCTTTCTCAGTTCGACTGCCAGATTACACGCCTATATTCATCGCTGAATTATTTGCTATAATTCCAGCGCTTCGTAAACTACCTGCAAGCGAATCAGAAGCGGTCATACTTATCGATTCTCTCTCAGTATGCACTGCACTAACTACAGCAAAACAATTGACATTATTGAGCATGATTAGCAGTTTATTACCAGCAAACCTGAAAAATTTCACTTGCTATGGATACCTGGCCACTGCGAGATTCATCCAAATGAGATGGCAGACTCGTTAGCCAAAGCATCTTTAAGCGGACCAATCTTACCTATTTTACCTGATTTCACCTACGTAACAGGACTCAGATATAGAAAGGCTTGTTTGCACAAAGAAATAGAAAAATTATCATTGGATAAAGTCAGAGACTTCGTACATCTAAGATATTGCTGGAACAAACAGTGGTGTATATCTCGGCAATTAGAAATTACAATCACCAGATTACGATGCCGAATTCCGCATCTCAATTACTACCAACATAAAGCTGGACTAATAGCATCTCTCCTGCGTCTCTTTTGCAAAGAATCGGAATCAATAGATCATTTCTTTTTATCCTGTCAACGTTATGCTTATCAAAGGAAAAGATACCTGGTTGAACCAATTGAGAAGCTAGGTTTAAAAATAAACGTGGCACTAACTTTATCCTTCGAAGCGATTACATTAGGTTATAGCCACAGGGAGGTTTTCTCTGCTGTGTGCGAGTACATAATGGCAACAAAAAGAACGCAACGCAATTACCCTGTTAGTCTATTGTTATTATTTACGGCTACGAGACTATACCTGAATGCCTGACTTCGCACACTTGATGATCCTGCCGCCCGGTTCTTGGCCGATCCCCCTTTGTGGGCGAGTGCCAGCAAAGCTGAAGGTTCATCATCATCACTCTGCCACTGACGTCCGTGGCAGGCTCGATTCACGACGTGCCCCTTATAGAAACATACCGCAAGTTTCTCCTCATGGGGACCGTTATACAGCTCCTTGTTGTATAATTACTTTCAGAAGTCGACATTTATAAACAGATATTCATTTCTATTGAAGGAAGTAACAAAAGTGTTTTTTATAATTTTCACTGCACCAACGTGTGGCCTATCTGAATATCGCATGCCACTTGTTGTACAAAGCCAAGCAATACGCCTGGCAATTATCGTCACTGCCACGTCACGATGTGCCACTTCCGGTAAAAAAAATAAAACCGCTGTGTGTCACTCTCGCCGGAAATCGAGGCGGTTTTGCCATTTAACGAATATACGACATTGATTTTGGCGTTGCCACTTGCGCAACGATGTCGGTGCATTCCACATCTAAGAAGCGATGAAAGCGACGTGATTAATTCTTGACGTGGGGCAACTTGAAACTAGCGCATTCTGCCCCTGAGCTTGAAAACGATAAATGTATCAGGAAAAAAAAAGTGGCGCATGCTCTTATGCATTCTTCGTTCATGATGATTGGAAAATGAAGGCCATCTTTTTTTTTCTTACTCGTCTGCATTGATCTTTGCTTATCTCCACTGGGGCCTCCAGGATCTACCAATTTTAGCAAGGCGGCAAAGTCGTGTGATAATGTGATCAAGTGACGCTACTTATTTGTAACGCCATAAAATTAATGGTGCAACCTACACTTCAGCGCCTGGCATTGTTTTTGTGCCATGCGACTTTTTTTTTTGATCCTATGGACGCCATCTATCACTTCACGCGTTTGATGTGGCAACTGAAGTTTTCGCCTTAATGAATGGCCATTGCTTCTATCTAAAATATTATAATTAGCCAAGCACCAGGATTTGTCATAAATGCTCATATTCAGTGCGAAAACTTTGGTTCTCATCCATACAGGTCGAACCACATTCAATGTTTTCACCGGCGTTCGTCCGGCGTTTCGTTTTCCGGTCTCACTCGGCGTCGACGCTACCGGTGCCGGTGGCCAACGAAACGCTCACCCCGGAATGTCCCAGACATGGAGGATGGTCAAAGACATTGGTAGCGTCGACGCGGCAAGCAGCTTTACGGAGGGTTAACTAATGAGAGCGCTCCTGGCAGTTACTACTGCCAATACGTAAAGGCGCCATCACTGCTGTTAAAATGGCTGCCGCCCACCTCAGATCGATTAGTCGTCGCCGTGCACTGTGTGGCTCATAAGTTCTTAACTGGTGCTTGTATTTGAGCTTGTTCCCCAGAAGCTTGGACAGCAACGCACTCATGCTAACGTTTTCGAGAGCCACAGCTCAAGGGGGAAGTGATTTTTAAATGAAAAGAAGAGAAAAGGGAGCCCCGTAACTGTCTCTCAGGGGGAGGACATCTCAACAGTAGCTCACGAGGGATGGGGGTAGAGAAGAGAATAAAAGGATGGGATTAAAAGCTAGAAGGATAGAGAGAGAGGAAGGAGAGAGCGAGGCGCACGGACAGCGAGTGACGACAGAAGTAAGGAGAAGACAGGAAAGATGAAACACGGTCGCAGGAGTCCGAGGACGGGGCACCACTGGTGAGAGCTGTTGTCGGCGTCAGGAGATGGCGTAGGGCTAATCCAGTCGGCCAGAGCTATGCTGTCGTCGTCGTCGGGGACCGGCGTCAGGAGGTGGCGTAGGACCAACCCAGTCGGCCACAGCTGCACTGTCGTCGGAGATCGCGAGGGCACAAACGGTCGGCACGGGATCCAGCGAGCAAGTTCTCTGATGCTAACGTGTTGTTCAGGTTTCTGCGCGTTTTTTTTTTTCACTACCCGAGCTTTTCTGGTCCGCTTAATCTTCAAACGGTGTGCGAGCGAGTAAAATTGTGTCAGTTCAAAGTGCTATATGACCGCTCCTACTTTATGTGTTTTTTTCTTTAGCGCCATAATTGTGCTATAGAGGGAGAAACTTTTAAATCCAAGACTATACTACTGCGGTTAATGTGGCGCTAACATAATTCCTTTGCGCGTTTCGGTGTTGTAGTTTTAAATCCCGTGCTATATCTCGCGCTAATTTGGTTCTCGTGCAAGTCTTGGAGCAATTATACATTACGTGCTTAGTGAATCTCCTCTACCACGAAACCTGAGGACGTGAGTAGCTCGGACAACCCAGTGATCCCATTGGCAATCGCGCGTTCGGCGAGATGGTGTCGCCCCTGCTGCGTGGCAGGGGAACCAGCCGAATGTTACAGAGAAGATTTCCGCAATTTCAGGTACATTCTTGTAATTTAGTCTTAGTTAATACTGCTCTTTAGATTACTTCCTATCTTTTTTTGTGCATCCTGTACTTGTTTCAAGAATTGTTAGCCTTGCTTTAGGATTGTACTGACCACTGCGTGTCCACGCAACGTGAAATGGTGCTGCGATGACAAGTCGGGTTTCTAATGTACTACGCACTTGACACAATAGTAAATAACCCGAATTTCACTTCTGAGAGTGTGAGATAGTCCTTCGGTAACGAGAAATCGCGGGATAGCATTACCATTTTGCTGGTCTCGGAGATGCCCACGGCTATCCAAATCTGCGCCTCCTGGGCAGGGCCGGTAAGTTCGAAGTGGTAGCCGTCCTCCTCAGCTACGTAGGTGACCTGCACCTTACAGTCCCCATTTTCGATGCAGCCATCGGGAAAGCCGAAGCAGCCTTTGCTCACACCGCATCCCTGATCTTCTTCCTCGCCTCCGCCCTGCAGGAATTGACACGGTAAGACCATCAGTTGGCATGCACTCGTTTCATTAGGGGATCACATAACGGATAGTGAAGAATTAAAGAGACTGTGAAGCGTCAACACGTTTAAGTAAGTGTACATAGCAAACCAAATCATGAACTTGAACCGAAAAGTTCTGAAGCACCCCCATGTGCCCTGATGCCAGAAATGCACGCTATAATAAATAAATAAGGCTCTCACGATTCCTGGTTGGCCGCTAGGGGGCTAAGCCACTCGGACGCCTCTCGAATGGGCTCTGCCAGTTTTTCACTTTCGCGGCTGAATAAGGACAACCACGGGATTCAAGACCATCACAGCTGTCGCCAGACGATCACCCGATTCGTCCGATGCCAGGATATACCAGGTGGGCCTACTTTTTTTGAGCTGTGACACTTCTTTCAAGTTCCCACAACGGCGTCGCCCTAGCTACGCCATCGCAGTGCCGACGCAGTGCCATCGACGCGCTGGCAACTAGGCGACAAGCCAGGCCCCCGGCTTGTTCGAAGCCTGCGAAATGGATGTTGTGGAAGTTGAGGGGGAGACACTGTCTCCCGAAGAGTACAACGACACACAAGGATGGGTTGTGGCCCATGAACGACGCAAGAAGGCAAAAGACAAGAGAAACGCGGAACCAGCCACGAACGCGGGAGGTGCGTCCATGGAGGCGTCTCGGAGAGTGAAGGATTTTTTGCATCGCCAGCCAGTGCCAAAAGAACCGCAACTACCAGAAGACGATTACAAGGTTGTAATACGCCCAGGAGGAGGTGTGGACTTGACGCGACAGAGTGTAGCGCTCATAAGAGACTGTGTTCTACGAGCGGCAAAAGTACAGCCTGACATCGCTGGGAAAGATACTCTCAGAATCAACATGCGACAAAATACCATGATCATGAGCACACCTAGTCTGGCCAATGCGAAAGAATGCAGCAACATCAAGGGAATTATGATCAATGACAAGAGCTATGCTACAGCCGCTTATGTAACAGCACCAGAAAACACATCCAAAGGGGTTATCCACGGAATACCGAAGTATGATAATCAAGAAGACATAGAAAAAAGCTTGGTCAATCAGAGGAACCCGACGATTCTACATGCACGACGTATGGGACTTACGGACTCAGTGGTCATTGTTTTCGAAGGGTTGTTTGTGCCGTATTTTGTATACTACCGTGGTGCCGAATATAGGTGCTTCCTATACAAGAAGCAATATGAAACATGCACTAGATGTGGTCGAATTGGAAATCGGGCGGATGTCTGCCCACAGCCTGACAGCAAGAAATGCCGTGGTTGTGGGGTGCTCAATCCAACTGAAAACCACCAGTGCGTCCCTAGGTGCAGCCTTTGCGGGAAAGGTCATCTTACAGGGGACAAAAAATGCAAAGAACGGTTTAGGACCCCGTACCTTTTGAAGAAAAGATGGTGGGAAAAGGAACAACAACAAGGCGATGAACGAAGAGAAATGAAGATTTTGTCGAACACTAGAGCAACACAGGTATGGAGGGAAGGGTATTCACCAGAAAATCCAACGGAGGAGAATGGCAACGCCACCAAGGACAGAGGGGGACGACGCAGAGATCGTTCCAGCTCCTTCCCGCGACTCGCCGAAGGGGGAAGAGAAGGGACTCAACACGAACCCAGATCCACATCCAGATCAAGGTCCACTCGTCAACGCAGATCCAGATCACGGGCCAAATCCAAGACAAGGGCAACGACATCACCTCAAGGACAGTCCCACGAGGGTCCTGGCGGCGGTCGGGGCAGTCAACAAACGGTGAGCTGGGTGGGCGAGGTATCAGGGGAGTCTCTTCGGTCTGGGAGTTTGCCTGAGGTTGTGGCAGGAGGGTCCACCCTAGGTCAAGAGCTAAACCATATTAAGAAAATGCTAGAGCAACTCACCCGTGAAAACGCGAAACAGAGCGACGAAATAAAACAACTAAAGGGAGAGAACGCTAAACTCAGGCAAAATCAGCTGCGCGAGTCAAGTAGCTCCATAGCATCGTGTAGTCGAATTTTAACTCCAGCGCCTGCACAGGAGTCAGGAGTGCACGCAGCGAAACGAAGAGCAGAGGAAATATCTCCTGTAGAAAATGAAGACCTCTCAAAACCTCTGGAAAAGAAAGTCGAGAATATGCTCGGAGAACTTACTAAGGTAATGCAACAACAATTCGCAGGATTGCAGCTGCAGCTCGTAGAAATAAAACAAAGAATAGATAGCATGGAAAATCGACTAACGCTGGTGGAGAACACGCAAACAGATTTGAGGTCTATAGAAGCAGGCCCGGTTAAAACTACTACTAAACCCTACAACCGGCCGACTACGACCGAAGTAATCTAAATCGCAGGGGACGACTAGACATGGCACGACGTAATCAGTATAAAATTTGGCAGTGGAACTGTGGTGGGTATCGCCGGAAACGGGGTAACTTACAACAGTTCCTAAACGGAAAGGAGGCACCAGACGTCATCGCCTTACAGGAAACTGGAGGAATGGCTAAATTGTCGAATTACAAATCCTATGGTACCCCTGATGAAAAAACGTCCGTAACAACCCTCGTGCGAAGAAATCTCACGGTGATAGAACATGATACAGAAATCTGCGATGTCGATCATGTTCTTGTTGAGTTAGTTCTATCGCAGAAGAGTGGTGAAAGTCCATTCATATTAAATGTCTATAGCCGCCCTAGACAAAAAAACCAAATTTAAGTCACTTTCGAGAAAAACGATCAGCATTACTAAAAATCAAGCATTGGTTATAGTAGGAGATTTCAACGCGTTGCATCCGGCATGGGGTTATGACAAAGAAAACATCAAAGGTAGAAATCTCTGGATCGACGCCCAACAGGAGGGCCTTACGTTAATAACCAACCCCCTTTTCCCAACTAGGATTGGAAACAGCGTATCCAAAGACACGTCTCCTGACCTCACGTTTACTAAGAATATCATCGAACATTATTGGCCTAATACACAAGAAAATATGGGCAGTGACCACTATATAATTGAGACCACATTTAAAGCAGGTCCACGTAAAAGAGGAGGCAAAGAATTAAGCATGGTTGAATGGGATAGCTTTAGAAAAATCAGAGAGAAGGATGCATGCGATGTCATCGAAGACTTAGATGAATGCCTAGGGAACCTTAAGCAAAATATTAAAATCGCAACTAAGACCATACCAAAAACAGAAGGACTAGAAAGCACAGACAGTAAGCTCCTACATATGTGGGAGGCAAAAAAGAGCCTAGAAAAACGGTGGAAAACACAAAAACACAACAAACGCCTTAGAAAAAGGATAGCCACCCTCAGTAAAGATATTGAGAAGTACGCGGAGCAACTATGCAGACAACAATGGGAGGAAAAGTGTGATGCGATGGAAAAACAAATAAGTCTCTCTAAAACATGGAACCTGTTAAGATGTCTGATAGAGTCGGAAGTGAGCAAGACAGCACAACAACAAAACTTTATTAGACTTGTCCGTAAATACAAAGGCACGCAGGAAGAACTGATTGAAGAAATCAGACAGAGATACATTGGGGATACAACCAAAGAGCAATTAAGCTCGTACAAAGGTAAAGAAAATGATTCCCTAGACCGACCCATATTAGAGGCCGAGGTACGATCGGAACTAATGAAACTGAGCACAACATCAGCCCCGGGCCCCGATGGGATCACGAATAAAACGCTCAGAAACTTAGACGACAAATCTATCAGAGCCCTCACCGAATATATGAACAAGTGTTGGGAAAAAGGTAAGATACCCAAGCAATGGAAAACGGCAACAATCATAATGATTCCCAAGCCAGGCAAGAAACTAGATCTTGATAATTTTAGGCCTATTTCCCTGACGTCCTGCGTAGGAAAGTTATTAGAGCATGTCATCCTAACTCGCCTGTCAAATTATATGGAAGACAATGAGCTCTTTCCTCATATGATGGTAGACTTCGGAGCGAAACTGTCTGCACAAGACATTATGCTTAAGATTAAGCACCAAATAATTGATTCGGGTCTCAATACACACGACACAAAGGTAATAGTTGGCCTAGATCTTAAAAGGGCATTCGATAATACATCCCATAAAGCTATACTTGCCAATCTTCAAGCGTTAGGGGTAGGAAAAAGAGTATACGATTATATAAAAGACTTTTTAACTGGCCGGACTGCAAGAATAATACTAGGCGAAGCAGAATCCCAAGAGTTTAGTCTGGGCAGCAGAGGTACGCCGCAAGGCTCAGTACTATCCCCCTTTCTTTTTAACGTGGCCATGATAGGTCTCCCTACCAGACTGAAGGAAATTCGAGGATTCCACCATAGCCTCTATGCAGATGACATTACCTTATGGGTAGCAGAGGGTAGTGACGGACACATAGAGTAAACTTTACAGACAGCAGTGAATGTTGTAGAAGAATATGCCATCCATACAGGATTACAATGTTCACCGGAAAAATCGAAACTTCTCTTCTATAACCCGACATGTAGGGGTCGGAAAGGCATCCAGGAAAAACCTAACATTAAAGTCTTTGTTGGAAAAACGCAAATACCTACGGTCAAAAGCATAAGAATTCTGGGACTCCGAATCAGCTCAAACGGGCACAACGGAGAGGCGATTAGAATACTTGAAACCAGTGCGCAGCAAACTATGCGTCTACTTAAACGAATTGCAAACCGGCACTATGGCATGAAGTAAAATAATATGATAAGACTGGTACAGGCTTTTGTCATCAGTCGTATCGTATATGTGATTCGGTACCTCAGACTGCAAGTGGCCGAGAGAGAAAAGATAGACAGAATCATTAGACGAGTTTTCAGACAGGCGATCGGACTTCCAATTACTACATCTAATGATAAATTACTTAATGATAAGGGCTTCACAACACATCAGAAGAGCTTATAGAAGCTCAAAGAATCGCACAATATGAAAGACTAACGCAGATTAAAACAGGTAGAGCTATACTAGAGGAACTGGGTATAAACTACGCAAATCAATTTGGCGCCAAAAAGGATATTCCGTATGAAATCGGGAAATGTTTAGTAATCTTACCGATTCCAAAAAACATGCACCCAGAACATCACAAAGCAAGGAGAGCTGAAAGAGCGAAAAATATACATAACAACGTAAAAGATTTACCGGAAACAACATACGTAGACGCGGCCAAATACAAAGGAAATGACAACATGACTATAGCAGTAGTGGACTACAAAGGAAATCATAAGGTCAGCGGCTCGGTGAGAACGAGCTTTGCAGAAGAGGCGGAGGAAGCAGCTATCGCAATGGCCATAGCATCCACCTCGACTTCACTCATTGTTAGCGACTCGCAGACGGCTGTGAGAAACTTTGCACGAGGGCGAATATCCCAAATAGCTTCAAGAATATTTGTTGGATGCAAAGACCAACGAACAATAGAAATAGTCTGGGCACCCGCTCACTCCTCCTTGCCCGGCAATGAGGCTGCACACCAGACAGCTAGAGGACTTACAGACCGAGCCTCTGGATTGCCCTGGTCGAACGGGGAGGACGATGATAGATTTGAGCGGATGACCACTTACAGAGATATTACACAGTATTACAGGCTAAGCAGGAAATTTTATCCTCCCGCACACTCGTCATTGAACAAAGGACAGGCGGTAGCGTGGCGCCTACTCCAGACCCACACGTTTCCTAGTCCGGTAACAATGAACCGCTGCGTGCCGGAACTTCATTCGGACAAGTGTAAATTTTGCCACAACAGGGCGGACTTGAGCCACATTTTATGGGCATGCCCTCAGGCCCCCATGAGAGGCGAATTTCCAGACGGGAGTGGATGGGATGCCGCGCTCCTCATCTCTGACTCTCAATTACAAGCCCGCTTAATACGGCAGGCCGAAGACGCCGCCAGGGCCCACGGGATCATGGCCGTCGTCTAGGTTTGGTCCTCCCTTCTCCTCTTGCACCTGAAAGGGGAAGAGGACCTTTCTGCTAATTAAATAAAGTTTGTTCATCTTCATCATCTCACGATTCCTCGTGCACTCGACTAAAACGACTTGAAGGAGAGCCATCTTCTTCTACTAAGCTTGTTGTAATGGTCCATCCCATGAATGTTTGCAGACAATTATGCCAACGAGAGTATAGGCGATGCTATTAGAAGTAATTTTAATGCGATTGTTATGAAAGAAAAGTGGACAAAAAGATAACTTGCCGTGGGCATGAACCGAAAGTGCGACCTTCGAATAACGCCTTCTATCTACCTCCAACTGACCTACCACGACGGCTATCCCCTTGCCCACTTGATAGGGGTTGTATGTGTATTTAAACGTAGAAGCATCAACCAGCGCCACCTATTGCCATTCGGGCGAGTTTGGGACACCCATTTTATGCCTGTTGGAGTCTTGTAGCACGTGATAATATTAGAAGCTGGCACATGACCAATAATCCCTCAAGTCTGCCAGAGCGAGACCCTCGCTAACTCAAAAAGAAAGGGTAGTATAGTTAAGGGCTCATTTTCTTTGTCAGAAGTCATACGTGCTTCCTAACGAATAAACCACGTAGCCTCCGTCATCTGATACATCGCAGCTTTCTGCGCATATCATAGATCTTCACAGCCCAGATCGTCCCGCATTGGACAAAGCGACTGTCCTGTGAAGATATCACTATATGGCGTCAACTTATGGTAACGTCCTATGGGCGTCACGATGGCACTTTAATGATGTCATGACGGTGTCGCATGGTGACGTCAGCTCACGACGGTTATTTCTTTCATCGCTTCGACTAGCTACGCCGACGCCACCACGGTCACTTTTGGTGCATGATGAAGCATCTTATGGGAGTTGAAGGGGGCCTATATCCTTTTTCGCCTTGTATACGGTAAGCCTCGTGCAAGCCCATCTAGAAAGCTTTCGTATTGGTAGCTGCATATGAAACGTAATGACTCACCTCATCGTTCCCACCGTCGTCGCCGTTCTGCCCTTCGTCTTTCTGCAGCGACTTCTTGGCCTCATCGTCATCGACCTCCTCGGGCGATACCGGGGAGTCCGTCGTTCTCGGCGGCTGGTGAGCTGGCGAGGGCCCCGCGTTGCGAAGACTCGCGGCCGCCTGCAGCCTACTCGGTGCTTTTCCCAGAACGACGCGATCGGAGACAACGTAGCGAGGCGTCCCTTCCTGCTTTCCCAAAACCAGCGCCCTGGATAGAATTATAGCGAGTGAATAAGCTGTGTCGTAGCGGAAATCCCACAGGACAATCGAGCCACGTTTTCACATAGTGTTGTAACTAAAATATAGCCCTTATCAGTTCTTGGCTCAGCTATAGCCAAAGCTTTCATCTATCATTTCGCTTACCTTGTTTCCCTTTCGTTATTCTTTTTATATTGCAACGCACTACACCGATAATCAACGGCCACTGTACCAGCTTGTGTCTACTTCGCTTGCGCCAAGATGCAGCGATCGACCAGCGATGCAGCACACAGCCCACCTCAAAGTGAAGATTGCGCGTAATAAAGCTGCCAGTACAACCGTGACACAAGGAGTACTTCAATTTAATTAATATGTGGGGTTTAACGTCCCAAAACCACAATATGATTCTGAAAGGCGCCGTAATGGAGGGCTTCGGAAATTTATACCACCTAGGGTTCTTTAACGTGCGCCCAAATCTGAGCACACGGGCCTACAACATTTCCACCTCCATCGGAAATGCAGCCGCCGCGGCCGGGATTCGATCCCGCGACCTGCGGGTCAGCTGCCGAGTACCTTAGCCATTAGACCACCGGGCCGGGGCAAGGAGTACTTGAGTGCACACTTGTTCGCTTCAGAGGCGTTTCAACATGGTGGAGATAACTATGTTTCAGATCGCAAATAAAGGTTTGTTTCGCTCTAGTGGCTGCCACTCGTGCCCAGTTTGGTAAGCCCCAAATGGAGAACTGAGTCAAGAGGACAATTCGTCCCAGGCTGCCCCACGAAACTTGCGCAGTTTATTTCACGCATGTTACACTATCCCGGTAGGCCTGCGCTTGAAAGAACGAGAAATTTGGACAACGTACCGGAAGACGACCGCACCCTTCCAGTTGACTGGTGCCTGCCAAGTGGCTGTCACTTTCTCCGAATCGCTTTTGCCGGAAATAACAACCTGTAATGGTGTCAGTAGAAATATCAGCCGTCATGCAGACACTCCGGAATCAGGGCGTGAATGAAGTATATATAAACATCCTGGAAGAAAACTACAGGGGATCAACTGCTACCATAGTGCTTCATAAAGAAAGCAACAGAATACCAATCAAGAAGGGTGTAAGGCAGGGGGACACAATCTCCCCAATGCTATTTACCGCGTGCTTACAGGAGGTTTTCAGAAGCCTAGGATGGGAACAGTTAGGGATAAGAGTTAATGGAGAGTACCTTAGTAACCTGCGTTTCGCCGATGACATTGCATTGCTGAGTAACTCAGGCGACGAATTGTAACTCATGATTACGGAGTTAGACAACGACAGCAGAAAGGTAGGTCTAAAAATGAATCTGCAGAAAACGAAAGTTATGTACAACAACCTCGGAAAAGAGCAGCGCTTAGAGATAGGTAATAGCGCACTTCAAGTTGTAAAAGACTATGTCTACTTAGGGCAGGTAATAACAGTGGAGCCGAACCACGAGATTTAAATAACTAGAAGAATAAGAATGGGGTGGAGCACATTTGGCAAGCACTCTCAAATTATGACAGGTAGATTGCCACTCTCCCTCAAGAGAAAGGTATATAACAGCTGTATCTTGCCGGTATTTAGCTACGGAGCAGAAACCTGGAGACTTACAAAGAGGATTCAGCTTAAATTGAGGACGACGCAGTGAGCAATGGAAAGAAAAATGGTAGGTGTAACCTTAAGAGACAAGGAGAGAGCAGAGTGGATTAGGGAACAAACGGGGGTTAAGGATATCATAGCTGAAATCAAGAAGAAGAAATGGACATGGGCCGGGCATGTAGCGCGTAGACAGGATAACCGCTGGTCGTTAAGGGTAACTAACTGCATTCCCAGAGAAGGAAAGCGGGTTAGGGGGAGACAGAAGGTTAGGTGGGCAGATGAGATTAAGAAATTTGCGGCTATAAATTGGCAGCAGCAAGCACAGGACCGGGTTAACTGGCGGAACATGGGAGAGGCCTTTGTCCTGCAGTGGACGTAGTCAGGCTGATGATGATGATGATGATGATGATGATGAATGGTGTCAGGCCAAAGTATGTTAAGTCACGCCACTGCAAATCGACAGGAAATTTATGTGGGGGCTTATACATTGATGCGTAAGCTCTTGCAGCGATAGGGCGGACACGAGCAGTGCTACACACGAGACGATGACGGAATAATGGAGAAGTCACTGCTCTGGTTTATATAAATGCAATAGAGCTTGAAGCATGAGACCTGAAAATATACAGTGCCAACCAAAATAAAATAGAGCTTTCGAAAGAATAAAATTTATCTAGTTCACTTTAATACATGCCAGTCATGTGGTTCATTATAGCTCATATAAAAACAAACGCACACGACATTCCAACGTTCTGCGATGCCTCGTTATGATTTAGCTACATTCTAGATATAGTGACATTTTTTTGCATCAGTTGCATTTAATTACTAATAAGTAACGACGTTATTTCCTTAAAAAGTAGATGCATGCAATAAGGTTTGATATCTACTTAGGCTACAAAGGGCTTCCCATTAGTATATATTATAAGAGTACACTGTTTACCAAAAATTGACTATACCAGGTCACATGCATACCATTTAACTGAATGACAATGACCATTCAAACAAGGTGCCAGTTTTCGCTCGCTAAGTCCTCTCATTGGGCAGCGCTGTCGAAGTAGCCTTCAGTTCTCTTTGAGCTCTGCAACTAATCACAGGCCGGCTCTAAATGTCTAACATATAGATAAACGTCATTCGGGTAAAATTACCAAACGCTTCACTCGTCAGTGATCAATTCTGCTTACTCACAGCCTTCTGTGGTGGTACATCAGAACTAGGATCTATTGCAATTCGAACGTGCTAACAATTCTATCACAAGAACATCGTGCAACCACTGGGCCTAACGAAGGAGATAAACTAAATAGATCGGAAATACTATTTGATTTCCGCTGTACTTCCCTATATCTGGTGTCTTTTGATACGTTGGCTTCAACCGGTCTATGGTACATACTGAGAAAGAAGAACTGTAAAGATGTGTGTCGTGAACTTTCTATGGAACTTTCAAGGGGAAACATATTTTAACGTCACAATCATTCCTGAGTGGATACATCCATGAATCAGGACGTCGGAACAGGAAAGACGGGTTCAACAGTATTGGCTGAGAACAAGAACAAGAAGAACAAGAAGACGAAAAAGCTTTCTCTTTCGAAGCGCCTCAGTAATGTGCACAAAGAACTCGTATGGAATATGTTTCTTTGACAATGCATATAGCATCAGTTTTCACAATGAGACTTGACCCTTAAAAGAGCACCGCAGTGAAGTTCGAGATTATTGGGTATTGCATGTACAAAAAAAAAAGGCTTACATATAAAACGGACATAATCAGAAGATCGCGAAGTACAAGACTGTCGGGGGGACCTCCGAAAATAATTAGTGGCGTAAATAAAGAATTACAGGTAAAAGGTAACAGTGGCGTGTATAAAAGGTAACAGGAAGCACATAAAATGTCAAGGTGTTATAAATGACCAAACCAAAACTCGCTTGTACAATATCTTTTCTGCCTTTACACGTATCATCATACATGGCAAGACAACCAGTGGAGAATATGCAACGTTATTTGCAATGCGCGTGCCATCTCAAGGCTCGTTCCCACAGATGCGACTTGCAACCGTGATGTGACCGTTTGCGCCAGGCGAACAAGCGACTCGAGGCAACCGCTCTTCACAGCTATAGACTTGTGAGTTATAGCTGTCGCCACACAGAACTCACGTCTGCTGGCATTATCATTGCCTCCTAAAGTAGGTTCACGTCCTATTCATGCACATCACATTAATGCAGACGTTTGTGACTGTAGTGACGTGATTGAGGATCGAACGACAGGTATAACTGAGCCAGAACGGTAGCTTTTCAACCAGCACAGCAACATGCAACACGTCGCTTGGCGACTAACTTGGTCACACGGCTCGCGATAGTCGCAGGTGCGACCGAGCTCCGAGATTTTGCTTGCGGCAAACAACGCTCCAGCCATTTAGGATACAGTGGGCACGTGTTGCACGAAAAGCTAACCATACAGAGGTAACAACAAAGCGTGAAGCTATACAACCACAGCACATAGAAAAACACTGCATGCGCGTCAAAATACATGTCGATTAGGAACACACGCTTGCGACTCACGTTCTCGTGATCTCGGCAGGAGTGGGTCCGGGCGCTGTCGTCAAATCCGCCGGCCGCGAACTCTCCGAGCACCAGAGAACCATGCTCATTACTTTTTCTCGCTTGAATTACGTAGCCCCGAAACGAACCTTCCAGGGCCACTGTCGGCAACGCAAAGATACGCATACAGATTCATTGCCGATGCCACTTTCAAAGATATACGTTACGTGTGAGCGAATGTTCTATAACTTCTGATACAAATAAAGTACTTGGCGGAAGGCGTAGCGCTCTGTGGAGGACACAAAAGTCTTGAATCGTTTTCTTCGTGTGATTCATTTATTATGCGCAACAAGTTTCGCCATTCATATCATCACCAACAAAGCGCATTTTTATATCCTATCAAAAACTTATATAAGAGCCAAGCAATTTATCAGCCCTGCTTGTCGCACATCCGTATATCTCATTTGGCGGGATCATGGTCGTAGTAAAGTGCTCAATAGAGGTCATAACAACGCTAGTTATGTTCCAAACTAAATCAAAATAAGCAAACAAGGCCTAATATTGTGTAACAAACAGAAAACACCAACAATTGATCGCAATAATCAACTTATGGTCCCTAAAAAGGTTTCGAAGGCGTGCGACGTACTTAGGTGACGTGCCAGGGAGTGCACCACCCCCTCGCCGAGCAGGCAAATGCCCCTCCCCTCCACTTCACGGGCACTGCGTCTGTACACCTAATGGAGTGAACAACTTGACGTAACTCTTTACAGACTATACGCATATCTGAACTTTCATAACTAGCGGGAAATCAATAAATTGCAGTAAAAACAAAATCACCACCCAAGAATTCCGTACGAATGGTTAACCAGTAAGATTTGAAACGTGTGTGCACCGGTGTTGAGCAGTGCGCTTAATGCAACGTGGTGCTAAAGCGTTTCACAATTACTGGTTACATGTTAATGATATTAGACACAACTGTTGCTCGGGTGCTCATTTCACATGCCCCACATTAAGTATCGCGTGGTCCCGGTCATGGAGGAATGTAAAGGGGTTAAATGCGTTTCGCAATGCGTTAATTACAGTCTCGAACAGGCGGTCACAGATGTCGCAGCCGAAGACAATGTGCCGCTGGAGAACCTCCCACCGAAAGCCGCGTTCGCCTTAGCCTAACGAGGTCTCTCGATCATCATACTGATGATTGTTGCAAGCGTCTGACACCGCGAGCTAACTCGGCGGGGAGGTTTCAGGTGAAACTGTTGCGCGTGGGCTCGCGCCACTGCAGCGACGACGTCACTCGCTACGAAGCCAATGGCGCGCGTGCTTGGGAACGACGTAACTGATAACACAGCCAATGGGGAGCGCTTTCGACACTGCTGCCGGACGGTATTTCGTTTCTCCTGGCCATAAACAGCTTTCGCTGTAGACGTAAAGCGCATGTCGCTCACCGACTTTTCGAAATTGCCTAACACGATTCTACTCGCACCCTGAAAACGCTACATGTTCACCTCAAACACTGACGTCATCGACGCTTTGGTAAAGAAGCCGTAGAAATTCTACGAATGGGAATCACTGGGTGGTCGTGCTACGCACTTCCTCAGGTTTCAAAGTGGCAAAGCTGGATACGTTTTTTTTTTTTTTTACAGTGAAAGCTGTTATGAGATCACAACTCGAGTCATGCGCCGTGCAGTAGCTGTCCGCCGCCGCCGGTGTCCGTAACCATACCGCACAAAATTAAAAAAAAACAAGTACCAATGACACAGTGCAGCTCGAACCCGGGTCCGCTGGGTGACTGTTCAGTATTCTACCACTACGCCACTCCGGTGTTTCGGACTTGTTGGCGAACTTGCCTTAGGCAGGCTTAAAGTCGGGAAAGCAATTGCGTTATTACGACGTATAAAGCGTTTTAAAACAGTAGAAGAGCAACCAGTCGTCGCGCAATTCAAATGGCGTAATGAGCGGGTCGTCCAATGCTCCAAACGATCACAAAAGTTTGTTCTTGTTCAGCTGATAACTGTGGCGCACACCCACTTTAGGCATACTTCCTCATCGTCGTCAGCCACTGCATGAACAATTGGCACAAAATTCCTCGCAAGTGTTAAGCGGATACCACACTTCTCAGAAGAATAGCGAATGTCGGCTTACTATCGAGAAATCATTATATTAACGCTGTAGTGGGTACCCAGCAAGTGTGCTTGCAGTAGTTACCCAATGAGTGGCTCTGAAAGGCCGCTCTTCTAGCTTTCTCTGTGACTGCTGCGCCTTCCGCGCAGGCCTGGCGTTTTCTTTTATTTTATTTTGTGTTAGTGTAATAATTTTCTCTAAGGATGGACGTTTAGTTTTTTTTAGTCTTTTCACATACGTAAACTTGCAGATTTTTCTTTCCAGATGAGCATCGGAGATCTTCTAACTCAGAATGAATAAACATGAACAATTTTTGACCGTGTTGTCAAATTCATTGCCGGAGCTCATAGGCACCACTAATCGCAACAAGCTACCACTCAATGTCAAAAAATACCTCGGTGAAAATTTCAGCCCAATGTCTTCCTTAGCGTCAACGATCTATCTGTTGCGTAGCGTGACGATTTCCGATTTCTGGGCAAAATTGTGAGCCCATATAGTAAGTAGTGCAGCTTAACAGTCTCATACAGCCACATGTCCTAAATTACTATATATACTTAGATAAAACCAGCCTGGTTAATGCTAATTTCGGCTCATCATCATCAGCATGACTGCACAGCAGGGCAAAGGCATCTCCCACGTTTCGCCAGACAAGTCGGTCCTGTGCTTGCTGCTATAGCTGCCACTTTATGCGTGCGCTAACTTTCTAACCTCAACTGCCCGCCTAACTTTCTGTGTGGCCCTCATCCGCTTGCGTTTTCCTGAAATCCAGTCTGTGATATATATTGACTAGCAGTTGTCTCACCTTTCCGCTACATACCCAGCTCATGACCACTTCTTCTTAATTTCGACTGTGATGTCCTAAACATGTGCACTCGTTTGTTTCCTGATGCAATCTGCTCTCTTCTTGTCCCTTGGGGCTAGCATTGGTGAATTAGTGTCAATAGTGGCCAGGATTGACCTATGTTCATTCATTCACTCATTCATTCATTCATTCATTCATTCATTCATTGAGATAACTACAGAACCCGAAATGCATTATTGAAGATGAATTGTTGTTGGCTGTATGGTGTTAAAACACCAACATTGTCTTCACTTAATCTTGAGTCCAAAACTCACAGAATGCCTTATGCATTAGGCTTTCCGTAAGCTTTCTGAATCTAACATGGTATTACATGGCCTCCATGATCAGCCAACAATTGGTCAAGTGGCGATATCACGTGATGAAGTTATCACGTGGTTACGCAATGACTACACAAATATTGCCGACCAGTGACGTCACCACATGACGATGATTTCCTGCATTATTCTTGTTGACGACGACGGTCAATTTGCGCGTTTGATGAGGCGTCAAATGTTTCACACCTTAAAAACGAATTGTTTGCCGAATGTTATACGGCTATCACACACACGGCCACTTTCGATCGCAATTTGACCCAATTCGGTTCCAATTCCTTATACGTGATTGGCTCCTTTGCGCACGCTACAGAGGGCAATCAGTCACTGGTAATAAACGCGATCCCGATTTGACATAATCGTGGCAAGCAGTGCAGCAGGTTACACCAGCATTAGACATTTCTTATTCCTTACCTTCGGCGCTGCGCTTGTCCGGGAGCAGCGTCACCGAAATCGTCGCTTGGTCCCCGTCGTCCTCCCTCGAGGCGCTGGCGTCGCTCCCAGATGGCGTCAGCGACACGGCCGACTTCTCGAACGCCTCGCAAGGGTCGGAGGGCATCCATTCACTACTGCTGCCCGCACGGACGGAATGAGTCGACAGAAAAAGGAAAACCAGGCAGGTGGCAGTCTTCATTCTGCACTGCTTCCGGATGCTTGTTGCGAACGGGAAAGACCTCGCGTGCACAAAGAAACAACTTTTTTTTTAATTCTTGAAACGATGTTTTTTCTTAGCACGCATGCATATATATATATATATACTAACCGAAATTGCTGAGATCTGACGGATAATTATCAAACAATGGGAGTACTAACTAACCACACAATCAATCGATGACACCACCCCGCAGAGAATCTCACATGCATTGATAGCATTAACACCAAAATATGCAACTTAGAAAAAAGTACAGTAACCCTATGAACAAAAAAACATATAAAATCAAAATCAATCTTCACGCACACATTACTACTGCAAAGGGCAGTATTAAGCAGGTACTTAATATATAAATGTGATCATATATGCTCTCTGGTCTAAGAAATGGGGGAAGGGGGGGGAAGTGAACCCTTTAAATGAAGCTGATGAAATGCGATCATTCTTAATTGGTTATTATACTTTCTTCTAGTTGCTCCATCAGGAAAAATCAATTACCATGACGTCGTTTTTTATTGTCACGAAAAGTTTTGGATCAACTGTAACCTTCCTACTATTTCTTAGCCGAAAAAGCATTTTACGCGATCACTTCTCCCTATAGCGCAACGTGTGAAATTACAAATACCATCTCACAATTTTCTCCGTCTCTTGAAATGCTGCTTAATTCATTTTTCTTGTGTTATTCTTAACCGAGAGTCCCGCTGCAGACGCTCGACTTTGAGACACTTGTCTGTATATTAATAAACGTGGATATTTGTAATTTGAAAGTATAATAACAAACTGAACTGAATTCGAATGATCCAGCAGCGACGAATATGTTTTTGTTTTCGTTATTCTTACACGCAGTCACATCCCCTTAAGTGCTCTTATGAACAATGAGTAACTGCTAAAGAAGTTTTATTCAGTATATGTGCTAACTTCATCAAGATGATCTAACACGATATGAGACAGCAATTGGCATCTCCGAAAGCATTCTCGCACTTTAAATGTAATTAAAATTTTCTCCCTACGACGGACCTTTCTAACCATCAAATGAGGTAGACAAGTTCTCAATTTGTCGTGGAATTGTTATAAGCTTGGCTAAGTTTCTGTTAAAAACCTCTTTGAACATAACCGACATATTGGAGAGCTGAACGCAACTAATAAAACATGGCCTATATAGAGATATGGCATTATGGCTTTACGTTATAATAATCATAAAAAGCCTCCGCCATGTTCAAAACCCTCACAGCTTGCGTTTCCCGTGAGAGTGGGTGGGCTGGAGGGGGCAAGGGGACGTTTTCTCAATTTTTAACTTTGCAACTCTATATGTATATATACAAACACACGCACGCACGAACATACACACAGTATGATTATGCCCCAACCACACCTTCCCCGAAAAAACAAACAATCCAGTACGCTACTAACCCTCACGATATTTCTAGCGTGGAGTTCTTGACTTCTCGCGCCGATAGTGCATGGAGTACAACGGGTTGCGAAACCCCCATTGTGCGAACAAATAGCCGTAAAGCAAAAATAAGAACGTAATAGATTGGTTATTAAGTTCCATGGTCACCACTTACCTGGATGCGAACGGCGTGGGGCGTCAGCCACTTCAACTACCTCTTTCTTTGTTCACCTCAGCAACGGTTTTCAGTGGGAGAGGTGATGACGTTGATTACGATGTATTATTGAATTACTGGCGCCTACCCTCATGGGGTGATTGGCCAAGGGTTGGGCGGATTATGTGGCTTGGAAATTTTTCAAATACCACATAAATTCAATGGTTCGACGGAAGCCTGTATGATCGGGAAAATTTATGGCGGGAAATATTAGGTAGCGGCCTATCATTGAAAAAAATAAATAAACAATAACGTTTCGTCTCCTTTACGCAAGCCTTGTTTACCAACAAACTACAGAGGCCTTGTTCACACAAACACACACACACACACACACACGCACACCAACACACATACACACACACGCACGCACACGCGCACACGCACACGCACACACACACACACACACGCGCGCGCACACACACACAAACACACACACACACACTCAAACGATTCTTTGTGAACAATTAAGGCCTCAGAAGCGGGGCCGACAAGTCGTTTCCGTTTGTATTTTATTTCATCAATTTTTCAGTGCTTACTATTTTATACTCTCACTTCGTTAACATAAGGTCTCCAGCACGTATATCGAAGTATGCTTTTGAAAAGTCTTGCATGTTTCCACAACAGTGAAATCCATTTTCTGCAACCTTAATTTCTTCATAAGATTCGCTTCTATCATTCAAAACACCTTTCACATCAACTCATGAGCATCTTATTTATTTATTATTTATTTATTTTTGTTTATTTATCTGATTCGTTATTTTCTGCGGAAGTTGCCAGTAGGGGTACATAGGTGCTTGGAAACTTTAGCAATTTATGAAACACCACTACAAGCACCAACACCGCCGGCAGCAGCATCATTATCAGCCTCTTTGTATGCGCACTCATAGGCATGTGCAGGGTTCTCCCAATGGGGGCGAAGGAGGGAGACCACATTCACTATACAGCGCCACCACTCTTTCCCCTGTTTGAACAAAAACGAGCTTGACAATGGATGCAAACCATAATTTAGGGCAATTCCATTACGGCGAAACATGAGGGAGTGCGTATAGCATGGGCGCCCAATGGTTCCCGTTCGTATAGATTGTTCACTGCTCCGTTTACCAAGGCGTGAATGGCGTTAACCGTTGAGGTATATGAGGAAGATTTACAGAGTCGGTGTGCGATTCTGGCGCTACATTTTGCTGTGCTTCAGAGACTTTCAGCTTGTCGCGCAAGTTCTTGGGAGATGAGATACGCGTCGCTTGCAACGAGTTAATTCTGTCATGCTCTTTCCCCCATCATGAAGGAATAGATGGATTATATATGAGCGTCCATCGGCGTAGGCCGCGGTCTTCCCACGTCTCTCGTATACTTCACTAGTAAGCCTGTCTCTCAGGGGTTGGACACCACAACAGTAGCTCACGAGGGGTGGGTGTAAACGAGGAATTAAGAGGATAGGATTAAAAGGTAAAGAGATAGTGAGAGGGGAAGGAGAGAGCAAAACGCAGGGACAGCGAACGATGTAAGTGAAGAGAAGATAGGAAAGATGGAGATGGTCGCAGGAGTCCGAGGACCGGGCACCACTGGCGAGAGCTTTTGTCGGCGACAGGAGATGGCGTAGGGCGAGTCCAGTCAGCCAGAGCTACGCTGTCGTCGGAGATCGGCGTCAGGAGATGGCATAGGGCCAGCCCAGTAGGCCAGAGCTGCGCTGTCGTGGGAGATCGCGAGGGCACAACCGGTCGGCACGGAATCCAGCGAGCGAGTCCATACTTCACTGCAGTATCATTGTTCTTATTGTCATTTGGGTGTTATCACACCACGATATATCAAAGTTATTCGATGTGTGCTGAGAGGCCTTTCTGAGAAGGATGTCCTTCGCTTAGTACAAGCACTCATAGTTAGTCGGCTCACCTATTAACTTCCCTTTCACAATCTCACGCTAGCTCAAATCAAAAAGATGGACATCCTTCTATGGACAGCTGTGTAGGCGGCTATCGGCTTGCCTCCACACGCATCTGCACAACGCCTCCTTCAATTAGGAGTCCACAACACCGTAACCGAACTCATCGAGGCTCAGCACAACAGTCAGCTCCAACAGCTCAGGCAGACCTGTCAGGGCAGCGCCATCCTGTCTCGTCTTGGCTACCCAATTCCCCAAAAACCCGCACATGTACCGCGACATAACTTTTCTTCTACTGTCCGCGCACTCATCAAAGTGCCTCCGATTCCACGCAATATGAATCCCTCCCGCTACGCCGGTCGTCGACGTGCCCTAGTTCAGGCTACGACACGCGCCTTTGGTGATGGTACCTCAGACTTACAAGTACTTTACACTAATGCTGCACGCTACCCAGAGAAGTCAGCCATGTGTTTAGCCGTGACAGATGACACAGACGCCCTTGTGGCGTCTTCCACACTTCGCACTACAGACAGTGGTCTGGCAGAGGAGGGATCTCTCGCTCTGGTAATTGTTCACGCTACGACACTGTCACATGACTCCCCTGTCACTATTGTAACAGATTCACAAGCTTCTTTCCATGCTTTCGCTCAAGGACTTGTGGCTGCACATACACACAATATCCTCTCTTCTGTCTCACCATCCGCATTACGTCCTGTGCGTATCGTCTGGACTCCTGGACACGCCTCTCTCCATGGTAATTAACGCGTTCATGTGGTTGCCCGAGAGCTGACCGGCTGGGCTCCATTGGAAGAGCTGTCCAATCCAGGCGACGCATCAACAGAACCACAAAACTACAACGCTACGCTGAAGTACTACCGACAGAGCCGTTATACGTATCCTCCCCCTCATCCTTCACTTAACAGAGCAGATGCTGTCGCTTGGCGGCAACTACAGACCAATTCATTTCCTCGCCATGATATGCTAAATCGCTTTCATCCGACTCTCTACCCCTCCTACTGCCCCTTCTGTGGATCTGTACCAACGGTGTACCACTCCACGTGGGAATGCTCTGCCCTACAGGGCGTTCCTCCCATTCCCAATCCCACCCCTTCCTCTTGGGAGTCTGCACTGCTCAGTTTACGTCGGCAGGAACCGCAGCAGCTGGTCCAGCGGGTTTGCAGGGTCGCGCAAGGAAATGGAGCCCTGGACTGAGGGCCCCACCCAAAAAAGGCTCAGTGTGCATTTGTTATTAATAAATGTTTATTCTCTCTCTCTCTCTCTCTCTCTCGATGTGTGCTACGCAATGCGTATTGGCGAAAAAATGCTGTAGTACTATGGTTGTGCTGTTGATGGCGTCATTGCGCACAAGATAGGTGGTTGGGTTGTTTCGGATAGTAATGGCATTTCGCGGCGGCCAATTCTTCCAG